TCTCCAAATTGAATGCACCGAATCGATGGAAACTTCAACATGTGATTACCGAGACCTTAAGAAAGAACATGATGTTCATGAAATTTCATTTTTGATAACATTATTTTTATTTAAACGAAAAAATTGTATTTAAGAATCAAAAAAATTATGAGTGCAAACATTTCAGCCTGTTCGATGGAATACCCTTAAAAAAAAAGTACAAAATCAAATTAAATTCATAAAAGCACGTGCTAATTTTTCAAATTTAATTATTTGTAATCACGATCATTATATCTTAATCTATTCTCTGTTTCACCTTCTAGTTCTTTCCCCTCTTTGATGATTTTCTCTATTCAAAAATTTCGAAGATTTCATACCTTCCCCCCCTAGTAGCACAGAATAATTTCTAAATATGTATCGAAATTATATTTTTTAATTCATAAACATATTATAAAAATACATTTTTTACTTTGTTATTATTATCAAACACTTCGTTTGGTATCGAATAACACGAAAAATGTTTGCAATATTTTCGTTCCACTATTTCATTATGGGAGAAAAGCGTGTGATTTTGATTTCAAAGATTTTTAAAACGTTTGTTATCTATTCGGCAGATAATATTTAAAAAATACTTACATTAAAGTTTAACGAAAGGTATTGCATATCTGTAAGAAAAATATGACGCAAACACGTGCAGCTAATATTATAGAAATATTATAAAAAAATGATATTGTAAAGTAAACGTTTTGCAAATACTTAAAATGTTTGCTAAATATTCAGAAATTGTATAATATCCGTTAAATATATAGAAAATGTGAGACAAATATTTTGTGCTACTAGGGTTCATTCATAATTATCGTAATCTATTACTATAGGCAAATGGTGGTTGCGGATTTTACATAAAAATAAAGCATTTCGTTTATTATACGAGGTACATAAATTATATATTTCAGAGCTGTGGAATCTATCCCCTCATTTTATCTAAAAATATTCATTTCGATTAACGCAATTAAAATTTACGTAATTATTTTGCGGAGCTTATCTATCGTGCCAATAAGGATTCGAATAAACCTTAACCAAATAATCATCAACATAAGAAAGACATTACGAACATAACTATCTAAAATTACAGAAAAGTTCGGGATGCATCGTTTAAGGTGAAGTGAAACACGTCGAGAAATTTGATTGACGTCGGTAAAAAAAATTCTTCTGAATATCTACGTTGCCGACGTTTGTATTTAAATCCACAGCTGGGTCGAATTATATCGGATATCGTCCCAATTGCCGTACCACATACCTCGCTTCTATGCAATTATAAAGAAATCGAAGCAAAACTCCAAAAATCCCCTGGATTCATAGTTTTTTATGCTCTGAGAGGCTGCACAGCGATTCTCTGCGCTATCTATGATTTCAGTGGCAACTAAATTCCCCTTTCGAGACCTCGTGTTACTATCGTTTTAGCATAGAAGCGTAAAAAACAGTTTTTTTTGGCTTTATCTCGTTTAAATGCGAGTTTCTCGATGACCAGATGGTTCTAAATCGTTGGATAATTGTCCTGAGCCTTCGATAATTGTATATCGATCGAAATATGACAGCTCGATTCCATGTTGGTACTGGTCTAGGCTAAGTCAAAGAAATTTTTCAAAAGTGTCGCAGTAATTCCGAGGTGCTCGCGAATTAAGAGTCAAAGAGTTTCGGACACTTCGGTCCAATGCCCTTAAGAAAGATGTGTCTTATTCGAGTCGATTGATTTGAGGGAGGCTTCACTTCACCTTAAAAGACGTTGGAAAACGAGATTTTCCTTAGTTAATTCATATTTCACTAGTTTCTACGCTCAACGAGACCTTGACGTAAACGTAAAATAGCAAAAAAGCGTTAAAAAACAATATAAATGCAAAGATCTGTTTTGAAACTAATAATAAATAAAATGCAGAGATAAAGTACCTTCAGCGGCTTCCTAAATATTCGCAGGCATTCTTTGAAATTGAAAGTAGACGTGAGTGGCATGTATATACGATGTCTCGATACAATCGGTCCTGTTAAATTTACGGGATTTTTTCAGGGGGTATCTTACTACCGGTATTATGACGAATAATAAATAAATGCGAGTTAGTTTACAGCACAGCTTCGGTTTTCTTATTATTCTTTAGTACGAAAATTTGTTCTCGGCATTCCTCGTAACAAGACGGGACAATAGGCCTTAAAAATCACCCAAATATATCCACATCGCGTGCTTGTCAATAAACGACGGCTTAGTGTTTGTTAAGACAACTTTCTGCAGCGTTATTTAGTGATATCGGTGTAGACGATGGTCGCTCATGTGTACAATATATTAATTTTATATCTAGGAAAGACGATCTAAATGTAGGAAAAGCGGATATCAGTTGTGACCTTTTTTTATAAATATGGACCAGGCATGTGTTACGTCCCACGTAATGCTCCCTGCGCCTGCATCGGCCCGCGATCGAACTAGCCCGGCAGGCCCAGGATTTTTCTTCTTCAAAATAATAGACTCGTCGAGTCTAAAATTCATTCTTTTCAATCCAGACAACCGAGGGCCCCCCATCTTAGTTCTCGCGACAGGCTGTCACCACGCTACGTAAATAGTAGATAAGTCAAACAGGGATCCCGAAGACCTCGAGACCAGCCGCTCCCCATAATATTCAAAATATTTAAGACAAGGGGACACGCGATGACGGATACCACCCTTGCACGGGCGAGCTCGTAAGTCCCGGCAGAACGGCGACATTAACAATCTGTCCCCAGAAAATTAAACACCAACTTCCGTCTCCCGGAGACACTTCTCCTAAATTCTTCGCTCCGAACTCCTCTTCCTAAAAACGTATTTTTCAACCCCTTCCTCCAATAAGAGATTTTCTCCTAACCCTACTCCTTTCTCTAAAACATGGTTTTAACTCTTTCCTCCAATGGGAGATTTTTCCAAACCCCACCATCGGGGACTTAAGTCGTTTTCATGCCCCACTGCCGGAATTTCAGGACTCAAGTGTCGGGGGTGGAAATAGTATAAAAGCTAGTGTTTAAGCAGCGAGCGACATCATTACTATTCGTTACTTCTTCAACTTCTTTTCCAACTTGTACTTAAAGGACTTCGATTTCTTACGCGCTTTTGAACGATTTTCTTCTTGAATTTCGACTACGGACAGTTAGTCCATTTCGCCGCTTATTCTCACCATTATTTCGAGGATCCAGCTTTCCGAGAAGGAACTAAGGTATTTAAGACACACGCAGCACCGTCACATACACACCACACACACACACACTTGTAAACCCTCAGTTTCCTTCGATCTAATAAACCTTGTAAACCTTGTAAAACAAATCTCCATTTATTTACCTTTCCTTAATCCCGATAACGATAAATTCCGCATAGGACTTGCCGAGGGGCCCACGGAATTTTCTATTTCCTTTTTCTTTGAATTTCCTTAATCGTAAAGAAGGTGCGGGGGCTAGGTCTCGCCTCCCCTTCCGTATACGGATTCCTTTCTTTTACCCAATTCCCAGACGTAACACATGAATACCACTTAAATTTGAAACAGCTTGATAAACTTCGACAGTGCATAACAATACCCACTTCACCATTTATACAAGCTACGGCTTTCTTAATTCTTTTATAGTCGTTTCACTCGCTTCATCACAGCATCTCGGTTATATTTCAACCAAAAGGGACATCGTCAGACGTTTGAATCTGCACTGAGAAATAAAATGTCATTGAATCGGTGAAATATTGCTTTGAATAGTACCAAAGAAATATTTTGTTAATTCAAAGAATAATCATTTGATCCAAAGACACTCGAAAAAGTTGGATGCTACGTTTCTTCGAAATTATGACAACTTATTTCAATTAACAAAATATTTCTTTGATACCGTTCAAAGAAATATTTCTTTGGTCCGATGAACTTCTTTTCTCCGGGTGGAAGTAAAAAAACAAAGGCTGGTTTCCTTCTTCAGCTTCTACTTACCCCTTGCCCGTATTCACAAGACTGGTTATATAAAAATGGACTAACCGCAAATTAGAAACAAGGAAAAGCTCTTTTAGCCTTCCTTTTTAAAGTTATGGCCACGAAGTAGTATAAGGAGATTCAACGCTATGTATGGAAATTGTCCCCACTTTCGGGGTCCAAGATCTACGGATTTTTTCCGATCTAGGGCCGAGAGCGCCCCGAGATGAAATTTTGCAAGTTGAAATTATCGTCTGCTAGGGGGTCTGCTAGTCTTTAGCGCGTTAAAAACATCACGTTATCGTGATGTATATCATGCGCGGATTATCGTTTCGCTATGCGTGCCTTAATTGCAAAATTAAAAGCACGTTAGACCATTTACGTCGGGAAGAAATGTTTTGGTTACGTAAGATTGGAGTTCCCTAATTTTCCGCAAGTAGAGCTCGCATCGTTAGAGTAGCAAAAATCTGAGATCCTGGGTCCCGATTCTGGACTCACTTTCTGTGGAACGGACCATTGGCGTTACGTTTCCTTATACTACTTCATGGTCATGAGTACGTTCACAAATCCAGCACTGACTGTTAAGTAATCTTCCAAACGATACTTATATACCCGCGGTTGCGCAAGCTACAAGAACGGTAGTTCATTCTATACCTTTTAGTCGATACGTCGACCAGGTCTGCATATGCATGCTACTTCTACCGGTGAAATAAATCCCTGATTTTCAATTAAGAAATGACCCAATGTGCACAAAATCAATGGAAAAGAAGGCTCTAAAATGGTGAGGCTCCTAAGGAACCCAGAAGCCCAATGCTCGCAAATTCGTGTCCAATGACAGTCCTGAACTGAACGCCCTGCTTCAGAAGATCGGGGGTTTAAGGTGACACGAAAGTGGCGACAAAAGATGTTTCGTTTATGAAACTTTTCACCAAGCTGGGTGTTCCAAATCGTTTCAAACTTTGCAATGGGAATATGCCGACCCTCATGAAATTTCATTTTTTTTTTATTTCTTTATAGTTATTTAGAAAATTTTCTATAAAAAAAACATATATTCGTGGTATAACGTTTGAAACGATTCGGTACACCCAATTCGGAGAAAAGTTTCATAAACGAAACATCTTTGACCCCACTTTCACGTCGCCTTAATCCTTTCGACTGTACCAAGGCCCCGGATAGTGCCAGAGAAAAGTTGCGAGGCTAAGGTTGTAACAACGAATCCAAGGTCGCGTTCGATCGAGTGAACGTGTTACGGAGAGAACGAAGGTCCGAGGTCCTCCGAAGGGTCTCTAAGAGAGGAGCTTGTCTTCGGGGATGGTGGGGCTGGTTGCCGACAAACCGGATGACACCCGTCTTGCGCCCTCGGACTCTCTTAACGCCTCGTCGAAGCTCTGCGCCGAATTGGACCTCGACGGCACGACTTTAGTCTGAAAAGACAATGGACTCTGTTACTTACGTGCTCGTATAACACATTAAATTCGATCTCATGCAGTCAGCAATCGGATTACTCAAGTTTACAGGCTTTTAGCCCCAGGGTCGAAACGAACTTTCCTTCCGTTTCTTTATCGCTTTACCATGGTCGTGGCCATTTCATTTGAACGTCGAACCGAGCGACGTATTTTGCTTTACACCCACGGTTCAATTCACTCTTAAGAAACCCTTGGATTTGCTCAATTTTTACAACATCCAGTTCTTAGAAAAGTTTCATGAACGATTGAGCTTTCGAACGCCACTTTCACATCCCCTTAAGCATCTGAGCGAAACTACTACAATGACCCCATATTTCATAATAGTGACAATAAATCCGGCAGATTTACGATTCGTTTGGCGGATAGTTTAATTTACCTTGACGTTTTCATAAGCGGAGCCAACTTTCTCCTCGAGAGAACGGAAGCTGTCGGAATTCCGCATCTGGCCCAGTTTCATCGAGATTCCGCTACCGAATCCGCCCAAAATGCTGGTTGTCTTCTCGGCCGTCGTCTTGAATACTGACTCCGTCTTCTGGAATCTGATAAAGGAAAAAGGAACGGTGCCGTTAGTTATCGCAACGATCAATTCTTCTGAAAACAGCAGTTTTGAATGCGCCTACGCGACACGATCTCGAGGTGTCAGAGGGCGATCAAAGTTGATACAGATAGAACGAATAGTGTTCGCAAACTGTTAACCAACATGTGGACCGTTCTGCGAAGGTCTCGCTGAAAGTAATATCGTTGCGGCTGAGTTTCAGTGAATAAACTATTTACATCAATTTAAGGTGATACGAAAGATCAGCCTATATATGAGAGATCAGACCGTTCGAGAAAGTATTCTTCGATTCGTTTCAAATTTTACCACGTGAATATGAAAGCCCTAAGGTAGGTCCTGAAACTAATGAAATTTCATTTTTTTTTTATACAAACATTTGTTTATCTATCATGGACTAGAACCAACGTGACGTGATCCGTGCACGTTTTCGATTTTCTACGCTTCCTGAAAGGCTTAGAATCGAAAATGAAGAATATAAGGACTTAGCTCGAACAATTTAGAATACTAGAGGAATGGAATATTACGGAGTTACATGGAAAAATATGGAAAATACTTTCGCCAACGATTGCACGAACAATGCTGGCTTGTTTCGTGGGTAGCATATATTTTAGAGCAAAAAATTTAGTTGCAGCTGAACGTCACGGATGGCGCCGTTGGTCCACTAGGAGTATCAAAAATCACGAATCCACGGGATTTCCAGTATTACGTCCATCTCTTCGTCATTACTTTACCGAAATGTGACCCAGGGAACGTTTCATTTCGTATAATCCTCAACGGAGAGTGTGACAAACTTCGATATGAATATAAATGTAGGTAATGTGACGCACCAGCTTATATTACCGTTGGAGTATCAAAAATGGTGTTACCCCCAAGAAAGTTATAGATGAATTTCATTTTATCGACGTCGATTAAATTTCTCAATGCTGTTCATGTCACCCTAATGGATGGCTCATATTGCCTCGAAAAAGAGGGAAGTAACCGTTTCATCGTATTTTTTTTAAATGATGAAAAAGCCAACCACTTCGAAAACGGATTCAACAAAACTCAAATCTGACCAGAAGAATGAACAACAAAGTAGGTTGAGGAATAAGTTCCCGCCGGTTTTAACGTAACGTAACGTAACATAATTAAAACGGCGGAAACTTATTCTTCGATCTAATATATTCCTAATTTCAAAGTATACAAGATAATGATCCTTCATGGCATGGAAGACAACCATCACCCCTGAAGAGATCAAAGACAAAAACCCAGACGAAGTCAATGGCTGGAAATCTCCAATTCAAATTAGGATCTCCCTTAAAAAAACGAAGAAACCGACGCGGACAGCTCTATCGAGCACTATTTTCCCAGCAAGACGTCACTTTCTTGAAAAAAAGACATTCTGGTGTCAAACAAATTGTTCTTTACTGCTGGCAACACAATAAATACTAGTGACAAGTGGATCGAAAGAAATTAATTTCCAAACAATGCTCAATTTTCTTGATCTGAGAATTAGTTTTACCTAATCTTTTATTATTTATTACCATTTTATTTTCTGTACACAAGTATCTTGGGATGTAAAGATAATTTACTCCCTTCTAGGGGTGAGAAAGATCGATTTAAAAAATCAATCTTCAAAGAATCGAACGTTCCATTACCGATCATAATTAGCATTACAGAAGCGAAACTTTGTACAAATATTATACAGGGCATAGAGAAGAAAATATTTTGACACTTTTCTAAGTGTATGTATTTACTCCGAAAAAAGAATGTCATTAAACCAAAGAAATATTGTCAGTTCAAAGAATAATTATTTAACTCTAATGAACTCGACAAATCGAATTCGAGTCAAATAATTATTATTGGAATTAACGTAATATTTCTTTGGTTCAATGAATTTTTTTTTTCTCATTGCAGGAAGAACCGGCTAAATCTTATGATAATTATACAATTTGATTATTTGTCTGGATTATAGGGCCGAATATGTTAATCATTCCTCGTAAGCGCAATGTTAAAATTCAATATGAATATCCACGCTTTCGGTATCAAGTATGGATGGGCGGCATTACGGTGTTAATGGCTCGTTAGAGGATTAACCAAGCATTGTCCTAGTATAATTGTTAACGTAATTGAAGCAAAGTCGAAGAGATTATATGCAGAAGAAACGTTGGATGCGTATTGTTAATAAAAGAAAAAAAAAAAAAGATGACATGGAATACTTACAAACTGTTTTCGGAGACGGCCTTGGTGAAGTGACTGAATTTCTGGCCGACGTTTTGACAACTAAATGAAAACCCAACCAAAAGTCAAAGAAGTATGACCTACGGCTTCAACCGATCGTGAATGGAAGAAATGGCAATCGAAACCGTCACCTTGCGTTAGCCTAGCTAAACTGAAATAAAAATGTGTGACCGACTTTGCATACAGTACACCCAGATAGCAGAGTAACGCTCAATTACGTTAAAATTACGTTAATCCTTTGGCTACTAAAGGCGTCCGACGTTTCGTCCAATTTCGTCTACGCGCATTAACGAATTTCGCCCATATGTCAAAAGGGTTAAAATTGCGTGAACATTCGGTGGATATTGATCGCAGTCTATAAAAAAAAACTGAAAAGTGACAGGTTTTTCATTTGACGTCCTTACTCGAGTAGGAACGTCGACGCATCGCATATTGTGTACTTCAAATAGACGAGGAAAGTATCTTACGAATAAAATAACAGTTCAATGAGTCTGTTTCTTATTTTCTTGACCGGAAATTAGTAATGAGAATATTTATTAAACCAAATTTGTTGTGGCTTTCGAGAATGACCCGCGTCCATCGTCGCCAGGAGGCCGACTTTTCGCAAACGTTGCAGTTCGCTTCATCGGGGCAGACCCTGATGAAATATGGAAACATTTCGAAAGCCACGATCAATTTAAGGAACAACTCGGAAGCTTGAAATCTCAAATCTTAATTAATTCGATTGCGGTGGTGTTCCAATATATAAAAAGCGTTGCGTGTCTCACAGGACTACGATAACTCGGTGTCTATCGTTGACGAGTCCTGGGTTTCTTCGACATGGAAAATTCGTCCTTCTATATCCTTACTTCCGTGGGTTTGGAGAGAATGCGATTACTAAAAATCTCGAATTCGTATGCAGATGGTAGTAAATTACCCATCCTTTTTTTTAACACGTTTTGTCTAGTTCCTATGTAGTCTGGTTACTAGCCAGCTTTAGCGTTCCAACTCTATCTAGTAACCGCCAAATTTAACTGACTAGAAACTAGACCAAATTGCTCCTGCATATTGTTATGTAACGAAAAAAACACGTCATTGGACAAATTTCTAGGATGCTATCGAAAGGACGTCATTGAACTATGGAATATGAATCGTCACTTTCGCGTCACACTTACATCTTTGATTTGCAAATTTCAACATAATTTTGGACTGAAAAGTCCCATGCATATCACGTACCCTGCTACCTGGGATACCAATGAAATCGCCTTAAAGCGCCAAACATCCATGCCCTTGTATGTACAAATTTCGAAATTCCATGCACTTTTCTTAAAGTTACGTGTTTCCCTTTCTGAACAAGAGGAATGATGCTAGATTTTGGACCTTACCTGAGTAATGGTAAAGTTTGGGCCAAGTAACGATATAACCCGAGTAAATAGTTACGGATTCTGTATAAATGTGTAAGTAGATACCAAAATATGAAAAAAGGATTCGTTGTTTCCGAAAGTAGTAACGAAATCTTATATAACGATTTTACTGGATGCAGGGTCATTTGAACAAGTAGGTTCAAATAACCCTACATCTTTCCCAGGTTTACGTTTTGCCCTCACGTGCGATATTTCATTTGCGCAACAACTTGATTCACCGATAAAAGAAAAAAAACATCAGTCAAAGAGACATTAAATTAATTACTTGCGATTAATTCGTGTCAGAACGCAAACTATTTAGTTGGCGAACCTGAGCGGAGGACCATATAAATATGTTGTAATCACCGAAGCAACTGAACCGTCATGAAATGTGAACAAATGATTTTGATAACTGAATAACAAATATGGCGGCCGTGGCAATTCAAAGGTGTACCGCTCTTATCGGAAACCCCTGCAGTTTAGATATCAATCGTTACATCTTAGGTCGAAAACTATCTTAAACGGTCGGAGGGTGATACTGCATTTTGATTCAACGACTACTTAGGTATACCGATTCCGTCTACCATGGTACTTTTAAGGGGATGTGAAAGTGGCATCCAAGGAGTCAATCGTTCGTGAAACTTTTCTCCGAACCGAGGGATCCGAATCGTTTCAAAGTTTACAACGTGTATTTGGAGGTTACAAGGAAGGTTTTGACCCTCGTAAAATTTCATTTTTTATACGAAAATTAAAAAAAAGGAATGTCAGGACCTTTCTTATAGTTTCTATATTAACCCTGAAACGTTCGAAACGATTCGTTACCCCCCAATTCGGGGAAAAGTTTCATACACGAGACATCTTTAACGCCACTTTTCCATCACCTTAACGATCGGTTCGTGCGACATATCGGACAAAATAGCGGAAAAATTGAATCGACTCGGTACGTACACTTGGCTCTCTTTGACATTTCGAAGGCCCTGGTTGACGTCCTCGCTGAGCTCCTTCCAGACGGTGATTCCCAGTTTTCTCTTCAGGTCCTGCGAGACCCTCACTTTGTTGGCCAGGACGTGCCTCAAAGTTTGGATTTCTTCTTCAACCTACAACCATGCTACGATTACGAAAAGAAGTAATGCTTGATATATCATTTTGTCCGCGTCTATTATCTTCCCCATTGTTGCGCATACTCCCGAACTAACGTGTACATTAACCATGCGTTGGCGAACAATATTCGCTCGATACAATTTTCATGCGAATCGCTTCAAACTTTCGCAAGATATTTCTTTTTAAATTATCCAAGTTGGCGTGGAGGGATTTTGCGGTTTAATGCTGCTTTTGCTAGACATTTTTATACAAAATAGTTTGGGAAACGTCGAAATACTTGTCAATTATGTCTCGTTCCGTAAAGATTAATATTTGACAAATACCCTACGTACCGACTTAGAAAACGTTATACGGAAACGGGAAATGCTTGGGTCTCCGTTCGATTTGAAAAACAGTGCCCATAATCGATGCATCGTAGCAAACATTACGGGAAAAGATGAGGCAACGAAACTGCTCCATGGTCGGGAATGTGTTTAAAAGAGAAAACATTTACTTGTCCTTATATATTGGAATAACAAAATCCCATCGATACAAATTCTATTCGATTTTCATTCAATGGTAAAAAAAAAAAATATGTCGAAACACCGCAACGATTTTTGGACCCTCGTCACGGGGTAACGTGGCGTAACCGTCAACTAATCTAGAACTCGTACCGATTCGCGTTTCTTTCGCGTTCGGTTCCGAAAGAATACCTTGGCGAGCTCGTCGCTCCATTCCTCCTTCTGGCGCTCCTGCTCCTCGAGAGACAGACCCTGCAGCTCGTTGGCCACGTTGTCGGCCGATGGGGACAGCGAGCCCGAGCGAAGGGAGGCGTCCTCTCCTGCAACGAGAAGACGAGGACTGGAGAAGGTACCCGAGTAAGCTACCCGGAATGTTACTTTTTTTTATTCATACCCAGATTCACAATACGTCATAATACATCATACGATAAGGACCGACATTTGAGAGCTGAACATTTATGGAACATTTAACAGGACATTGTATCGAATTAGTTAATGCTACAAATGTCACCTAAATATGACGTTACTTCGCGTTCCCGTTTCCTTGACGTCATGACTCAAATACGAGCTCCGGACGTGGCAATTGTTTATCGGCAATGCGCGAGAGAAATTTAGGTGTACGGGGGCGGACGAACATTGAGACATCGCATGTACTTTGCTTCATATTTAAGTATTTTTGGTTGGCGATTGCGTTCCGCAGATATGAGTTATGAAGAGGACTCGTTTCATGATATCTTATGAGGCAAATTTCATGCAAATTGTCATCACTTTGTCTATCCGGGTATACGGTAGACTTCCGTATAACGCGGTTAATATGTTCCGCGTTATATGAAATCGTGCCGTACGGAAATTTTTCATGGAATTTTTCACGGGAATGCCCTTCGAAGTTCAAGTTAAAGAGTAATAAATGTCATTGAAAAATATGAATCGCAGAGTTTCATTTACTTCCAGCTACAAATATTTACGTATAATTTCCTGGGAGTTCCACGTGATTTGGTCCGAATCAGGGCCGATATTTCATTGATCCAACCGAGGGGGTATTTCCTCAGAAAATCATCGATTTCAATGTGAAATCAGCTGGAAATCAGCTGGAAATCCCTGAAAATGATTGAAATTCCCCGAAAGACCGTCACGGTTTTAAGGCCGAACGTCCCTTGCTCCCGAACGTATTGTTGTTCATCACATGAAACCAAAGGCAACAGGTTCTCAAAGAAAGGAAATCACGGATCGTATAGCTCGAAACCATGGGAAAATCGACTGGAAATCGTTGGAAATCACCGAAACGTTGTCCAAATTTGAAGGTCGAACGTTTCGCGATACTAAATCGTATTGTTCTTTATCATATGAAATGAGAGGCAATCGGCTCTCAAAGAAGGAAATGGTTTTCGCTAATTTCCAAGTGAACAGCCCCACGGAATTTGGAATGTCGGTACACTCGAGGAAAATTTCTAGAAAAAGAGAAGACAATTTCACGCTCCGATTCGATCGTTTCTTCGGATAAAACGGTTGAACGTCATTTTCTTGCACAAATTCGTACGATTTCTGCAAAGTAACGGAGGAATTAACGTTTTCCTCGTATTACTTTCTAAACCATTAGCCGGGACTACTTATTGTTAGCCCCCTTGTAGCCTTCTTTCGTTTATCGTGCTCTTCCTCGGTTGCGTTCGTTTTTTTACGTTTGCAGGGCTGTCATTGTCGTTTGGAGTAACCGTTCGATAATACTTAATTTAATTATCAACTGACGGGGAATTATTTGCAAGCCTCCGCCTTTGCTCTTGCTCATTCTAATATACCTAGGCTGTTAAAAAAAAAATGCATAAAATTCATACACTTTGAATACACAAGGTTGGAGCAAAATTATAAATTTGACGTGCTAGTAGTGAATCGGTATAGATTTATTACAAAATTCTTATTAAACTTACAATTTTGTAACATTAGAATTTTATAACAAAAGTATACCAATTCATAATTATGACATAAAACGTATAATTTAACGACAGCCTTCCGTGCTAAAAGTGAATGGACCTTTACGCATCGGGAAACTCGGCAGAGTCCCGAACAGTTCCGAATACTTAACGCCAAAGTTCGGCCCTTGAATTCGTGAAGATATGAACTTCTCAATTCAGGGAACTCATCGTGGATCCACGTTCGGCACAACGGCTCAACGTTCCGTATCGTAGTTTTAAGAATAGGGAGCCCAACCTTTAACGAGCTCCAAGAACTTTTTGTAGTTCTGGCTGTTGGTGATCTTAGCCAGATACGGCTTGGACAGGTTCTGAAAGATGACCCTGACCGATCTCCTCCTTTTCGGACGCGAGTTCCCCTCGGACTGCAGAAATTCCGCCTCGACGGCGCAGCCGGCGTCGTCGACGACGATTTCCTCGATGTCGCCATTCGAGTCGCGCCAGCAGTGGACGACTATCTCGTCGCTGTCGCTGAGCTCGTCGATGTCGTCGAAACTCGGCGTGGCCGCTATCTGGGAATAGTAGACGTCCTCCTCGTACTCCAAGGACTCGAGCTCGTTCTCGAGCTCGTTCTCGAGCTCGTTCTCGTTCTCGCTGGGACAGTCCTGGTCGTGGTCCGAGCTCGTTTTCCCACTTCCGGGAGCTCGCAAACCGAGTTCCTCCGTTCGACTCTTCTTCGAAGGTTCCGCCATCATGCCCGGCATTATTTTCACTTTCTACGACTTCGAGGCGATTCAAACGTTATACTCCGAGAACTAAATTGCATCGAACCAAAGAAATACTTTACTTTTTCGGACAATAACCATTTCGCTCGAATAAACTTGAATAAATTAGATGCAACATTTATTGGAATTAACGAGATATTTCTTTCGTTCGACGTAATTTCATTTCTCAGGGTAGAACGTTCGCGCACTTATGCGGCGACGCGAATGTTCCGTGTATCCACGACCTGCATTCACTCGTCGAGCCAATCACCGACTGCCCCGATATTTCCGGAAATATCATTTATCGTTAAACACAAGGTGACGACGAGTTGAGGCACGATTTGTAAAAATTATTGGAACCTTCTTCATTTTCTTTTACATTTAAGGTGAAGCGAAACGCATCGAGAAATTTCATCGACGTCGGTAAAAAAAAGACAACCGATATTCCATCTGAAATAGAGCGACGTTACCGACTTTACGTTCATGTTGACGTCTAATACACTTTATGTTGAGAATTCTACGAAATCGTATGTACGCTGTACGTAATTTTAGTAGAATAATTACGAATGAAATCAAGAGAAATTCAATAAATCTCCTGGATTCAGGAATTTTAATGCTTTAATGGATCAATGGCGCCATCTGGGGAGACGTTCTAACGTCGGAATCTATTTATCGATACAAAAAATAGGACAGTTTAATAGCCATCGCGCACGTTACAGGAGAAACTTTTAAGTTACAGGAAATTATTAGATTTTATTAACCCTTTGACTGCGAAAAGCATACACTGGATATTCCAGAAGTTGTAGCAATCCCCGAAGGTGGTGGGAGTAGATGATGTTTGAAAACGAAAGTTCCTTCGCCATTTTTTCCTATAACGATCGATTACGCGCGTGATCACCACGGACATTAAAAGTAAGACTTTCAAGTTAGAGAAAAGTATTAGACTTCGTTAACCCTTTGACTGCGAAAAGCATATAAAGAGGGTTCCAGAGATTGTAGCAATTCCTGAAACCGATGAGAGGTGATGGCGTACGAAGCCAAAAGTTCCTTTACCATTTTTATTTTCTAAAATGATTATTTCCCGAGTTATTAATCGTTAAAGTTGACACTTTGGCCTAGACCAAACTCAAATTGGCGTCGAGCTCTCATATTTCGATCGATATACAGTTACGGAAGAGTCCGATATGAGAAACGAAAGTATCAGGACAATTGTCCAACGATTTAGAACCCTCTGGTAATCGAGAAACTCGCATTTGAACGAAATAAAGGCAAAAAAAAGTGTCTTTTGCACTTGTATACTACAACGAAGGTAACACGAGGTCTCGGAGAGGAGATTTAGTTGGCACCGAAATCACAGATGGCGCAGTGGCCCTCTGCAGTCACTTAGGGGACACCAGAAACCATAAATCCATAAGATTTCTGGAGATTTACTTCGATTTTTTTTATAATTATTGTACAGAAACGATATATGGAGTATGCCGTTTGGTACAACACACCTGTTAATGCGAACATCGATAACGCAGGTATTTCGAAAAATCATTTTTATCGACATTAATCAAATTTCTCGACGCGCTTCACTTCATCTTAATACCGTGTTAATAGAAGTTTCACATTAAAAACTAATCTTATCACCATACACGTGAAATTCCGCACGCCGGGAGATTTATCGATCAAAGTACAGTGACGAAAATGATGAAAAAGGTGGTCAAGACTATTCGTCTGCCTGAACGTGAAATCGTTGCATTTTAATATCATATTTCATCACTTTTACTTAAAATTTTTAATTATTCGGAAGAAAAAATGTGAAGAATGAAAAATTAAACACGAAGACCACCTTAACAAAATGTATACATATTTAAAGTAAAGTTCTTCCAACTTTTTTTTTAATGACATATTTTATTGTTGTTTTGCACATCTTTTTGGTTCTAAAACTACGTTGCTAAGTGTAAAACTGTACGCGCGTTAGGCATGAGAAGTGCTAAAAAAGGAATGTACATATGGTAAAAAAAGATCTTTAATGAGAAATAATTTCTTCCTCGTTCAAAAGGGCGATCATTGGACCAACCACGTGCATTGCGAAGATATCTTGCTTCATTTTACTCGTACATCAAGAACAGCAGACATCCGCAGCCAATTCTTTTCAATTTCGACGAACAATTGTATAAGCTAAAGATTCTCGTTTGAAACTTGGCGGAATATCACGAGATTCATAACTTTCTCGGTAATTGAAAATAAAATGTAAGAATACCTCATTGGAATAAAGGAATAATTCCACGCGATATTTAAAACTTTTCAACCGATATAAAATAAACTTTAAGAGTCATTGGAAATTGGAAAGAGACGATTCTTTAAAAAATCACCTCTACTTAAACCCGGCAAAATTTTCGTTTTTAAAGACCGATGCCAGTAATTCGTCCGGGGGTCAATTTTAGATCGACGTACGGAACCGCACATAACAATTACGCTTCCGTCCTTTTGGCAATAAATATCCGAGTCACTCCTCTACCCGAACTGGCAATCGACAATCCCAAAATACAAATTTCATTCCAAGTTTCGGTCAGCCTTTTCCTTATTTTCGCCCCGGTGCAATGGCGAGGATTAAGTTTAACCGCCCCGACCGGTCACGCACTTCGGAAATAATCCCTCGGCACTTAGCAACGAAAGGTTAGGGGAGAAATGGGCACTCGATCCGCACTCGAAACTGCGTTACAGAGAAATCACATATCGGCGTTAGCGGCAGCCGAGCAAACGTGTCGCGCGATTCGCAATTGGTTCGCGGTCCTCGGCACGGATGGCGCGACTGTCGGTCGGCCACGTACCAGGAAAGAAATCGGAATGCCACGAGAGGGAGGAACGGTCCCCACTCTTCCACGCATTTCCACGGGTTCTCCGCTCTCCTCGTTCAAGGTGCTTCGACATGGCGCGATACTTCTACGACCGGCAAGGCCCGCTTTTTTTCTCCCACCCATCAAATAAGCGATACACGGTTTGTTCTCGCGAGTCAAGAATATTGCAACTGCATCCCTTCTTACCGAAATGAACCAACGACGCCATCTGTGACGTTTAGCTTCGACTAAATTTTTCCGCTAAAATACGTCTTACCCCCGGGACAAGCCAGCATTCTCTTGCAATCGTTGGTGAAAGGATTTTCCATATTTTTCTATCCGATGCTGTAATATTCCATTTTTATGGTATACGTTATAACCGTTTCCAAAATATTTAAAATCAAAATTACACGTTTTGTTCCCATAATGAAATAACGGAATGCAAATATTTGTCGTATTTTTTTATACAATATGAAGGATCCAATAATAAATATTGTGTAAAAAATGTACTTTTATTATATGTTTATAAATTAAAAAATATAACAACTAAATATGTCCAAATGAAATCTACGAGACATCTTAGAAAATCTGTCGGTCGAGATATTTAGCAAAGATAGGAAGAAAATATTTAGAAATTATTCCGTGCTCCTAGGGATATTTCACTTAACTGCAAGATAAACGGAAGTCCTAGCGTATTCAAAATTCCTCTCCCAAAATTAATAATTTTCAACTTTAAGAACATGATTGTATAAAACAGAAATGACGCACAAGTGGTATCAATAATTATCCTGACATAGAATTAACCGTCGACTTGGTTTTTTGCGTAAATAAAAAATCCCCTGAAAAACCATGTCGTAATTTCAATAGTTTATCATACAGTAAACCTGTTTTGAGGTTAACTCGGTTTCTCGATAAGATTCACGTACACGAGTGGACGTAAATTCTTTTTCTCCTTATGTTGGCAATATCATATAGTTGGTAGCCGATTTATTAGTTACGCTATAACTTCTCTCGTATTTCAGATTCAACCCTTAATATTAAAATAAAAAATAAAAATCAAAAATTAAAATTCATGAGCGTCACGTTCTTCCTTAGGGCCTACATAATCACACAATGAAGTTTCCATCGATTCGATGTACCCAGGGTGGAGAAAAGTTTTATAGATATTTTCACGTTTTACATGTATACGATGACCCTTTCTTATCGCCTTATCATGGAAACCTGATGATAAATTCATTCAATATCTTAAGTCCAAAAATAGCATCAATTCGATGTCATTTTTACACGTCTGCACGTTTGAGGTATAATTATTTGCAAAGGTAATCATTTTTCTGTTGTCCATACACCGAGATGACTTCTAAAAAACAGAGTGCTGGCCTGTCTTCAAGTATTTCACATTTACTGGAGCAAGTAACATTATTTTCACTGCGATGTATTATTCTGCCTGTACACATATTTAATTGAAATATGCTCAACCCACAAACCAAACTTATCTCTTGTAGAAAGCATACATTAAATACCAAATATAGAATAAGAAGGCTGTTGAGAATTTTTTTATTTATCAAAATAATGTCCATAAAGCTGTCATTGCCACTTTAGCGCAATTCAATAAAATTTGTTGCAAAATTTATTACTAATTTATCACTACTTTATTGACCGTCAAAATACATTTCTGTTGTTGATCGATTTAATGTTCGAGTAGGTAAAATTAATAAAAAAAAGTGCCTACATGTCGTGTTCACTCCAACTGATTTCATATAAATAGTTTCTACCGATACCGAGTAAAGATCGAGGCCAAAAGTATTTGGTATCAAAATGAAAGTATCAACTGTATAGTTATATTCACTTATACCAGGTTATCTTCAAGTGTGATAGATCAAATGGAAACGAAAACGAGTCAAAGGAGGTTACTCGGTGGAATCGTCGAACGATATCCTATGGGTCAATTTGAATATTCTTTGCTCAAAAGTATTTTTCATCTTCCATCGTATTTTATGTCATAGTAATACAATGTATCGGAGGGTCCAGGATCTACTAGTGCCATTAATGTGAAGCAGAACACGTAAAGAAATATGATCGTTAGGAAAAAAAATTCTTCTAAATACCCACGTTACCGACGTTCGTATTTATATCGATAGCTGTGTCAAATTGTATTGAGTTTTGTCCGAAATGGCATAGATTTTAGGGGCATACTCTATGGTTTACTTCCGGACAATAATTATAAAGAAATTGAAGTAAAACTCCAGAAATCTTCTGGATTCGTGGTTTTTGATGCCCTAAGTGACTGTAAAGGGCCACTCTGTGCCATCTGTGATTTTAGGGGCAACTAAATTTTCTCTCAAAGATCTCGCATTACCTTTGCTTTAGCATAAAAACGCATAAGGCACTTCTTTTGCCTTTATTCCATTCAAATGCGAGTATATCAATTACAAGAATGTTTTAAATCGTTGAATAATTGTCCTGATACTTTCGTTTCTCATGCCAGAGCCATCGATAACTGAATGTCAATTGAAATATGAGAGCTCGATGCCATGTCGGTTCTAATCTAAGCTAAGTAAAAACAATTTGTTCTGAAAATCCAAATTTTCAAAGTGTCGGAATAATTCCTAGGTGCTCGCGAATCAAGGGTCAAAGTTTTGGATGGTTCGGTCCAATACCCTTAAAAAAAAGTGTCTTATTCGAATCTACTGATTTGAGGGGCGTTTCATTTCACCTTAAGACAAGATAACGTAGAAAGCTGAGAAACTAAAACACACATTTCTTAAGCGAATTACCAAAAGTTCTTTTTAAAGAACATTCAAATTGACCCTGTGCAACATCTGGACTTTGAAAGGTTCAAGAATCTGACAACCTGGTTAGCTAGGTGAGCGCGAAAGAAGTTAGAGGTTATTAGAAAAGTAGCGACAAGATTCGGCAACATAGCACGTCAAAATGCCGAAAACTGATCTGAAATCGAAGTCCAATAAGAAAACATGCGAATGACAGGCCCACAAGTATTCGGGATTCGATAACGAAGCGAAATCACTCAGGTCGAGAACTCACCTGTTGGTACGTTGTCCATTTTGGCCGGAGACCAGATCACTGGCTTTCGTTAGATTCCTTTAGAATTCCTGGAGAGTGGACAGATCGCGTTCGGTCACTTTTACACGACTTCCTGCGAGTACTACAAATATGTACGAGCTCCCTTCCGTCTACTGAGAATCGATGTCTTCTGGATCGCCCGAGCAACAGTAAGGCACCATCTTTAATCTCAAGCGATTTCAAGCAAAAAAGGTGTTCGTGGCTCACTCTGACGGTCACGGTATCTTTGGCGAGAGCGCTCACCTCTCACACTTTCATCTCACGTGAGTTTATAATCCGAGGCAGCTGCCGGTTCGTCGCCGGGCCGGACCCGGCTTCGCCCAATCCGGGAGCTGAATCGCGGTCAGGGGTCACGATATATAGGTGTAACACATTCCTGACAGAGATGAGTTGCGCCTCCACTAAGGGGTAACAGATGGCAAGTATGTACATACGTTAGCTGCCCCGCCGACCACCAGGGGACAGCACAGGACGCTATCGTATGGCGCGTTAGCATTATTTTTGCCCGATTTATTCTGTTAATGATAAATAAAACACTATAGACGTTATCACAATACTTATTATTGAACCCATTTGGTGTATATAAACTTTCTTTTATTACAGCTTTGATAGAGCACACATTTTTGGCGGTAATTCCGTCGTTAGACTTTTTACTTCTTCTACTACTTATATAACTACACGGCGGACTAAGGTGTATTTGCACGTTGTCCTATCGGAGCGCCGCTTGCGGCGTTTGCCCGAACCGTGTATGCCGTTGTCCTAGGTGCTTACGCCACAATCGCGCGACCTTGCCCGTGAGCAATCTTCCAACTCATCTCTGGGTGTCAATTACGGAAAGTAAATTCAGCGAAAATATGAAAAATAAGTAGCTGACGGTACTCTTTGAGTATATGGACACAGCCCAGGGTCCCATCATAGACGAGGGTCTGCAATTCAAGGTCTATAAATTCATGTCTGTGCATTATTCAAGTATCGATCCACAAATAAATGTAACGCTATCTAAAAAGGAAGATCTTTACTCAATTTTACGTGAATTCTTATAGTATTGTATTCATTCTCCTAGTTTCTTATTTCTATGCTTTATCCTATAAAAAAAACCGCATCGGATTCAAATAATTCAATGCACTCAATTCGGAGAAAAGTTTTATAAATATTTTGACATATCGGACGCCACTTTCATTTCATCTTGAGGAAAGACAAGAAAGTTCTTAAACATATTTAATTATTTCCTATTCGGACCCTAATTTTCATCATGTACACTAACGGATATGGATGCCTCCCTTACAAATATTGTGCCGTTAGCATATAATGGGAAGGCATTCGTGTCCGTGGTGAACCTCCTATTTAAACATGCATCTATACTTCATTTTTGAAACGGACATTTGATCGATTTAATCGGTTGAGGAACACTTTCATAATCTTTACTTGCTGGAGTGATAAACACCTTGATGAACATTTAGTTCGTAATCTTTTAAGAGAAATGTTAAATACATATAAAGTGCGCATGGTATTTTTAAAGATACACGCTACATAATATATGACGAGGTACAGAACTTACTACAACTTATGGTAATTTGTAATTTAGTAATTTTTTCTCATTTCAGATCGCACGTGTTGAGGTTAACCCATTCCTGTCTTGCATTAACCAAAATATTTGACATATTACAAAGATTCGGGCCATGATGTACAATTGGCGACGAAAAGAAGATTCAGTAACCATACAAAGCATATAGTTACATTACTTCAAACAATGTAATAAGCGCTTAACAACTTTAGGAGGGGTGGGACAGTGCATACAAAAAACAACCTGTGAGCAACTAACTTTTTCCATGACACATAACTCTCGTTAAACGCTCTCAAGTGTAACAGAAAAGAAATTTTTGTTAAATACGTATCACATAAGGTAATATGAAAGCATCTGTGGGATCAATATTTTATGAAAATGTTGTCCATATTGGATGTATCAAATTATTTGAAATATTACCAAGTTAATATGGGAGCCCTAAAGAAAGTCACGACACCTGTACAATTTTATTTTTATAGAAAATTAAAAAAATGATTTATAACTCAATTTTTTAAATGAACTTCCATTTATGACAGGAACTTTCATAGGATTTGTATGGTAAAATTTCAAACGATTCGGTATACATAGCTCAGAAAAAAGTTTTATAAAATATCTCCCCCCCCCTCAGATGCCCCTTTCATTACACCTTAAATATCTCACTTTCATTAATTCATTTGGTAAGAACAACAAATTTAATCATTACTGGATTGAAATTAAAAAGCCCCTTCTATTTCTTCTTTCGGTTTCCGTGATTGTTGCGATTGCCATAGTTAATGCGCTTTCCTTTACAATAAGCTTTACTACCAGTAAGCGGCACTCGTTTATCTTCAGTTTGGTCATTCGTTACGTTCGCTGTTGATGCTATGAACAAATAAAACATATATTAAGAAAGTTTTGTTACTTGTATAAAGTTATAAACATCTACGTGTACGAAATTATGTACATATAACAAGAAACGTCATTACAATATCCCATTCCTTAAAACCTTAGTCTCAGAAACTTTAGTTACAAATATAGAACACAAATTGTTTAACATTAGAGACGTCGCTGAGGTTGTATAGCTACCGATAAGTAATGCAACAAACACCGTTAAGGTGATGTGATAATTGCATTAAAGAGGTTTTGTTCATGAAACTTTTATCCGAATCGGGTGTACCAAATCGTTTCAAGCTTTACAACGTGATTATGGAGGCTTTAAGCCAAACGATCGTCCATGCAATTTCATTTTTTCTGACAATATTTAAAATATGTTTATAAACATGTGTTTGAATATTGAAATTTTGTGAGTGGCAGGACTGCCCTTATAGCCTCCACATTTACTGTTGTAATGTTTTAAACGGTTCAGTACACCCAGTTCGGAGAAAAGTTACTTAAACGAGTTTTTTTTAGACGTTACTGTCACATTCCCTTAAACCCACTTTTATTAAAACATTCCACAATCCACTGACCCCCTCAATATGAAGCGCAACCCGTCGAGAAACTTACAATCCGTTGCCGTCGATAAAACCAAATTCTTCTTCTGATATACCATCTGAAACAGCGCTCTAAGTTACCAACGTTCGTGTTTACGTGACAGCTGTGTCGTATTACATTGATAATTGTATGGGTAGGCATCCCCCATATGTAATTTCAGTACAATGCTGATAATATGTCGACGTAAAACTCATGAAATTTCTTGAGAATTCATGATTTTTTATACTCCTATGTACTGGAGGGGACCGTCTAGCGACATCTGTCGGATTCTGTGTTAACTACATTTCGTTTCTGAGACTTGGTACACTGCACGTGTTACCTTCATTTTCATGTAAAGGCTCGTAAGATACTTCTTTTACCTTTATCACGTTCAACTGCGCGTTTCTCGATTACTATAGGGTGATAAATTATTGTGCGATGGTCCTGAGACTATCTTTTCTCACATGAGAGTCTTTAAGAATTGTATATGTCCAATTTGACGCAATAGGCATCGCAGATAATGACTAGGTCGGAGTTTCTTAATTGATGGAAAATGTGAGAGCAAATTTTGAAAGTGTTAGGATATTCCTTAGATGCTTACGAGTTACAGTTTCAAACGGTTCGGTGCAATACCCTTCGGAAAAGTGTCTCATTCGAATCGGCTGGTTTGAGACGGGTTTCATCTCATCTTCGGTACAATCTTTTCGATCATTGATATAACAATTTCCATATTTACCCTAAAGAAAATATTGGCCAAAATGTTTTAGCAATACGTACTTGAGGAGACGGTATTAGAATTCAGTTTCCCATTGCCCACGTCTTTCGGGGTTGAGTTATCCGACGGTGACAGCAATACTTAAACGTACATGTGTATATTAAAACGGTTACTTAGAACTTGCACTCTACCTAAAAATTATAATGGAAAATTTTAAGAAGAAAAAATTACTTTCAAGATCAGTGGGGGATACCAGTCTCTCCGGGGAAGTGCTCTTTGAACTGATAGGAGAATAGAATACTCCAGGTTCGTTGTCTATCCCAAGTTTGTTCGGTGTAAGTCTTCCACACTCGGATCTGCCGAAACCAATTTTTTCATCAGATGCATCACAGGCTATATCAGCAACCGTGTTCTGCGAAAGAAAATGAATGTACGATGCGTTCAGTTTTACAGAGTTGAGGTGATGTAATTGGCGGTAAGATATGTATTCGAAATGTCGGTAACAAAGAATTCTACCAGCTGATACAGCGCGTCAATCTACCGACAGTTATATTTCCATTGCTATATTTATATTTATATTGCTGTACGGAACCATATTAATAGTTGTAAACCGAAGATTCAAACAGTGCCCAATATAATGCTTACACGTTGTTGAACGTATTCTTCGAGATCTTTCGGATCAGGAAAAATATTCGGGTTTTTCGCATCTTCGAGAAGATCGGCTACCTCGTGTAAGGACACGTTTTCGTCCGAAGTTGCAGTAGTTGAAGAACAGTTTTCTACCTGAAAAAATTTTTCGTTAAAAAGGGGTGCTACGTGATGCTGAAGCACCAAAAATTAAGGTGATATGAAAGAGTCATTCGTATAAAACGTAAAGACATTTATAAGACTTCTTTCCAAACTGGGTGCACCAAATCATTTGAAACTTAAGCACGTGATTACAAAGGCCCTAAGGAGGAACGTGGCGCTCGTGAAATTTCATATTTCCAAAAGAAAATGTATTTTTGGTTCTAGCCTGTAATAAATAAGACATTTTTTTTATTAGAAATGAAATTTCACGAGCCCCACGTTCTTCCTTAAAGCCTCCATAATCACGCGTCAAATTTTCCAACGATTCGGTGCATCCAGAATGGATAAAAGTTTTATAAATATTTTGATGTTTTATATGTGCAGAATGACCGTTTCATATCACCGTAAAGGTTCGTTACGTTCCGTCCCCAGGACGTTTCGGCACTATGACGTTTCGCCGCTAGGCATTTTTGTCATTTGTACCACGAAATAGGATAAGGAGATACAACGCCATGTATCGAAATCGTCCCCACTTTAGGGATCCAAGATCTTCAGATTTTTCCCGATCTAGCGCCGAAAGTGCTTCCTCGATGAATTTTTGCAATTCAAAGTTATCGTCCGCTAATGGGTCTGCTAATCTTTATCACGTTAAAAACATTACGTTCTGTATATCATGCGCGGATTATCGTTTCGCTTTGCGTACCTTAATTGAAAAATTAAAAGCATTTTAGGTGATTTACGTCGGGAGGAAATGTTTTGGTCCCGTAGCGTTGAAGTTCCCACGTTTTCCGCACGTAGCGCTCGCGTGGTTAGAGCAACGAAAATCTGAGATCCTGGGTTCCCGTTTTTGGAGTCACTTTCTGCGGAATCGACCATTAGCGTCTTCTTAAATTACTTCCTGATCCAATGTTGCCTTACATTTTTAAAGACGCTTCAAGTGAACGAATGTTGTTTCGCTTCATTTTATGACCGTTAATCGGTTAACTTTTTTTTCCCTCGCAGGATCGACTACAGGGATTACGGGCCGGAAAGTAACTTTGAAAAAAGACTATGACAAGTAATTGAAGATGAAACACTCGTTGTTTTTAATACTTACGTCAAAATCGGGATCATTCTCGTCGCTCTCCACAGCTAGATGGGCAATTATAGACTGCAGAATGTCTTTTTCTCCGCCATCCGATTCGTCCGAACTATATCGACTGTACGTCCGCTTTGTGCCGACCTGCATTGGGCTTGTTGCAGAATCAACAACAGACTTTTCTTTAGACACCGCAGTCTGCAAAGGAACGGAAAAGCAACGATAGTATACAATGCGATGAAATGTACCCAGGTAGACAGAGTGATGCATAATTTACATCAAGTTTGCCTCATAAAAGGTCACGAAATGTGTTACTAGGGTGTTGCTTATGAGTCCTCGCTTGGAACTCGTATCTGTAGGACACGACGACGAACCAAAAATACTTAAATATGAAACAAAATTAAGTACGTAAAACGTCTCAATGGGTGTACGCATACGTACAGCTAAACTTATCTCACGCATTGCCGATTATCAGTTGCAGCATCCGTAGCTCATATAGCCATAGCGTGATGGAAATGGGAACATGGAGCAACGTCATATTTAGCGCACATTCATGGCATTAACTAACTTCGTACCCTGTCCGCAAATTAATGTCGCGGAATGATATTACAGCTCCTGTTTAATTTTCCATGAATGTTCAGCTCATAAATGTCGGTTACGGCATAACTGGCATATGACTCGAGTATGCGGTAAATATATTGCTCCTACCATTTGTGTCAAATTTCACGCAAATCTTTCTTCAAATTTATTGTGTAAAATGCGTACACACATTGCAGACATTTCATGCAGCAGACGGTCTGCAAATTGTTTGTGAATCGATTTCGACCTCACTATATGACGATCACAAGTTTCTATCTGGGTATACAATGCGATGAAATGTCTAAGCCTGTAAAGTTGGGTAATACAAGTCAAGAAGGTGAAATGTAAGGTCTGGGGTACATTTTTATCGCAGTCCGTGGGTGCAGCGTGAATTTTACAGAAAGTCCACAGTTGGTAGAAACCAGTGGGGCAAAATAAATGAAATTTCCTTTAATTATTCCATTTACATTTAGAATACGTCTTATATACGTATAAAATACGTACAATATCATATATGGAAAATATGTCTGATATACCTATGACTGTTGAACTTTTGAAAATGTATATACCAAATGAATAAATATTGCAATTAAACCTAATAATTTCTGCCACTGCCTTGAGTTAAACCGAAGAGAGTAAAATAAATAAAGAAAATACGAACAAATATTATTTATTTAAAATCGATGGGATTGGATAACTTTCTACGGGTTAGAACATGGATAGCTCACCTCCGATTCAATGCCCAGTTTTCGTTGGCGTATGGTCTTTAAGCCGTTGGTCTTGATTGTTCTAAGTTGCTTGCGGCTTTTCTGGATAAATTGTACCTGCAATAAAGATTATTAGGTTCCATGAGAAATAAAAGAGAATGCGATACATAAATAAATTAACATTTAAATATTCCGAATTGCGATAACGTAAGTGTACTTCAAACAAATTTAAAATTAAAGTAGTGTCTTTTATATATGTATATAAGTAGTTTATACCAGCTGTTTTTCTCTCAAGGTAGAATATAATTTAAACGCAACTAATATAAGATATATAGCCTACCATTCTAGTTGGTTGAACCTCTGGATATCCCAGAATGAAGGATCCTACATTTAGGATCGTCCTGATTGCTCTTAGAATGATCAGACCCGGAATAAAGAGAACCCACGGAAGAGGTCTGACCAGCTCCTTCTGTCCGAACACCTTTCCATTCTCTTCTGAAAACGGTATGCTCCGATAACAGAGCGATTTCACTTGAGACGTGAAGAAATTACAAGTTCGAATCAACGGCAATGCAATACTTTCATAATACATTTACGATCCACTGATCTATACAGGGTCTAACAGAACCGGGAGTCACGGTTTATACGGCGCTATCCTTGTTGAAAAATGAGTCGAAAAATTCTGTACCATTTTTTCCTGCAGTGCATGAATTTCCTGTAATAACGAATTAAAGCAGAGTCAATTAATCGCATTCCCCAACGGAAGGCACAGCGGAGACGAGGCCGGCAATTCGATTGGCTGGGCTTCAATCAGTTATTATAGAAAATTTATGCATCGTAGGAAAAAATAGTACAGGACTTTTGACTCCTTTTTCAACAAGGATAGCGCCGTATAAACCGTCACTCCCAGTTCCGTTATACTCCGTATACTAACTGGATAGCACACCATGAAGCGGTATAAGGAGACACGATGCCAATGGTCGTTTCCACGGAAAGTGATTCCAGGATCTCAGATTTTCGCTGATCCCACGATGCGAGCGCTACTTGCGGAAAATGAGGGAACTCCGATCCCACGTGACCAAGACATTTCCTACCGACGTAAATTAGCTAAAATGCTTTCAACTTTGCAATTACGGGACGCAAAGCGAAACGATAATGCGCGGATGATATATAGGATGTGATGATTTTAACGCGATTAAATTAAAGTTAACAACACAACTGGTTTACATACCAACGGTGATCTCTTGCATCGGTAAACTCCACTGAGTCGATTTCTCAATGACCCAAAGGAACCGATCGCATAATTTAAGGAACGATTGGCCCAAAGATATTCCGGCTGCAAACTCGACAGCCGATGCCATTGACTCGACGATGCTTTCGGCAATTTTAATCGCCATCTAAAATTGAAACGCGCGTCTTACTACAAGTGCAACAAGCGATACAAGTTATTACCGGTTAGATCAAATTGAGACTATCTTAGGTTATGTTTAAGAACTAAATTATTCGGTATTAGGAAGACTCCACGCAACTTAAGATGATTATAAAACTTTTCTCCAAACTGGATGCACCGAATTATCTGAAACTTTAACACGTGATTATGGAGGCGCTAAGGAAGAACTCGCTGCTCGTGAAATCTCATTTTTCGAAACAAATTTTCCATTTATCTCGGACAAGAACCAAAAAAACGATATTTTTCTTAGAAAAATCAAATTTTACGGGCAACGCGTTCTTCCTTAGAGCCTCCATAATCACGTGTTAAAGTTTCAGATAACTCGGTGCACCCAGTTTGGAGAAATGTTTTATAAATATTTTCACTTTTTGGTACGTATATATCACACTTTCATATCACCTTAAGGGGACGCGAAGGCGGTATCGTTTATGAAATTTTTCACTGAACTGGGTGTACCGAATCCTTTCAAATTTTGCAACGTGAATATGGAATGTGTAAAGAACGTCCTAACGTTCATAAAATATCATTTCGTACACAAAATGTTAAAAATACCTATAAACAAATTATGAAAAAATTGAAACTTCATGGGTGTCAGGACCTTCCTTAAAATCTTTGCATTCACATTGTAAAGTTTAAAACGATTCGGTAAACCCAGTTCGAGTAAAAGTTACATAAATAAAACCTCTTCGACGCCACTTCCCCATCACTTTAAAGAATATTTCGCTCAGGGCTTTCGGAACATCTTGATTTCACAAATGCTATGCAGCATTTCTGTTTTATTCCTCTCTAGTAGCACATAATATTTGGCTTATATTTTCTGTATATTTAACGGTTATCATAAATTTTGTAAATATTTACCAGACATTTAAAATATCTGCAAAGCATTTACTTTGAAATATTACTTTTATAATATTTGTATAATATTAGCTCGATGTGTTATCGTAATATTTTTCTTACAGACACAAAAAACGTTTCGTTTCATTTTAACGTAAGCGTTTTTTAAATATTATCTGTCGAATATGTTATAAACGCTTCAAAGATATTTAAAATCAAAATCACACGTCTTGCCCCCATAATGAAACAACGAAACGAAGATATTGTAAAAATTCCTCGTGTTTCTTTATACCAACCAAAGTGTCCGGTAATAATCGTTAAATAAGAAATATATTTTTGTTTTATATGTTCATAAATTAAGAAATGTAATTTCGCTATAAGTTTTTAAATTATTAAAACCAAACGTGTCATTGAGATTTTCAACAAATATTTCAGATATCTTCGAGTGAAATGTACATCTTAAAAAATCTGTCGCTTGAGATATTTAGCAAAGATTACAAATAATGTTTCGAAATTATTCCGTACTACTAGGGATGCAATAAACTTTTTATAATTAACTAATTCCGATAAATATATGACTAACAGAAGAGTTCTGCTCTCAATATGCTGTCTGTAGAACACGTACTGTACTTTAAACACACGCAATTTTTTTACATGGAAATGAATTTACTGATATGTAGCGAGATTATAATTAGCCATGAGCGCATTCCGTCGTTGTATCATCTCCCACAGAAATGACAAACTACAAGTATAAGAGGTTGTCATTGACGATAGATTAATTAATACTAATCTGTCGGTGATCGATAACGTTTTAAACAAGTAGATGTACGGTCATGTTATGACTGGAGCGTTACAAATTCGAGATTCTTTCGTATATTCTTTAAGCTCTAACGTATTTACGTTTATTTTATTTCTTCGTGGGTTTAAGTAACGTTCAAATTCAATAAATTTTAATGATTTTACAAAAAACGCTTTACTATATTTCTATAATATAAATTGCTATGCTGTAATAACACATGTAATTTGTATTTATTGCTGACAATTCGTACGTTGTGCTATAATTAGATCTTTCGGTTAATTTTTATTGCGAACCATTTGGACTTTGACTTATCCTGCTTACTTGTTTTATTTATATAAAAATGACCCAATTATTAACTTCAACCAAAAAGTTTCATTTTCTTCGCCTCGCTCTATGTTATATGATTTCCTCCAATCGATACAAATAACACTTTTAACTTCCACCATCAAATGTCACAATAGAGCTTAGAAATATCTTGAACACATTGTAGTCAACCCTTGTCTGAGATATTTAGCGAAAACGAGAAAAAATATTTAGAAATTATTCCGCGCTACTAGGGAGCTTTTGCAGAAATGTTTCTGCTACCTGTACATGCACGAAAGTAAAATGACCTGGATTAATCCGTTAATGGGACAGCTTTTAACCGTATCGTGAACGACAATTTCCTACGGATAGGCTTCTGTAACTTTTAAGGCTGATTTTTCTGCGCGTTAGACTCTATCTAAATATCTAACGTTAGCCTTTATCGGAACAACGGACTCGATTAATGTCTCAAAATATTCGGGAAACGTGTCTCGGTATTGCAAGGTCAACGTGATTATCGACGGCCTGCTCGAGTAGTTAAAAAAACAATACGCAAACTTGGCTAATCGTGTCCTTTGTCTCATTCAGGGCGAAAAATAAGAGCCGTAGAGTTACAGAAGCCTGTCCGTCGGAAATTGCTGTTCACGATACGGTTTAAAACTGTCCCATTAACGGATTAATCCTGTTCATTTTACCTGCTTACATTCGGTTCCAATTATTTTTCAGAAAGATTAAAAACAGAAATCTGCAGATTTAATAGATTAAACGGGTTAATGGTAACGGATATTTATCCGTAACGCTTCCAAATAATTACATGTAATCGTTATAGATATTTATCTGTAATTTTTACGGATTTGAGGAACAAAAGCTTTATCGTAACGCTAACGAAAATAATCCGCTGTCCTTGGGTCAAGGGATAAAATCTGTACTGTTTAGAAATCTTTTTCTTCTCCGCGTAGGCACATCCTTCTGCCACAAACGGTCGGAATAAAAACAGGGGAAAAACACAGAATTTCATGATAAACACAATCATGTTGCGAGGCAACATATGGAATAACCTCGGCAAGAGTTTGCGGCAACCGGCACCACCGGCACTGCGATGTACGAAATACAAAGTAAGGTTCACTTGCCACAATAATTTAACTATAGTCGCTACAGAAAATGTATAACCGAACAATTTATTTGCATAGACGAGTACCCTACTTAAACGTATACGGAGAAAAATAAAAAGCTTATCTCTTGGAAATTGTTCCCGATGCGGGTAAAAACTGTTCCATTAACGGATCGATCCAGTTAATTCTACTTTCTTACATGTACAGTTAGCGGAATCATTTCCGCAAAAGTCAGCTGTAACTAGCTGAACATTTCCGTTAACATTAATAACGACGAAAGTGGTCCACTTAAAGTATTAGAAAATTCTAGGCGCAAGGAAAAATATCCATAGACATTCCAGATTCTCTCCGGGCGATTCACATTATTTTTCAGAAATATAAAAAGTATTTGTACTTTTTGCGGAAGAAATCATCGGACTTAACGGATTCAACGGGTTAAGAGTAACGGATATTTATCCGTAACGCTTCGAAATATTTCTAGATAACCGTTCTAGATGTTTATCTGTAATTTTGACGGATGTAAGTATCAAAGCTGCATCGTAGCGCAAATAATCCTCTGGCCTTGATTCAACGGACAAAATCTATACGGTTGACAGATTTCTCTGCAAGTTTAACGGATCTTTTTCTCTTTTTCTCCCCCTTGTCGGTAAGTTATTAAGCTCCAGGATTACCTGGCAGGTCTGGACCGTTGTCGTCGATTGCGCTTCGTTTCCACGACAAACACTGGTTAACCGACTCGAAGACCCTCGGATCTCGAGAAGAACGCACTATCGAACATTCCCACTTCTCTTCTCCGGCATTCGGTGGCTCTCTGAGAAATTACGCGACGTGCAGACCTTTGGCCACTCGTAATCGTTCCGCAGTTATCGCTAACCCTTATCCTTCTTTGGAAAATCACACCTAGCCTCGCCTGTTTCTCTTTCTTATATTTCCACGCTTCTTTTCTCTTCTTTCTTCTCTTCGTCGACGCAGAATCCTTTGGTCTATTTATACCGGCGTTATTTTTCTCACTCTCAGATTTTACGTTATCGGCTAATGCATATCGGGGGTCCCCCTTAAATCAGTTTTTCACGGGTCCGAAACTTTGACTCGCGAACACCTAGGAATTATCCTGACACTTTCAAAATTCAGACTTTCGAAAAGAAATTTTTTCACTTACCCTAGACCGGAAACAACATGGCGTCGAGCTCTCATATTTCGATCGATATATAATTATTGAAGGTCCTGATATGAGAAACGACGGTATCGGGACAATTGTCCAACGATTTAGAACCCTCTGGTAATCGAGAAACTCGCATTTCAACGAGATAAAGACAGAAAAGTGTTTTGCGCTTCTATGCTAAAACGATAGGTACACGAGGTCTCGGAAAGGAAATTTAGTTGCAACTGAAATCGCACATGGCGCAGAGTGGCCCTCCGCAGCCCCTTAGGGCATCGAAAACCATGAATACGGGGGATTTCTGGCGTTTTACTTCGATTTTTAACCATTATTGCGCGGACACGACATATGAAGTATGCCGTTTAGTACAACACCCAATATAACTCGACACAGCTGTCGATATAAATACGAACGTCGATAACGCAGGTATTTAGAAGAATCCTTTTTATCGACATTAATCAAATTTCTCGATGTGTTTCGCCTCACCCTAAACATAGCAGAAGCTATCTCTATTTCGGTGTGAAAAACTCTCTACAAGATGTCAGGAAGGAAGTGAAAGATGGCATTCCGTTTAATTTTACGTACGAATATAATTTATAAACGTAAGTTTTACGTTTTTTAAAAAAACCTTTTTTTACCGATGTCGATTGATTTTCTTGGCAAGTTTTACAGAATGAGCTTGGCAAGTTGGGAAATTCAGTTTTTCCAACGTAAAGTTACGCAAATTATAGAAGTAGGGGCTCTTAAAGATGGTTCACGAAAAGGAGTAATTTCCCATGAAAAATATTGTATCTTTATTGAAACCTCGTTTAGTTACACCCATTAATAATTTCACGTCAAGCCGTTATACCTTTCTGATCTTTTCACATGCACTAAGACAAAAAATGCATTTCTAGGCTTTGATATTTTAATAGTTGGTAATTTTTAAATGCTATCAAAAAAATGTAAGTGGTTAGAAAAGTAAGCGTTCTTATGACTGTTATGAAACAATTGAAATGACAATAATGCACGTAACACTGCAAGTTTTGATAAAATAGAGATGTCTTGTACAATTTCATAAAAGAAAACACGTGAAACAGAAATTAAAGCGCGCTTTGTTGTAATATACACAAAATAAGTACGGTTTGAAACTATTCTCAAGATAGCGTTAAAATGAGTTGTAAACGTTAACGGCAAGTTTCGTGATTAATCATTTATGACAAAACGTTAAAAAATACGACGGTAGTTCATACACAATATAAACTGATAAATTCTAATGTCTTTTCTTATATTTTCATTACTAATTAAAAGCCTGTTTCCACGATTCTATGCTCCGGCCGAGATGTCGGCTGAAAATGCATCCCTGGTAGCGCAAAATATTTATCTTTTTTTTCTATGTATTTAACAAATATCGTACATTTTGTACATTTTTAGCAGACATTTGAAACATTTGCAAAGCATTTACTTTAGAATATTATTCTCATAATATTTGTATAATTGTAGTTCCACGTATTTTCATAATATTTTTCTTACGGATATACAAATCGTTTCGTTTCATTTTAAAATAAGTGTTTTTTCTTTTCAATATTATCTGCCGAATATGTTATAAGCGTTTTAAAAAGATTTAAAATCAAAATCACACGTTTTGCTCCCATAATGAAATGGCGGAACGAAAATATTGCAAAAATTTCTCGTGTTTTCTGTCATTGAGATTTTCAACAAATATTTTAGACGTCTTCAAATGAAATCAACGAAACATCTTAAAAAAACTGTCGCCAGAGATATTAAACGAAGATTACAAAAATATATTTAGAAAATATTCTATGCTACTAGGGATTTTTCTATACTAGGTGCAAACTTCATGTCATATCCAATACCGTACTGCCACTGATCTATATACAAACTGGACAACTGATACCTTATAAAATGACGGGACTTTTCGAAGTGACGACAGCGCCTCTAGTTATGGACGCGTCAACTAATATCCTAGTACTTCCGCAAGCGTCGAAACACATCTTTTACCCGCAGATAGTATAAGAGGCATCAAATTAATTTGCTGGAAGAAAGTAATTGTCATTTCTATTAAAATACTTAGGACAAAAAAAGATAACCGTTTTGTTTTAGTCGAAGCTTTCTTACGATATGCCCAACACACTATTCTACGCGTTAATTATGTGTTTTCTGTCCTTTTATATCATAAACGTTTATCTTCGCGAATTGACGGTTCAACAGTTATTATTGCCGCGGTCGACGGATCGACGGATGGCCATCCGTTACTTATTTAGTATCGCTGCCCGTGCCTAGTGGCGCTGGGGTGCCTTCAATTCGTCGAATCCTTCTGCGTATGAAACAAATAGGTATGAGCAATTCAATTAGTATATAGATCAGTGATTTAAAAACAGATGATTAAGTCAGAGCATCGCCAATCTCGTACGGTTGCTAAAATCACTTATGAGCCAATTACTGTTACAACCAACCACGAATATGTGACAATATTGAACTTTCTTCATCTTATGTATTGCTCTCGCCTATCAACTTCGTCAAATTCAAATTAAGGTGATGTGAAAGTAGCATCAAAAAGGTCTCGTTTATGAAACTTTTCTCCAAACTGGGTGTACCGGATCGTTTTAAACTCTACAATATAAATATAGAGGGTATAAGGAAGGTTCTGAACTCATAAAATTTGTTCATAAATATTTCAAAAATTTGTAGTAAAAATTTAAATTTCATAAGTGTCAGGACCTTGTTTATATTCTCCACGTTTACGTTGTAAGGTTTGAAACGATTCAGCACACGCGGTTCGAAAATGTTTCACGAACGACTGACCCTTAAGGTGATGTGAAAGTGGCATCAAAGAGTTCTCGTTCATGAAACTTTTCTACAAATTGTGAATCAAATCATTTCAAACCTTACAATATAAATATTAAAAGTATAAGGAAGGTCCTGAACTCATGAAATTTTAAATTTTTTAATTTGAGCACAGATACTTTAAAAATTTGTTATAAAAACTCAAATTTCATGGGTATCAGAACCTTTCTTATATCCTCTGCATTCACGTTGTAAAGTTTGAAACAATTTGGCACACCCCGTTTGGAGAAAAGTTTCATGAACGATTGACTCTTCGGATGCCATTTTCACATCCCCTTAAGACCTGGGACGAGAACAACTAGTCTCTCTTTAAACTTGACGACATCCAGAAAATATTATTTTCTCCTATTATTAAAACTTCAGAAGAATCTACTAAAGAAATTCTTTTTTTCCTTTTTCTTCATAGTAGATAAGAAAATGGAATCAATATTCTTAAATACTTCTTCGCTAGACTTAGCTGCATCAACGTAAAAATGAACGCCTTGCAAAGTATAATAATCGATCAGAGGTTGAGTCTGTTTATGATATGTAACCAATCGTTTCTTCAAAGCGTCTTCGTTATCGTCAGATCTTTTGATAAGTGGCTCCCCGGTAACCTATAAAACAGAATAGAGAAGCAGTTATTACAAACAGTACTGCTCCTAAAGGTGATATGAAAGGCGCTGCGAAATTTAATCAATGTCGATAAAATAAAATTCATCTATACCCTTTTTGGTGGTAACGCCATTTTGAATACTTAAGGTGGTATGAAAGACAGCCTATATATATCCGAGAGGACAAATCGTTCGTGAAAATATTTTGCGAATTGAATATACCGAATCATTTCAAATTTTACCACGTGAATGTGGAGACCCTAAAGTAGGCCCTAAAACTCGTGAAATTTCATTTCTTTTTTTATAAAAATTGATTTATTTATCCTCAACTAGAACCAACAAAGCGTGATCCGTACACGATTTTGATGTTTTACGCTTTTCGAATGCTTGAAATCGAAAATGAGTTTCAGGACCTAGCCCGAACAATTTAGAATACCATAGAAATAATATATTACAGAGTTAGATGGGAAAATATTGAGAACACTTTTGCAAGAGAATGCTGGCTTGTTCCGTGGGTAACGCGTTTTTAAAGCAAAAATTTAGTTGCAGCTAAACGTCACAGACGGCGCTGTTGGTCCATTAGAGTATCGAAAGGTCACGAATTCACGGGATTTTGAATTTTACATCTATCTCTTTATCGTTACTTTACTGAAATGACACATGGAACCCTTCATTTCATATAATTCTCAACATAGAGTGTAACAGACTTCAACATAAATATAAATGTTGCTAACGTGACGCGCTAGTTTGTTACCACTTGAGTATTCAAAATGGTGTTATCACCAAAAAGGATATAGATAAATTTTATTTCATCAACGTTGATTAAATTTCTCAGGGCCTTTCATATCACCTTAAAAGCTATTTGTAATTTGATCAATACTTACATCATCTTTCATTTGAACCTTTGGGGGTGCGAACTCTTCATGGTAAGATCTTCCACTAGAAGGGTGGATCAGTCGCCCAGTGATTCGTTTTATTAATAATTTATCATCGATTCCGAATTCTATCACGGCATCAAGTTTCGAATTTCTTTTCTTCAGCATGCTATCTAACTGCAAAAGAATAAGTTAAACAAATTTCAAAATTAAAAAATCTGACTTCTTCTCAGTAAATACAAAATACAAAATACTTCAACAAGGTTGTCAAGATACAAATTAAAAATGCATGATACCATTTCTAAAAATAAATAGAGTTCACAGTTCAGTTCCATAGAAACATATACATATGTCGTTACTCTGGTTCGCACTGTATAAAGTGAACGTCTCTATGAGATCGTTAATCGTCCAGAACGTCTAAATTAACTGAACAAGGAATAGCATGAAAAATACAGTATGATAAGTGCATACATTACTAAGTTTTACTTCAGAGTAACTTCATCGTTGAAACAAAATATGTTATTCTATTTTAGAATTTTTATATATTAAAGTTGATCTTTTTAGTAAATTTTAATAAACTATTAATAAAATGAAACCTTTTCAGTAGCCCTTAGATCATGTATATTACTACTTTTTGATAACATTTTAATGACAAGGTTTACTTTGTCTTAATGTTTGAATGTTAAAAAGGAAAGATTTCAAACCCAAAATATACATGTACTTTCTGAGGATTAAGATTGAAATAACATAAAAGTAAATGAAAGAATAAATTAGTCTCGCATACTTTCTCAGCCTGAGACACGTTCCTTGGGAAACCATCGAGCAAAAATCCACGATTGCATTCAGGTTTGTCTAAACTTTTGTTTATCATGTTGACCACAAGATCGTCACCGACCAATTTGCCTTCGTCCATAATTTTCTTCAATTCCAATCCAAGTGCAGATCCAGAACTGACCTCCGTTCTCAACATGTCACCCGTTGAAAGATGACACACGCAGTACCTATCCTTAAGAAGCGGTGCCTAAAATACAGTAAAATCTATTTATACCATAATTGGTATCCTAGGACCATTAACCATCCAAAGAATTTCTATTCCTGTACTGTCTTATCTAAATGTTCGCAATTTTCCCCAACATGCGATAAAAGTTTTAACTTTAACACATGATCTTTTACTAGAGGGACGGAGTATAAAGTACTATGGAGAAAATGCGATATCAAGATGACAGATATACACAAATTCAGTACATATGAATAATGCTCCACTGGGACACGAAGTCGTACAAATTGAATTAATTTATAGAAATGTATAGGGGGCAAACGAAATTATAAAAATTTAGATCATTAACATACTTAAACTGATGCGCGTTCTCTCGCGAAATACCTACTTGAGTGCCTTTCCCACTACCGGGAGGACCCAACAACACGGCGTTAATACCCCTTGGAGGAACTTCCAATTTTTCCTGTGGTATTATTTCTGCTTTCGGAGCCATGTTTGCCGTTAATTACACCTCGTTCTTTTTCTAATTACTTGTAAAGGAACAATTCAGCACCCTACGCAGGGATGTACATCGGTGATAACCTTCAACTTCGGCACTTGCGAACCAGACACGGATTGCAACGGACCACTTAACGCTTAGGCAAAGAATACAGAAGTCGCCATAGAAGCCCAGTTCCCGGGTTTACGTTAGATACCCAATAAATAGTAACCAAGCGGGACGCTAGATGGAAGCACGAGCGAATTAAAGCATTACAGAGCATAGAGCTTATAGATATGGAGAGGCCATTTGCTACCAGGGGGTCTATTACGTAAAGCAGAGATGAGCTGCTCATCTCTGCTAGACTAAATGAATTTTTTCATGAAAATACTTACGTTTACATGTGTACTAAAAGACGTTTATAACGTAGCGGATACCGCTTGCCATACGTCAGTCTTGTCCGCCATATTGGAAGCGTTTTCTACGGTAAACTACTTGATTTACGTAATATCAGGGTAATATACGTGAAAAACCTTGAAAATCGTGAAATTATCCAACCCTGGTTATGAAGTAGGGGGCCTGGCTACTCTCATCTTCTCTCTGCTCTGCTATATATTTCAGTGATCCAAACGCAGTAAATCCGAATTTAAGTGTCGATCGAAACTCTCAGGATCGGCTTGCATTAATTATTGCGATGGAGACATGCGATTTACTGGATCCAGGCCCGAAAGTCCCGAATTGAGGAGTGCGATGGAGTCGTAGTCAATGATTTCAGTGCTGTGTTTCGACTCATTGTTGTTTTTGCTCCATGAGCTAAGAGGATTAAAAAATGTATTAAAAACAGCTTTGTGGTGACCGCGTTTCGATGAAGTAATCGTTTAAATGAATGTAAAATAAATGTATATTTAGAGGAAGATAATTGCAGTTAAAGACTTTGCCTCGTTGAGATACGGCTGTACGATCGTTACATGTAAATATGTAAATTTATAGTTAATAATACTCGTTGATTTCAGCACCGCGAAACTAACGAGTCTCACAATGTTTACCCACGGTGTGGTGTCTGCGGGAACTTCGGATCTCATCCAGCAGGCTTTTCAACAAATGACCGAGGAAGATAATAGCGAAAACGATTTTGTTGCATTTTTGCACAGCGATGGAAATGAGACTCAAGCGATTCATTTGACGTCTGCTCAAGCCGCTGCATTGGGGCTCAATTTTGAGGTTGACGATACCTCTGATGTCACTTCGTGCCAACAGAATTCAAATTTACACGAGGGTGGTGACGGTGGTGATCAGGTGATTCAAAATGATTCCACTTTGTCGGAAGTATCTTCTTCAGCATTGCATACTAAGGTAACCATTGAATGTATGGGTTTTGAATCTAATATGGAAGAGATGGTTAAGGATGCAGACGTTAAGACAGAAAAAGGATCGACGTCCACTGATGTCTGTGTCAAAAAATCAAATGATGCGCATTTGGTGCAACAAACACCGCCAAATCATGAAACCGACTCGTATAATGCAAGTTTACAAGGAAATGTTAAATTGCAGAAAAATATACACATTAATTGCCAGGAATTCGAAGAAAATAAAAATGCAAACTTAATTGGTTTACATTATAACGTTAATGAGAAAAACGTGCACTCGGGGAAGGCTGGTTCTATCGAAAGCGTCCAAGCGCAGATCTTTCAAAAATTACCAGTAATTTTACCTTCGTCACAGTTTATTGTAAGACCGTCGCATTCTATAGTTAAACCTGCTAAGAATGTTCACATAATTCCGTGTATAAATAAGATGTCTAATACCGTGGTAAATAGAGTTCTCGGAGTGAACCCGGTTGATGGATATACTCAAAATTCTATATTACTTCCAAAAACTACATTACGAGGACCCGTATCTCCACAAGTAACGAAGGTTGTGCCCGTTTCCAAGTTTTCAAATAATAGCAAAGTACCTGTGCACATGTTAAATGCTTCCCAAATTAAAACTGGCCAAATTCAAGTCGTGCGACAGATGGCAAATGATTCTCAGATGTCGAATCCAGTTATGAAGGTGACATCTCCCTCTTCACAAAATATTTTAAGACCTCAGCTTCGCTTGCCCAGTGCTTCGAAAACATCGCAAGCAACGATTCAGAAGGAAAATGTACAAAAAATATTTAATCCGCTTGTAAAGAGTAACTCAAATTCGTTACTAATTAAAGGTACACAGGTTTTAAATAACACGAATTTGACAGCAGCGATTTCTACGTCGTTCCTCAAATCTCTGCAAATACCTGCTCAGATGTTGAAGATGCCTTCTACCGCAGTTGTAAAACACGGATCAGTTGCACCAAGTTTGGAAAAAACAACGGTTGACTGTGCTGCACCTATAACTCTTCAAGTGACTCCCATTGTCAAGTCTCAGGATCTTAGAACGATACCTCCGTGTCCGATTCCTGTTTTGAAACCTTCCAATGTTGGCGCAACCCGATTGTCGATTCTAAAACCTCAAACAAAGGTGACACAAGGCGATCCCTGCAAGTCGGGCATAATTACTTCCATAAATAATAGTGAAAACGTATCGAATAATGTGCACGTTACAACGGCGATACAAAGTAAAACTCCACATCGGCCAAGTAATAATACCGAATCTGTGAAACCTTTGGAGAATTCTGGCATTAGGCAAAAGGTTTTTTGTGAGTTTACTGATACAAATATTAAAAGCGAGCAGAAAGTTAGAACTATAACAGGAAAGAAGTCTGCAACAGTTGCAATAAAGCAGAACGTTTCGAAGCCCTTAGGCTCCAGTGAAAATCCGATACAAATCGTTCAACAAGGTCGTACATTTCACAGGTATAAAACTACTACAGTTTTAGCGATCACTGTTTATTATCTGCCCTGTTAAAAAAGCTTTAATTATTTTACATAATTTCAATTACAAATATATTTTAAAACCAGAAACAGCGACGCTTGAAAAGAAAGCTGACCAAATGTACAGTCAGTGGCCAAATTGTTACTTACCTATGTTAGAATTGCATTACGATCACTTTGAAGGAATATTTTTTAAGTACATAGTCAATTATTGATATTTATTGGATGTAATAGGTATTCCACTGTAATTAAAAGCGGACACGAATGTGATCGAAGATTAATATACAAACCTTTCGAAATTTAGTATATCCGTCCTCTTAAATTCTCATAATTGTGTACTGAAATACCAAACCCAACTGTATACGAAATTTCGAAATTTTGTATCATGAAAAGACCGATTTCATGTATATTATATTTTGAGCAAATATCTGAACAGTGTACGTCAAAGAAAAGCTCATTTGAAAAACTTTCTTTACAGTATGCAACATCTCTCCCAGTCCCAGTTGAAACAAATTGCTCAGGTGTTACAACGACGTGGCCATGAAACAAGCGTATCCAATGAGAAAATTGTATATAGGTTTGTATGCGGACGTGTCACGTGACGGGTATTCTAGAAAATAAACTCCATATCACAAAACAATCAATATGTACGGTTAAAAAAGAAAAGTGCTATGTAGCATGCCGTGTGGGCCGTCGATAGTGTGTTACCTTCTTATGATTAGATACTCTGTTAGTTGTTTTGGTACTTATTGCCAGTATTTAAGGTGAAGTAAAACGTCGAGAAATTTGATCGACTTCGGTAAAAAGGATTCCTCTAAGTAACCTACGTTACCAACACTCGTATTTGTATTGACAGCTTTTTCGAATTATATTAGGTATTGTACCAAATGGGGCGCTCTGTATGTCGCTTCCGTACAATAATTATAAAGAAATCGAAGTATAACTCCAGAAATCCCATGGATTCCTGGTTTTTGATGCCCTAATTGACTGTAGAGTGCCACCTTGCGCCATCTGTGATTTTAATGTCAACTAAATTTTCTCTCCGAGGCCTCGCGTTACCTTCGTTTTAGCGTAGAGGTGTGTAAGACCCTTTTTTTTGGTATTTATCTCGTTCAAATGCGAGTTTCTCGATTACCAGAATGTTCTGAATCGTTGTACAATTGTTCTGACACTGTCGTTTCTCATATTAGAGCCTTCAATAATGGTATATCGGTCGAAATGTGAGAACTCGACGCCGTGTAAGTTCTGGTCTAAGCTAAGTTAAACATCTTTGTTCAAAAGTCTAAATTTTGAAAGTGTCAGGACAATTCTTAAGTGATCACGTGTTGTGTCAAAGTTTCGGATATTTCGATGCAATACCCTTAAAAAAATGTCTTACTCGAATCGACTGATTTGACGGAGGTTTCATTTCACAAAAAAAAAAAAAAAAGATATATGTACTTAGCGTCCAGAATATTCGATATTAAAACGCATATGCGAGTAAAAACATTTAAACAACTAAAACCTGCGAAGCCAGTTATTTGGCTTAAAATGATTTTTTAATCGAGCATTTTACATAGTGGAGCCTGGAGCTTAATTAGCAATTTCGGAAAACCATGTACACGTGGATGAAATCCAATTTAATCGGTAACCGATGAGTTTGTAGCTAAGCCATTTCATTCTTATTTCCAGGGTAGTATTTCCCGAAGAACTGGATCTAAGGTTCAGAAATCCGGAAACTCTGCTGAAAAGCAAAGGAAGCAAGAGGGGTAGACCAAAGAAAAATGCCGTGAGACCTCTAATTCCTTCCAAACCTTTGACTTCACTGGACGACGAGCAGGACGAACCGAAGGTATTAGAAAACTTGGTAGAGTTCCGCGCCAAATACATAAAGAAGCATACGCGAACGGCATCGACTACTTAACCCCAAACATCGGCATTAGGTTGTACCATGAGTTCGCAGAGAAATTTTTTCCTACAGCGAGTTTTCTCTTCAATTTTTTAAAAAATTGTTTATGTAGGAATTTAACAATTTTTTAAATAAAAATATTTAATTTCTTGGGTGTCAGAATCTTCCATTAAGCCTCTACATCCACGTTTTATAAAGTTTGAAACTACTCGACAAATCCAGTTAGGATAAATGTTTCATGACTCTTTAGATGCCACTTTCACATCCCCTTAAAAGTAAATCTTTGAATCTTTGAATCTTTACGAATTTGTCCAGGAACTTGTGGAACTACATATGTGAAATAAATCTGTTTATTAAAATTTCTTGAATGATTTCAGGATGAACGGAAGAAAGTCATAGCCCGAACGCGATCGGGAAGACTCTCTAGACCGCCCAGACACATGCTGCGAGATTACAAGCATTTGCATCATCTGGATTTCCTGCAGCCGGATCTGGACGATTCCGACGGGGGATACAGCGACTATAACACAAACGGTGATAAATTGGACGACGAAGAGTCCCCTAAGGGACTTCTTAGCGGACTGGAAGTGCCTAAGCGTAAGATTTCGGACCACTTTAGGTGCCCTACGTGTAACAAAATCTATTTGGGTAGGACGAGAATGGCGCGACATTTCGAGCTGCACCCCGATCATGGCAGTCTGGAACAACTACCGGCTCCAACCGCGGAGCCCGAGGTAAAGCAAACGTTTGCTCAAGATCCGCTTAAGCGAAAAGGGAAGAAAAGAGGTCCCTGGGCTTATGTCACTCCGGAAGCCAAATCGGAACGAAGGCAGACGAAACTCAAGGAGGCGATCTCGGTCTGCGAAAACGTCGAGATCGCGAAAATCGCCGCGAAACCTGTCCTGGGCGCGCAGTCTCTGTTCGAGCTGCTGGTCCTCAAGTCCGAGAGCAACGTGAGAACGTTCCTGGACGAACTGAAAGAGTTGATGCACAGTGTCAGGAAAAAGGCCGGAGTCATGCTGACTCTCGCGACAGACGGCGAGAGGACCAACGAGGACGTCATCGACCTCAGCGAAGAATTGCTCTGCGACGCTTTGGGCCTCAATCCTGGACTTTATACGATCAATTGTGCGGCATTAAGGAAAAGCGAGCCTTCCTTGAACGGATCGCTGAGCGAAGAGCCACCGCAGAAAATGCAGAGAGTGCTCCTGCCCGATAAGCACGCGGAAGAGAAGTTTTTTAACGGGTTTTCGGAAAACTCGGATCTCGGCGTCGCGGACTTCCTCGGCGAGAGGAAACCGGACGCACCTACGAATTGCCCGGAAGTATTGACGGCTCTGACGCTAATGCCAAAGTGTTCCTACCAGGAAAATGGCGCCGCGATCGGGAAATCTGGAAGCGTCTCAAAGTTGTTGATTTCAAACCCTGAGATTCAGAACCAGATTTCGGAGAATCCCGGCTTCCAGAAGGTAGACATAAGCACGACGTCATTGTCGAGCTTCCAGAAATTGGAGCCTTTCAAGAAAAACGTTGCAAAGCTTGACGACAATCCCGAAAATTTAGATTGCTCCGAGGCCTTCCCGAAACTTCGGAGCAACTTCGAGACGTCCAAGTTGGATCAACCGTTTATAAAGTTGGAGCCTATCGAAGGTTTCGCCAAGTTAGAAAACAGCGGCGCAAGTGCTTACCGGAAAGGGAATTCTCACAGCTTTGATAAGTTCGAGAATGGCTACGATATCTCGGGAAATCAATCCCGAAGCTTTGATAAAGGCTTTCAAAAAGCTAGCCCTAAAGTTGTTTCGATCGGTGCCGCGGATTTGCACTATGTCGGGGAACAAAATGCAACTTCGGATGATGGAAACCTGAAGATATCGTCTACTATGGTTGCTTGCAAAATTTCAGATGGTATTCCGATTCTACAAGACGCAGTGCCGATAATGTCGAGTACATGCGACTCTAATATATTCGGTAGCACGGAAAACCTTGATATGTCGAAAATCACGAATTACGATCATATCGCTCATATGGACATCTTAAGTACTAATGGAGTCATTGACAAAAATCTGATGATTGACGAGAAATTGGTCGAACAATTGCATCTTGTCGAGCAGTCGAATCTGGTCGATGAATTAGTGTCCGAACGATTGAAAAACATGATGCCGGATGGTATTCTAGAAGGCAATTTAATTCCAAATCATTCGAATTTAGATACGGATTTAGACTTTGAAGCATTAAGCGAGGAATTCAACAGGAATACGAGAAATTAAGGAAGTTTTGGGACACCGCGATTAAGGTGATGTGAAAGTGGCGTCGAAAAGGTCGCGTTTATGAAACTTTTCTCCGAATTGGGTGTCCCGAATCGTTTCAAACTTGACAATGGGAATATGGAGGCTTCAAGGAAGGTCTTGAACCCCATGAAATTTCAATATTTTAAACATGTGTTTATAGATATTTTCAAAATTTCTTATAAAAAATGAAATTTCATGAGTGTCGGGACCTTCCTTATAGCCTCCATGTCCACGTTGTAGAATTAAAATGATTCAGTATACCTGAATTATTATAAAAATGAAATTTTTTATTAAAAAATGAAATCTCATGGGTGTCAGGACCTTCCCTATAGTTTCCATGTTCACGTTGTAAAGTTTGAAATGATTCGGTACACCCAGTTCGTAGAAAAGTTTCATGAACGATTGACATTTCGGATGCCACTTTGACATCCCCTTAAGAGGATATGAAAGAGTCAGCCTATATGTACCTAAGAAGTTAAATCGTTGGTGAAAGTATTTCCCGAATTGGGTGTACCGAGATTTGTTTCAAATTTTACCACGTGAATATGGAGGCCCTAAAGTAGGTCCTGAAACTCATGGAATTTCATTTTTCATCAAAAATTTATTTACTTATCATGGACTAGAACCAACCATGGCTTGGTCCGGGCACGTTTTCGATGTTTTACGCTTCTTGGAGGCTTAGAATTGAAAATGAAGAGGTTCAGGATCTAGCTCGAACAATTTAGAATACCGTAGGAATGGAATATTACAGAGTCAGATGGGAAAATGTGGTAAGTACTTTCCCCAACGATTGCAAGGAGCTTGTCCTGCGGCTAACACTTTTTTTTAGAGTAAAAATTTAGTTGCAGCTAAACGTCATAGATGGCGACGTTGGTTCGTCAAAATATAAACAGTCAGGAATTCATCGAACTTCGGCAGTCTTACGTCGATCTTTTTATCATTATATTACCAAAATGACATATAGAACCGTTCAGTTCGCATAATTCTCAACGCAGACGGTAAAAGACTTCAACATAAATATAAATGACGGTAATGGGACGGTCGGTTATGTTCCCTCTTGAGTATGCAAAACGGCATTATCACCAAAAAGGTATAGATGAATTTTACCTTATAGACGTCGATTAAATTTCTTAGCGCCTTTCATATCCTCTTAAGATGACAATCTACGAACTCCTTTGAGTGATTCCGTCGATGTCAAGGCCGTATGTATAACGTGTACAAAATATTACATAAACGTAAGACACTGTAAAAACATATTTTTCATGAGTATTTAATGTTACTGAAGTATAATCCTACTAGATTTGTACATTGTATTTTAGATATCCGCATTAGCAAGCTTTCTCCCGTAGTGAACATTTACATTCATACTTTTTTTTTGTATATTCTGCATAAACCTTGAACGTAAAACTGTCTTTATTACTGCATGTAAACAAGAAAATGGTTAAAAAAAAATTGCTGTATACATATCTGAACAGTCTAATGTATAATATTCCCTAGTTGCAATTGAAATTACTTAGTCACTTTTAAAACAGGAATAAAGTATATAATGAAATATTCAACTACGATGAATATTTTTCTTTAACCGCTTGATGGAAATCTTTCGTTTTAAAAGAATAATTTCCAGCTATCGTAAAGGAAATAATAAATGAAAGGGGAGTAGTATAATCACAGCCTTCCGAAAATATAATTTTCCCTGCGGAGCCAGATTTTAAAATTTATCATTAGAAAAGGGATATAAGTAATTAGTAAAAATCTGTTTTGGTGGCCCATCGCGGCTTCTATCGTTACTCGTTCAACACTTACGACGCTGTTATATGAAATGAAAATAAAAAAAGATCCGTACAGGAGAAGTTGTACATTTGTCAACGTTACCCTCTATTATTGGGAATTACTGTTGAATAGCCAAACTGGAGATTTTTTAGGGCGATCCCGAGAAGCTGTCAACGTGTAGATTTTCTTAAACTGTAAAACTTCATAAAACTGAGCGAATTTCCGCTACGAGCGCTGGTGAACTTCGTGAAGTTGCTGCGCTGTAGAGGGGGCGCAATGGCGCAATGCGCGACGTGTCGTGGCGGTTGCACAACATACATATATCCTACATATTAACTGAGTTCCAAATACTTTGATTGGGTTTCAATGGTCCAGCAGTCGGGGATGCGAAAGTGGCATCCGACGGGTCAGTCGTTCATACAACTTTTCTCCGTACTGTGTACCAAATCGTTTCAAAATTTACGTCAGTATGGAGACTATAAGGAAGGTTCTGACATCCATGAAATTTAAAAAATACCCATAGACAAATGTTTAAAAAATTCAAATTTCATGGGTGTCAGGACTTTCCTCGTAGTCTCTATACCCAGGTTGTAAACTTTGAAACGATTCGGTACATCCAGTTCACAGAACAGTTTTATAAACGAGACCTCTGTGTCGCCACGTTCACACCCCCTTAAGTAACGCATAATCATTAATAAAGAATCCTTTTTCAAGTACTCCGACATTGACGCACTATTATGCGTATTTCTTATCATTTTATTTTATAATTGTCTAATTTTTTTAATACATGATTCTTGTAGACCTCCCGCGGGACACTTCATTGCATTTTTACCGATCGATTTAGCCGCATTCACTCAGTGATTGTGGCAATCCTCTTCTTCATCTCGGTGTTTATTGTAGTCGGTTTACTTTTTCCCATATTTCAATTTATTCTTAAACTTCTTCGGATTGATTCCGTAAGCTTTTAATCTTTCCGCGCTTAATTCCGTAGGTTGATTGGAACTCTCCCCTTTAGTTTTAACACCTTTCTTGTGCCGTTCTGCCTGAATTAAATTGTTTTTGGTCGGCTTTTTCCTAAATTGTTTACGTTTTTTCGAAGAGGATGTATTTTTTCGAAGAGTATCCTTATTTCCATTATGAGTAATGTCAGATTTTCTCGACTTCGCTCGAATTTTTTGATTTTCGTCGCTTCGTTCGTCCACTCTGTCATTTTCTCGAGGGTCGAGTTTAGCTTCTAAACCTGTAGTATCTGAGAAAAGCTCTTTCGTTTCTTCTTTGAGCTGTTTCTTACTTTCTTCACATTCCTGTCTCTTTAATTTTTCTTTGTGATTTTTCTTCGCGGGGATTTCATGGACAACTTGGTCCGTCGTTTGGTTTTGATCGCCATGTTTTCTCTTCCTCTTAAGTCCTATCTTGTCCTCCTTTCCCGCATTTTTCTCCTTGCTGTTCAATTCATTCACTTCCGGAACGTCAGCTTCTGAGTCGACGCTGCATAAAGTAATACAGGAATTAGACTACTTAGACTAAAGAAGAATAAACATGTTAAAGTGAAGTGAAACCCGCCGAAAAACTGAATCGATGTCGGTGAAACATATTCTTCTAACTACCTACGTTGCCGACGTTCGTATTTATATTGACAGCTGGGTCGAATTATATCGGGTATTGTACCAAATGGCACATTCGATATGGCGCTTCCGAACAGTAATTATAAAGAAATTGGGGTAAAACTCCAGCAATCCCCTGGATTTATGATTTTTGATGCTCTAATTGGCTGCAGGGGACGACCCTGCGCCACTGTGATTTCCGTAGCAACTAAATTTCCTTTCCGAGACCATGCGTTACCATCGTTTTAGCATAGAAGCGCATCAGACACATTTTTTGCCTTTATCTCGTTCAAATGCTAGTTTGTCGATTACCAGAGTGTTCCAAATCGTTGGACAATTGTCCTGACACTTTCATTTCTAATATCACATTTTTCGATGACTGTATATCGATTGAAATAGAAGAGCTCGACGCCATGTTGGTTCTGGCCTAGGCTGACAATTTTTTTTCGAAAATTCAAATTTTGAAAGTGTTAGGACAATTCATAAATGATCACGAGTTATATATCAAAGTTTCTAATAGTTCGATCCAATACCCTTTAAAAAAAGGGCTTCATTTAAGTCGACTGATTTGAGGGGGGTTTCATTTCACCTTAAGGGTCTCGACAGGTTTCACTTCATCATAAGGAACTTGATTGAAATGTTTGCGTGTTGTATATACGCTCTAATTAAAAACGTACTTACCTATACATGCTTCTAAAAATTTTCCTCTTTAGGGCTTCGTTTTTGGCTTTTTCTCGAAAGACCTTCACCTCGTTCTGCTCAACATGGTCTGGTTTATGGGACAATGCCTTTCTTAAGGAACACCACTTGTTCAATTCTTTGTCATCAGCAGTCAAGATCTAATTGAAACGAAAGTTCGTCAACTTAAGGTGATATGAAAGGGTCCTTCTACATATATAAAACGTCAAAATATTTATTAAACTTTTCTTAAAACTGGGTGCACCGAATTATTTGAAACATCAGCACGAAGGCCCTGAGAAAGAACGCGATGCTTGCGAAAATTTTTTGGTCAAACAAAAATTTTGTTATTTATCCTAGACTAGAACCAAGATCACATTTTTTTAAATGAAAAATGAAATTTCACGGGCATTCCGTTCTTCCTTCAGGCCTCCATAATCACGCTGAAGTTTTCATCGATTCGGTGAATCCAATTTGGAGAAAAGTTTTATAAATAATTTAACGTTTTATATATACAGAATGACCCTTTCGGATCACCTTAAGGATTCTCAGCAGACTCTGTAAGAGTCTCTTGCAGTACACGTTTAAGAACGCCTTAATTTTGTCATTAATAACAAATCCATAGCATTAATTTTTATTTAAAAATAAGATTAGATATTATTTTCTTGAATTTTTATCCACAATTACTGCCATTTCAGTTATCTGTTATTAGGCTTACCTCTTCGGTAGTTAAACCGTAATCATTTGGGACAACAGTTCTGTATTTAAATCTACATGGTATATCATCTATCAGATCTTCATAATCCAAAGCATAATATTGATCGAAGTATTCCTGATAGGACGAGTACAAATTTGGATCGAATTTTGGCTTCTCTTTTGCAATAAGTTCGGCAAATTTGCTACGTCGTCTCTTCTTCTTCCCCGTAGATTGAACCATTTCGTTTTTCAAGCTTTTCAAAGGATCATAATCGGCATCCATCTTAAATAAATTAAAGGAGGTATTAAGAATCAACAACCACTAAAATACAACATATCTTTCCATTTCCTAAGTATTGAGGTGAAGTGAAACCTCCCTCAAATCAATGGACTCGAATAAGAACCTTTTTTTTAAAGGGTATTGGACCGAACTGTCCGAAATTTTGACCATTTATTCGCGAGCACCTAAGAATTATCTCGACATTTTGAAAATCGGGATTTTCGAAACTAATTCTTTTGACTGAGCCTAGATCAGAATCCTCATATAGAAGAGCTCATAAGAGCTCTCATATTTCAATCGATATACAGTCATCGAAAACTGTGATATGAGAAATGAAAGTGTCAGGACAATTGTCCAACGATTTGGAACACTCTGGTAATCGAGAAACTAGCATTTGAACGAGATAAAGGCAAAAAATGTGTCTGATGCGTTTGTATGCTAAAACGAAGGTAACACGACGGGTCGGAAAGAAAATTTAGTTGCCACTAAAATCGCAGATGGCGCAAGGTGGTACTCTGCAGTCAATAAGTCATAAAATACCATGAATCCAGGGGATTTCGGGCATTTTACTTCGATTTGTTTAAAATTATTGTAAGAAAACAACATACGGAGTATGCCACTTGATACAATACCCGATATAACTCGACACAATTGATATAAATGCGAACGTCGGTAACGTAGGTATTTACAAGAATCCTTTGAACCGATGTCGATCAAATTTCTCGATGTGTTTCACTTCACCTTAATTTGGACTTTTCATGGAGTCATTAATTAAATTCCAAAACAAGGCATATAACGAGTGCTGAAATAAATAATAGACTCACGTTGAAATTAGGATCTTCGCAATGTGGACCATTAGCATAAGCATCGTCCGTGAGTGCAATTTGTTCATCGTTTGGGTTATAGTTATCCCACGTACTTTCAATTCCCAATTCCTCATCGATATCAGGAAACTCGGGCTTAACGTTATCTTCACATCCAGCATAGAAGTCTTCGTTAAATAATTCTTGCATTTTTCGATCATGTTCCAATGGGTCAAAGTCCGCATCCAAATCAATGTTATCGAATCGCACGTCATCATTTCCTAACGATAAACGTGACATTAGCTGTCAATACTACGGCACTGAATCTCTATAAAATGATTTCATATTCATTAAACCTGTGATTTGCTTGAGTTGTTGAATTTTATCTTCAATTTCTTTTCGCTTCAGAGCTTTTAATTTCTTCAACTCTTCCAGCTGCCGCAGTTTCTCCTCATCTTTACGCTTTTTAATTTCAGCTCTTTTCTCTGATCTGCGAGTGTCTTTTTTCCTCATAGAATTGTTCATTGTACGAGGATACCTAAAATGTTATACCACAAAATGCAGCGAGTCAACAGAAAATGTCTTTTAAGAAGTAAGCTTCTTCAGCATTATTCGTTTCAGAAATGTCAATTGAACACATAACTCTTTCATTTTTTAAGGTGATATGAAAGGTGCTGAGAAACTGAATCGACGTCAATAACATGATTCTAGTCCATGATAAATAAATCAATTGTTTATAAAAAATGAAGTTTCAGGATCTATCTTATAGCCTCCACGTTCACAAAGTAAAATTTGAAACGGATCGATACTCCCAATTCGGAGAATACTTTCACGAACGATTTGACCTCTCAGATATATATACATATATATAGGTTGACTCTTTCATATCACCTTAATAGCACCGTAAAGCATTAGATGGAATACCTTTTTATAAATTCCTGATCAGGTTCTTCAAACCGAAAGTTGTACTTGTGTTCAAACTCCTCTTGATGTATTAAATTTTCTTCGTCTTCTGATAAATCCTTCCATTTATCGTCATCCACATCCTCATTATCTTGATCTAAAAATTTCTTATTTAAAATATAATCCCTTAGGAACTTTTCATTTTTATCCAAATTAGGATCGGTCCAAAAATCCTTCAATGGTTTTAATTCTTGCTGATCCTGAGCATTGATTGCAGTTTCTTGACCTTTTAACCATTCTTTGTAATCTTCTTCTTCCTAAAAATGATATTATAAGGGTTAAATGAGAGAACGCATTAAACGAAAATTACATTAAATAATAGTACAGTGCAAAAATCTACATTAAGGCTTTTATTATAAGTGGGGCTTTAATTATTTAATGGTTAAATATCACAATTTTTATATTTTGGCCCATAATAACTACATGTATGTAGTAATTAGTACTATAAATCATATAGATATGTTTCCTGAGTCACATTAGTCTACAAACATGCTTTTCCACGTTTGTTTTAAGTATATCATAAAAGCCCAGTCTATTTAATATATTATGTTTTATATTATTACAGTTGATTAATCGTGCAAACAAGTGCAATAGCTGGGAAAATTAACAAAAATGCATAGAAATGAACAGATCTACTCATTTTTTTAATAATTTTTTAATCATTATATTAAAATGATCTCTCTTTAAATTAAATGTTTCTGTCCATCCATTTCTGTTCGTTTTCTTAGCATAATCTAAAAACTATGAATCTGAATTTCATGTTCAAATACAATTTATATTGTAAGTTGTTCTTTACAAGAAACATGCAGGGAAATTGAATTACCTTTTGTTCTTGTTGTTCCGACTTCTTTTTAGGAATTAGCAATATACTATCATCCTGGTCCTCGTTAAGCAAAGCCATTCTAAAACTCTCCTTAAGGTTTTTCTGTTCGTCCATGTATGTAGATTTATGAATTTTCTCTTTCGTGTTTTTCTCTTCGTCACTGTCGCTATACTTTCCTTCATGTTCCAGAATAATATTCCGCTCGTAATCACGCAGACATAATGGCTTGTCTTTCCCATTCTTATTTTTAACCTTTGTTTTTGTTCCTTTGTCGTTTTCATTTTGCAAGGATATCTTTGAACTCTCGAAAAAAGTTACATTCCCATTGTATATTTTTGGATCTTTGGCTTTTAAGCTGGATAACGTTTTATAGAAGTCCCTTTCAAACTGGCTAGTGAGTTCCTATACATATATTAGAAAGAGAAATAATAATTATGTTCAGTAATTGTTATATGATGCCATTAATTTCAAAATTAAATATGGCTTAGCGTAACAATTCTATAATTCTTCCGTGAAATGAAATTAACAAACTTGATTCGACCTACCTTATTTTTTTAATGGAATACTTTTTTTCAAGTTGTTTGATTGAAAACCTTTAAAGGATAAATTTATCGCCTAACCGAATGGTTAACACAGTTGCTCGTAATTTTAATACTATATTCAATATCTACAATCTTTCTTGATAGGATGTGGACATTTAAAAATGGCAGAAATTTACTTCAGTCGTCAATTTTTTGAACAAGAGTGAGCCATAGGAAGACCACTTTTTTTTTAAATTAAGCATTTTTATTTGCGAACATGCACTATTGGAAAGGTTTTGGTCATGTCAACCTTTGAATACATTTAGAAATGGATACTCTAAAAGTTATAGGTTTTCAGACAAGAAACTTAAAAGAACATGAATCGACTGAAAAACAAGTGTTACTTGCTATAACGTTTGTTCGCTCGTTGACTTACATTTCCTTCCTCATCTTCTTCCGACAGATCGCTCGATTCATTCGAACTATTCAAGTCGGCGCACTCACCATATTTAGTTTTTACTGTAAGAAAAATATATGATAACGTGACGGTACATGTAACCAAATTATCTAATCGATCTACGATTACTTTTACACAGCCGTTTCTTGAAATCAAAATAAGTCAAAGTAACATTGCCGAGCAATAGGTAATTGGCATTGATTCAATCGATGCAATAGTAATAGATAATTTTAGTGACCGAAATCAGTCATATTTTTAAGAAATCAGGGTCAAAACGTGCTTTTCTCAACTCCATATGGCATAGAAAAACTGTGCTTGACAAGATGAATCCAGTCGGTCCTCTTATGAACATAGTGGATAATCAAAATATACCGTCAAACCAAAGGTACGAAACAAAAACACTTTGGACGCTGTGTGGTCAATGGATAAACTCAATGATAGTCAGCAACAAATGATTAAAAAAGCATTGTTCTCCCTGTAGTAAATAATATCTGCACTCGACAATCAACATTAATTCGAATTTAATTTCAGCAACAGAAAAACGCTCGTGCAAAGATAACCTAAAGTGGAAAGAATATTTCCAAGTTATTTCCGCTCACATTTATTCAATTCTTCCTTCTGCCGCCAAGAGTTATAATTACTGGCATAATTGGTATTAATTTGTAAATTGTCATCGGATTCGGAATCTTCTGCTTTGAACAGTTTTTGCATTATTATGAATTCGACATATGCTTTCAAGAGACAGATTACATAGAGCGGAAGTCAGATATGGTCAGATACCAACAGATACTAATACCGATGAATTCCGACGTCTCCTAGAAGCCACGTAACGAGCAATTCGCTCTCGTGAAACATGCTGCCACCTGCAGCGTAATATTCCATCTCTTTATTTCGCGGTAGATTCAAAGACTTTATGCTTCGAAATACTGGTCACGACAAGAAAAATGGTTTGATTGCGGTGCATCGACGATATTTGATATGTTTGCGGCATTCCGACACGTTCCGCTGAAAAACCCGAGAAATGACAATGGCCGAATTCCACGCGGTAGTAAACAACATTTCGGAGGACATGAAACGCGAGCCGAACGAGGGGAGAGCGAGTAGAGCTCCGCACCAATCAGGAGCCAGGGAGCGCTCTGCGGTGATATGCATCCGAGACTCTAGCGTGGACCACGGGACCCCGGCAATAAAAGGAACAACTCTTCTCTACTTTTCGCAAAATTTATTCGCAACTCCCGCACATCGGGCCGCGCGCTACATAGTTTCACGGGCGCAACAGACTACCGAACAACCACGACGACCACAAGAGATCGTCACAGCCCGTTGCTTGGTTGACGTGCGTGTATCCAAAATAGTTTCTATTCTTGGCGCTTGGTTGCGCCACTGTCCACGAAAATGAGTTTTACTGGACCTCGATGAGCGAGGTGAGGAGACGGATGGGTTAAAAGTTCTCGAGGAGGGAACGAGCCTTCGATTGATAAAAAGTGGAGTAGGTAGGCGGTCGGAGCGTAGAGATTAGGAAAAGACCAGGTAAAGCCTGGGTAATACCATAGAAATGGAATATTACAGAATCAGATGGGTAAATATGGAAAATACTTTCACCAACGATTGCAAGAGAATGCTGGCTCGTCCCGCGGGTAAGGCGTGTTTTAAGAGCAAAAAATAGTTACAACTAACAGTCACAGATGGCGCCGTTGGACCGTTAGAATATAAAAAGTCATGAATTCACGGGATTTCGAAAGTTTGACATCGATCTCTTTATCATTATTTTACCGAAATGATATATGGAACGCCTCATTTCGTATAATTCTCAACGTAGACTGTAAAAGATTTCAACGCAAATATTAATGTCGGGAACGCGACGCGTCAGCTTACGTTTCCACTTCGGTATGCAAAATGGCGTAACCCTCAAAAAGGGCAGAGATGAATTTTAATTTATCGACCTCGATTAAATTCCTCGGCGCCTTTCGTATCATCTTAAAGATACGTTATTTTACATTTAAAAATGAACGGACATCTCGTGCTATTTCATGTCCCAAATTTTAGGGAGTTCTCGGAGGGTTAACGGGGGTTTACGTGAATACGTGCACCCATTTTATCGGAATCACGCAACAAAATAAACGGACGTGATAAAGAATACGGACACCCTTTCACGTAAAAGGTGAACACCTATCAAGATGGCGGGACAATTAGCCGAATCGTCGACACGCAGCCGTCAGAACATGCGTTTCATCGGCACGGCACGATGCCGTACACGTAGACATTTTTTCAATATTAACTCTGCGAATACGCAAAAAGGTGCAACTGTAGAAATTAAATATAATTCGAATCTCGATTCTTGAAACAATGGAACTCACGTGGAGATCAAAGAAGGGAGGCTCGAGCGGCAGATCCGACGGTAAGAGCAAATAAATCGCGATACCACAACAATGAAGTGAAACAAAATTTATTACTATCTTCTCATGATATCAGGGGGACATACCCGTCAACATCCCTAGTAGCAGAAAATATTTGTCTTATATTTTCTGTATATTTAACGAGTATCGTATATTTTGTAAATATTTAGCAGACATTTCAAATATTTGCAAAACATTTTCGCCGGTTACGATTTTATAATAATAATCCGGGGGCATAACATTACGCGATTCCTGTTTTAAGGGAACGTTTATCCTCGGAATCGTCCGAAATATCATTGGAGCCGTATAGCCAAACATCTTAAGTGTGAACTTCGACGATATTGCGAAAATACGACTCTCCATGGTTTCCGGTATATTACAGCCCATGAAACTAATATTGTCGAGAAAGCAATATGGTTCCTGGTAAGTCTATAATTGACAGTCCGTTTTCATTTTTTCTGAGGGGTCATATACGTTTTTCCGAGGGGGTATTCGCTCAGAAAATCATAAATTTCACCGCTTGAAATCATGTGGAAATCACTGGAAATCGTTTGGAATCATCGAAACACTGTCACAATTTTAAAGCCGAACGTCCTCTGTTGCCGAATCTTATTGCTGTCTATCGTATGAAATCGACGGTAATCGGCTCTCAAAGACGGAAATCATTTTCACTGATTTCCAATTGAATAGCCCCGTTTTTCGGCACTAAACAGCGGTCAATGTTTATTAGTGATCGATTGAAATCTGTTAGGTAGATTGATTTAAATATTTTCTCTATTATAAAAATAGATGTTTAGACGTGAATATGTCTTATAGCTGGGGATCGGTAAAAACATTGCGCCACATTATTCCGTAATGCGTTCGATGTCATCCGGATTTTCTGATACTTTTTACTTACGAGTCAGTTGCTATGCTTTTTCAACTTTGTTACCTTCCCATCCGATTTGGCTGATTCTTTTCGCAAGCTTTTTACAGCAGAATTTTTGTAACACTTTAACGTCCCTTGCATCGCTTCGGCTGTACTGGGAGCCGATTTATCCGCATGATTACAGCCATTGTTACACGTAATTATTTACATGATTTTGTGTCCCATGGATTTTCTTTTTGTCACCCGTTGCAGTATGTAACCAGTAACTACTTAACAATCTGGACAGTGACGTGTTTCGTGTTGTGTTCCCAAGTGTATCGAGATGGTTAACCTAATTATTCAATTTTATTACTAAGACAGGGAACTCGTCCCTATTTTTAACCTTCTTTGACATTTCGTCCTCATACGATGAGAATATGGAGGCTATAAGGACGGTCCTGATACCCATGAAATCTCAATTCTTTAAAAATTAGTTTACCGATATCTTAGATTTTTTAAATGAAATTTCATCGATGTCAAAACTTTCCTTACAGCTTTCATATTTACATCGTAAAGTTTGAAACGATTCGATACATTAAGTTCGGAGAACGATTGACCTCTCGGATGTTGGTCTCACATCCTCTTAATGGACGTTGTAACGATGCTTATGGGTCCCCGACAATGTGTTTTGTTATGTATGTCCACGAAGTTGCGTACGTTAGTAATGTACCTGTACAGTAATTGTAACAAACTGTATGAAAATGTCATTAGTAACTAGAAACAGAATGTGTAATACTTGCCCTACAGGTTTGCGTGGTTGGGTTTGCTCTGAGTGTGGTATTGATGGTATTAACGTGGCAACGCTTCGAAAAAACCCCCACGGTCACTACCATCGACACCACCACATACCCCATATGGGGCCTGCACTTTCCAGCAGTTACTATATGTAACTACAATAAAGTCTATCGTCCCGAAGCTAAGAAATTGGCAGCGGATATGTAAGTTGTTATGCCACTGATTATAATAATATATCAATTTAACTTTTCATATTTTATTTCGTTATGTCAAACTTTTCACGTTGTCTTCTATTTATAGTCATGTGGTTCAAGAGCGGTCATCTATTCAAATGAAGTATAATGTCTAATATACGTATAGAGAATGTTTTCACCTCTATGGAACGTTTAAATTTGTCAGAAGTAAAGAAAGTCCTAGCTCTGAAAATTTTAGGTGGAAGGTTAATTCTTTTCATATCGGTACTTTAAGGTGAAGTGAAACACGTTGAGAAATTTGATCGGTGTTAGTCCAAAAAATTTCTTCCAAATACCTACGTTACCGACGTATTTATATTAACAGTTGTGTCGAATTATTTAGGGTATTGTACCGAATTGCATACTATATATGTCACTACCGAACAATAATTACAAAGAAATTGAAGCAAAACTCCGGCAATACCTTGGATTCTTGGTTTTTGATGCCCTAAGTGACCGTAGACGGCCACTGTGCGCTATCTATGATTTCAGTGCCAACTAAATTTTTTCGCCGACACCTCGTGTTCCTAGAATTTTAGCATAGAAGCGCAAAAGTAATTTTTTTGCCCTTATCTCGCTCAAATGCGAGTTTCTCAATTGACAGGGGGTTGAAAATCGTGGTACAATTATCCTGACAGTTTCGTTTCTCATATCAGAGTCTTCGATAATTGTATATCGATCGAAATATGAGAGCTCGACTGCCATGTTGGTTCTAGTCTAGGCTAAGTTAAACAGATTTGTTTCGAAAATCCAAATTTTTAAAGTGTCGGGATAATTCCTAGGTGCTTACGAATCAAGGGTCAAAGTTTCGGACAGATGGATCCAATACCCTTAAAAAAGTATCTTATTGTCTGTATTGTATAATCGATTGATTGGAGAGAGGTTTCATTTTACCTCAAGGAAGACATTTTTTTTTAAGAGTATTGGATCAAACTATCCAAATAGAATGTTTTTTACCGACGTCGATCAAATTTCTCGTCGTCTTTCACTTCACCTTAATTTATTTAGGGCTCCAGGCGTGATTTCGCACATTGTTTATTATCCCGCCAAAGAGAGTCTAATCTCAACTATGGAAATATTCACGGATAAGGCCTGATCGCTGGAATTTGCATTACAATTTATTTTGTAGAATTTAATTGATATTTATAGAATCCCTCATTTTTCTGCAAGCATTATATTTCAAAAGTACTTATTTACTGTTCGTATTTGTAGAAACCACAAAATGAAGGATAGGCATGGAGAATGAGAGATAAGTTAAACGCAACTAGTACTTTTCTCTTTGCAGGGCCAAAGAAGGACTAAACGTTACGGAAATAAAGAATTTTTTTGATGCGTTGCCGAAATTAATTCGACCAGAATTCATAGGCCACGAGAATACGAAGGCGTTGAGAGCTTTGGAGCGAATGCAGTTATCCGTTGACGACCTAATGCTGAAGGTATTTATCTCTCAAGGTGAAGTGAACCAGGATAAATAAACACATTTCTTTTATAAAAAATGAAATTTTACGAGCTTCAGGATCTACCTTAGGACCTCCATGTTCACGTGGTAAAATTCGAAACGAATCGGTACCCCTAATTCGGAGAATACTTTCACAAACTATTTGTCTTCCCCGATATACGTAAACTGACCCTTTCATAACACCTTAAAGTGAAGTGAACTCCCCTGAAATCAGTCGCTTCGAACGAGACACTTTTTTTAAGGGTATTGGACCGAACTGTACGAAACTTTGTCACATAACTTTCGAGCACTTAAAAATTATCCTGACATTTTCAATATTTGGATTTTCGAAACTAATTTTATTCACTTAGCCTAGATCAGAACCGACATGGCGTCAAGCTTTTATATTTTGATCGATATACAATTATCGACGGTTCCGACACGAGAAACGAAAATGTCGGGACAATTGTACGACAATTTAGAATACTCTAGTAATCGAGAAACTCGCATTTGATCGGGATAAAGGCAAAAAAGTGTTTAATGCACTCCATTTTTAATGCATGCCATTTTCATATCCTCTAGGTCGATTATTTCATTTATTTGAAATTCAATTCCCAAAGTCCTAATCAAAATGTCTGATTTCAGCTAATGCAACCGTGTGACAAGTTACTGATGAAGTGCATCTGGCTAGGAAAGGTATACAATTGCAGCAAAATATTCAAGACGGTAAAATCCATCGAAGGTTACTGCTGCGCATTCAATTATCACGTATTTCCCTCGGTAACCTTGTAAGTCTTCGTCCATTTATTACGTTAGTTATTTCGTATATCGTGTAACGTGGCGGAGCGTGGAGCCTCCTCCACGTTCCAAAGCGGGGTCCTTTCCGGTCCGAGTGCCTCCAAGGTACGGGAAGGAGGCCAAGGGACCGCGGTGGTTCCAAAGGGCCCGAAGTAGGCGTCGTGTTAAAGGGAGCTCTCCCTCCGGCCGCCATGTTGCGAAACGCGGACCCTTCCGGACCCTCAAGGGCGTTGCGGAGTCGACCGAGCCGACCGCGGCGCGTCGACGAGATCAGGACTCGTGGACCCGGAGCATCGGGAGCATCGTGGGACCAGGGCCGATGGGAGTCCCACCCTGGCGCCGGAGCTCCGGTAGGGCCCGCGGTCGGTAAGGGGACCGAGGTCTCTCTCCTGGACTTCCGCGAGACTCCGTAACTCCGCGGGGTCGCGAGAACCTGGGCGAGGTATCGTCGCGATCCGAGCCTGCATTTGAATTTGGCTTCTCGATCGTTTGCTGGCGTTCGTTTGAAAAGCCGTAGAGTCGTGGCTTCGGAGAAAGGCCCACTTCGTGTTCGCGGTCGCGAGTACAGCACCGAAGGCCTGCTCACCGGTGGAGTCCACCCCGCCTCGGGGTGGACTCCACCGTCACGCGGAGACGATCGGGACTAGGCGCCCGAGGGAGGCTGCGCGACCGAAGGGAATAGGCGAGGGCGGTGAATTATATTTTGCGGGTTCCGTTCGGACTTAGAAGCCTCCGCGGCAGTTTTTCGCGCCGCCTCGTGGAGGTCGCGTTCGGTGGGTTCTCGGGCGAGGAACGCAGGATGGGCCAGCTTCGGTCTCGGATTTGTAATCTAGGCTTCTTTTTTATTAAATCTACGATCGGCTTAGCACGACGCCTTTCTTTCACTTTTTTTTTTCCGCGCCGGCTTTTCCAGTTCCTTCACGGCCAGAAGCCACCCTCTAGCCGGTTGAGCAGAGAAATAGGAAAACTACCAGGTTGGTTTGCGGATTGGGAAAGCGATCCAAGTTTCGGTAGTAAAGGGCCTGTCGGCGAAAAATCGGTCCTGCGAATCGCAGCCGCAGTTGTTGATACGTTTCAATAAAACTTTTCAGTCTCGTTAAGGTGAAGTGAAACGCGTCGAAAAATGCATCTAAATATCAACGTTGCCGACGTTCGAATTTATATCGACAGCTGGGTCGAATTATATCGGGTATTTCCCAAATGGCATACTCCATATGTCGCTTCCGTGCAATAATTATAAACAAATCGAAGTAAAACTCCAGAAATCCCCTGGATTCCTGGTTTTTGATGCCCTAATTGACTGTAGAGTGCTAGTATGCGCCATTTGTGATTTTAGTGGCAATTAAATTTTCTCTCCGAGGCCACGTGCTTCTATCGTATTAGCACAGAAGCGCAAAAGATACTTTTTTTGCCTTTATCTCGTTCAAATGCAAGTTTCTCGATTACCAGAGTGTTCTAAATCGTTGTACAATTGTCCTGACGCTTTCATTTCTCATATCAGACCCTTCGATAATTTTATATCGATCGAAATATGAGAGCTCGACTGTCTTGTTGGTTCTAGTCTAGGCTAAGTGAAACATTTCTTTTTCGAAAATCCAAATTTTGAAAGCGTCAGGACAATTCTTAGGTGATCGCGAATCATATGTCAAAGTTTCGGACGGTTCGGTCCGATGCCCTTAAGAAAGATGTGTCTTATTCGAGTCGATTGATCTCAATTTCACGGATTTCACTTCACCTTAACGTTCAATGCCCAAATTATATATGTTCCTCTGATGACGTAGGAATCGTCGTTGTTATCGGATTGATGTGCAAGTAATTGGCATTCTAATGACTTGTTTTTTTACGCAGAGAACAGGAAACAGATCCTGACAGTATTCAGAATTATCAGCAAGGACTTGATGACATACAGGTTTGTTAAACTATCATTCATTGGCACTCATTAAATCAGCACTTAGTAACGATCCAAGTAGCACAAAATATTTACCTTATATTTTCTATATATTTAACGAATATCGTACATTTTGTAAATATTTAGTAGGCGTTTGGAATATTTGCTAAACATTTGCTTTAGAATAATATTTTGATAATATTTCTATAACACTAGCTCAATTTGTTTTCGTCATATTTCCTTACAGATATACAAAACGTTTCGTTTCATTTGAATATAAGTTGCCAATTTTCTTGAACTTTTAAAGCGATAAAACCTAAACTGTCTTTTCGTGGAAGTAGAGTTCGGTTAATATGTGTACCCAGTATCAATCTTGAAAATCCGTTACTGTCAATTACAGAATTAAAAATGTAAAAATTGTTGCCACCGATCTAGGTTTCTCCTCCTCGTTATGAACATTCTGTCCCGATACTTTAGTAAGATTATTACAATTCGTATTCTTTTATTAAGTAGATGGTTCCTGGTGCTGGTAGAGACATAGGATTGTCTTTGGTATTGAACGTTGAAGCTTTCGCGTATCGAGGATCCATAAGGCCTTACACCGGAGCTTCGGTACTGATCCATGATCCACACGTCTATCCAGAAGTGGATATGCAAACTGCATTGGTGCAATCGAACCAGGAAATATCGGTGATACTTTCCGGAAAGGTTGTAGAGAGCGCGGAAAATGTGCGACAACTCAAATTAAATCAACGTAATTGTTGGTTTAACGACGAGGTAAAGCGTACCATTAAATATCCAGAACATGGCGGTGATATATAGGGTGTAACAGAAATGGTGGTCACGGTTTATACAGCACTATTCTTGTTGAAAAAGGAGGCGAAAAGTCCAGTACTATTTTTTCCTCCCGTGTATAATTTTTCTGTAATAATTAATTGAAGCACGGTCAATCAATTCGGCTGTGGTTTAATTAGTTATTACAGATAAATGATGCACTGGAGGAAAAAGTAGTGCGGTACTTCTTCTTCAATTAGAATAGTGCTGTCTAAACCGTAATCACCATTTCTGTTACATCCTGTATAAAACGGCCCGTTCCAAATCACCTTAAGGATGTTCACAACTTGAACGATTTGTAATTTCTTGCACGGGATATAATTGTGACCGTATTTCATAACCGATTGAATCGATGAAGTGCTCGTTTAGATGATAGAAATTATAACGATAATTAGATAGATACGTATTCAAATGTTTGATCACTTTAAATAATTTTTTATCCTACATTATTCTTTCTTACCCTGAACTTACACCGAAATACGTAGTTAATGTGAAGCATGTTCTTATCAACAGAAACAGTTGAAATCGAGCGTAGTCTACAGTTATCAATCCTGCGTGGCGGAATGCCGAATGGAACACATCGTGAGTCTTTGCGACTGCCTCCCATTTTACTATCCAGATATAGGTGTATATCTCACTTATCCTTGCGACCATGAAGTAAAATAAGGAGTCATAACGCCAATGATCGATTCCCCAAAATTGGGACCCAGGATCTCAGATTTCCGCTGCTCCAACGACGCGGGCGCTACTGGCGGAAAACGAGGGAACTCCGATCCTACGTAATCAAACATTTCCTACCGAGGTAAATGATCTAAAATGCTTTCAATTTGGCAATTAAGGTACGTAAAGCGAAACAAAAATCTACACTTGATATACAAAATGTGATGTTTTAAACGCGGCGATGACTAGCGGACCCGCTAGTAGATGATCATTTTGAATTGTAAAATTTCATCGGGGAGGCGCTCTGGGCCCTGGATCGGAAAAAATCTGATGATCTTGAACGCCTAAAATGGGGACGATTTCGATACATGGCGTTGTGTCTCCTTAAACTACTTCGTGCTTGCGACATATACTGCATACTTAGCCTCTTTGCATAACGATAATTACCGTTGCAGTTGACAACGTAAGGACATGTGGATTGGCGGATGTGAGATGTCTTCGCTTCAACAACCGTACGATGTTCTTCTTTAAAAATTATCGTTATATAGCAACATGGTCTTAAATGGAACTCTATTGAATGAAATTAGCGTTCGTCGATGTAAATGTAGTGTAAGGTGATATGAAAAAATCATTCTACATATATATAAAACGTCAAAATATTTATAAAATTTTTTCCAAACTGGGTGCCCCGAATCATTTTAAACTTCAGTACGTGATTGCGAAGGCCCTAAGGAAGATCATGGTGCTCGTGAAATTTCATTTTTGATGAAAAATTTCTTTTAGTTATCCCAGACTAGAACCACGAATACATATTTTTATTGAAAAATGAAATTTCATGAGCACCACGTTCTTCCTTAGGGCCTCCATGATCACGTGCTAAAATTTCAATTGATTCGGTGCACCCAGTTTGGAGAAATGTTTATAAATATTTAGCCGTTTTATATACATGGAATGACCCTTTGATATCACCATAAAATAATAACTGAAACTGAATAATATTGAATAACGTTATGTACTTCAAAAGGTGTACTGTCGAGTCTTCAAATGCCTCTGGAAGGTGAAGTAACCAACAAAACAATTTCACCAACGAAATGTGCTTGTTTACCCCAATGCAGCAGCAAGAGTTACGTAATTGATATTGAAAAAGCACGATTGGAAGACGTCGACTTCGATTCCGTATTGTTGTAAGTTAACACCACGAATCTTCCCCCTAATATCATTTAGTTATATTAGCAAAATGTTCACAATTCAATTTCCAGGCGCGGTTTGAACATTAATGATATCTCCTTAGTTCACGTACATTTTCGTGACATAACCTGTCTAAAATATCGACGAGACAGCTTGATTACTTGGCACGATCTCCTTGGTAAGTTACGCCATTTACGATGCTGTGAACAGTAGCCTGTCACTTTTACTTTTCCGTACCTTTAAGGTGATATGAAAGAGCCTACATATACATATCTGAGAGGTCAAATCGTCCGTGAAAGTATTTCCCGAATTGGAGGTACCGATTCGTTACAAATTTTGCCACGTGAATATGGAGGCCCTAAGGTAGGCCCTAAAACTCATGAAATTTCGTTTTGATCAAAAATTGATTTATTCATCATAGACTAGAACCAACATGGCGTAATCCGTGTACGTATTTGATGGCTCAAAATCGAAAATGAAGAGTTTCAGGACCTAGCTCGGACGATATAGAATACTATGGTCAGATGGGAAAATGTGGAAAATGCTTTCACCGACGATTGCAAGAGAATGCTGATTTGCGCCGTGGGTAGCACACTCTTTTAGAGCGAAAATGTAGTTGCAGCTAAACGCCACAGATGGCGCCGTTGGTCCATTGGAGTATCAGAAATCACGAATCCACGGAATTTCGACAGTTTTATTTCGATCTCTTTACAATTATTCTACCGAAATGATACATGAAACGTCTCATTTGGTATATATCTCAACGTAAAATGTAACAGACTTCAACGTAAATATAAATATCGGGAATGCGACACCCCAGTTTATGTTATTACATGAGTATTCAAAATGGAGTTACCACCGAAAAGGGTATATATGAATTTTATTTTATCAACGTCGATTAAAGTTCTCAGCGCCTTCGTATCACCTTAATGCGGTGCAAGTCAATGAGTTAAGCCAAAGTTTTGTTGTTAACGTATCGGTCTCTTTGTATAGATCCTCCTTGGGATTTTTAAATAACCTTCCATTCTAAGAAGGAAAACTTCGGTCCGAAAACTTTGTCAGCATAAGTGAATTTCAAACGCACCGATCTGTCCCCAATAAGTAATCATATTTCCCTGCGGTTTATTTAACCATAATTGCACATTGGTACACGTATCATTCGTCACGGAACAAAAGCGATTTTCATTTACGAACTTTAAATGTCATTAAAAATATTATAATTCTTCCAGCTTCGTTCGGAGGGGTTTTTGGATTGTGCGTTGGTGGTTCGTTCGTTAGTTTCGTTGAAATATTATATTACTTCACTATAAAAGTTTTTCACTCAAGGAGGAATTGGAACGACTTGTCAATGTTCAAAGCTCAATCAACAGTCGGGAGTTTCGTGGAGCCAAAGTCGAACGGATTGCCGCAACCATCGACGATAAAAGTTTCCGACCCGGACAACACTTTTGGCAAATATCTTGACGCTAATAATAGAAAGACGAACTTTTGGGCCACCGTAAAATTACCTCCACACATGGAATCTAGAAACATCAAGAAGGCGCCCGTTTATTAAAGTATTAGATTCCGCCCATCCTACGAATTAAAAAATTAATATACCGAGAAAACGGTTTATTTCATCCAAATACAGGAATATCTCTAAACTGCATTTATTAAACAATACAATGATTTGTATCAATCGACAAAACGTTGATTTGATTTCGGTAAAAGACAAATTTTCACGTCCTTAATTAAAATACGCTCTTTGTTTGACGTATCTGTCTTAATTTCAATGAATAATTTCATTAAAATAATCAGGCGCCTCGTTTAAGCGTCTTGTATTTAAATGAAAAAAATGATCTATCCGATTCCAAGAAATACATTCAGGGGTATCGCAAGGTCCTTCGGAGGAAATAGTCTTTAATGGGCTAAAAGAGTTATAATCAGGGATACGAGTTGCAACGTTATGGGAAAAAAGAGGGAAAAAGTTACGATAACGGCACGTTCTCAAACTGGTCGGACATCAGAGCTTCTTCTTACGACGTTCGTTTAAATGAAACATTTATTGTGTCGTAGAATGTACCATTATAGAATAAATGTTGAAACTATGCTAAAGAGGTACCGAATTTATCGATACACCTAATATTATTCCGACGCGAGGAGGAAGACCGATCTTATCGTGAATTACTCGTTTTCTTTCATCCGGATGTCAACGAGTTCCGTGTGGAGGGTCCGGGTGGGTCATCCCGTGGACCGAAGAGCCTAGAAGGGACAAGAGCGGCATCCCCCACGGAGCGATAAATCAATCCCCTCCGACATAAAACTCGTAGGAGCAGGTGGCTTGAACGCCCACCACTACTCACGCCTCTAATCCCCAATTAATGCCATCCCTTTGTAAACGCGGGAGGCAGGGCATCTCCACTCATACTTTTCCGATACCAGTCCATTCTGAGACGAAATCGGTTCGCATTATTTCAATCGTTGCGTAACGTAAAGCTGTTATACGACTGCAAAAAATGTTAACAAACACGGTTACGTAAGAACAATATAACCTTTGTAGCGTACGTATAATATATAAGGAAGATTTCTATTACTATTTCCTCCACAACTATACGACCCTGTTATACAACGAATAATGTAACGTGTACGTAACATGTTATATGACCGAAATGCTAACAAGTTTGTAACATAATCGTTGAAATGTAATAATTCGACGAGTGTATCTTTTGCGTATCCAATATTACGTTTCCATGGGATGATAATTAACGATGACTCCGTAGTTTCTGTGAAATAACGATGAATTAATTTCCTTCGATCCGTGCCCAGAATGGTAAATTACAAATGACCAAGATTCCGAGTTCTAAAATGACAAGCGGAATATAAATAAAAGCAAGCGTATTTGAAACGCATATACAACTTTTTGTTAAACTTCGCGTGGCAGTGGAAGGGGTAAACCGGATACGACGAACTAGGGTGCGTTAGATGGTTGTAATGATCGGACCCAATCGGATTTTAGATCATGTACGCGTAGACGTCGCCTTGCAGGGGAGGGGGTAAACGAATGTACCACGTGAGCCGGCAACTCCCCATTCCGCTTCCTGAAAATCTGGGAGTGGGAGGTCCAAAGCGAGGTCTAGATGTTACACATATACAGGTATGATTTAAGGTATACAGCGGAAGCTTATTCGAACAGGTGTGGCGTTTAATGGTCCATTATGGTCTGTACGGTGCTGTGAACGAATTAAATTAAGGTGGGAGGAAATTTCACGCGTTAACGCTTTCCGTCGCCTTTCAATTTCGACTAATTGGCTGGGATAATTGTCGAGCGATCTCATTATTCTCTATCGAGAAAATACATACGTAAAGGAACTCTTCTTGCGTAATAATTGAAAAAAAGGATCTTTCTTCCCGAAAGGGTTGTTGCATGCGGCAAGAATTACTGGTAAACCTCTTTAATGCAGGAAGGTTGGGCAGGGACGCGTCATTCGAGGTTTTTTGCGTAAAATACTTAAGGTGATTTGGAAAGGGTCATTCCATATATAAAAAAACCTACTAATATTTATTAAACTTTTCTCCAAACTGGGTGCACCGAATCACTTGAAACTTCAACGCGTGATCGTGAAGGCCCTAAGGAAGAACGTGGTGCTCATGAAATTTAACTCTGCAAATGATAAAACTTTTGTATCCCTTGTAACGATACCCTGGGGCACTTTGTTTCATCAGAGAAATTTTTCTCCGTGCGACGAACGGCGTAATCGTTATATCAGGGACATAGGGTCATTTCATTTTCTTCTTTAGATTGACTCTTTGGATGATGAAATCTTTTATACCGTTACGTTGCCAGGAGCGACACTCCCAGCTGCCTCTGAGAGAGCGATGTCACCTATCTGGATAAAAATAACCAAATAAGTGGTTATCGATCCAATTACCTGAAATAAAGTAATAAATATATTATAACATGGAAATACAAATAGTCACATGTTTTTGCCATTGTTCCCTTCCAAAAGATTCTAAGGTAACAATTGGGAGCTTCAGGAATTACACTGCATCCTTCATAACACGATGGTTGGAGAAAATGATACATTCGAAGCCGAAAAAGGGAAAAGAACGTTAAAAAACGAAATAATCGTTCTACTGAAACGATGTATGGAAAATGCAATTCCGTATAATAGTCGGCATAGCTATTAATATAAATATAAATGTAGGTAACATGGGGCGCTATTTCAGGCAAGATATCCGTTAGAGGAATGCCTCTTATCGACGATGATTTAGTTGTTCGACGCCCTTCACGTCATCTTAAGAAATTAATCGATTCGACTCGTTCTCCTCCTAGTTAATTTTATAATACGCATAATCGAGAAAGTTACGTACCGTTCGAATTAACCCATAATCAAGGGTGAAATAGCCACAAGCGGTAAAATCCAGACGATTCTCAATTAACTGCAGCAGAAATTCTTTAATCTAGGGGCAAAGATTAATTTTTATGTAAATTAATTTTCATGCTTTAAGGAGACGTGAAAGTGGCATCAAAAAGGTCGCGTTTATGAAATTTTTCTCCCAAATGGGGATACCGAATCGTTTCAAACTTTACAACGTATGTTCACGGTGGCTTTGAGGAAGGTCCTGACCCTCATGAAATTTCATTTTTTATAACCAATTTTTTAAAAATTGAAATGTTATGGGTGTCAAGACTTTCCTTATAGATTTCATATTTACATTGCAAAGTTTGAAAAAATTCGGTACACCCAATTCGGAGAAAAGTTTCATAAACCAGACATCTTTAACGCCACCTTCGCATCACCTTAATGCTGGAATCGAAAAAGAAGAACTTCAAGGCACTCTTAGGCAACACAATTTAGAACACTATGTTAATCGAATATTGTAGATCGACGAGGGAAGAATTTTGAAGGGCGTGCAAGGAAATTCTCACATATCCTACACCATGAACAAAGCTCCGTAAATGCTAATAAATTAACAATTTCCGAAATTGTGTTTCCGATTTCTAATTTCTTGACGAGCGTGACGTCACGTTAAAGAATTGTACAGAATGGAAAATGCTCTGTTTATTATAGACATGTTTTTAACTTGTTTTCACTGGAGAAATTAATAACTTACTTCCATTTGAAATTGTTTGCTGGTACAGGGCTCGTGCAACTCACAAATTATGTCCCCCGTTCTTGTCGCCTGAAAGATTCATGGAAAATGATAAATTCATGCATTATTTGGTTGTTAACCAATATACATAAAAGTGTTGCAACGGCAGTATCTCTATTTGAATCAAACGATAGGGATGCAAGTACCAAAAAATGGTTTATCGACTTTTTACCTCAGAACTGGTCAGTGCACATATATGACTGATTGCCGCGATTTTGGATCCATAAAATAGAGACCAACACGCAGTTGTCATCAATTCCTGATTTAGTACATGCAGAGGAACCTGCATTCGAATGGCTACGACGTATGCGTTGTAGAAGAGGCCGATTATCAGCGAAAAGGATGCGGCCAAGGAGAGCAGAATTTGAATACCGTAAGCTCTGTTTACGTCGTGTGAAATTCTCACCAGTTCCAGATGAACTTGCCTATGCAAATAATTCAATATTTTTCAAGAAACAATATTCAACTGCACGTATCTAAGACCACCGATGGATTAGCGAAAGACAGGTGTTAATCGACGCTGATAAAATTTATCTATACCCTTTTCGGCGGCGACGCCATTTTGAATTGTCAAATGATCACGTTACCGACGATTATATTTTTTCGGAAGTCTGTTACACTCTACGTTGAGAATTATAGAACTAAAGCGTTCCATGTCATTTCAGCAAAGTCATGATAAAGATAACGATATAAAACTATCGAAATCCTGCAGATTTATGATTTTTTGGTAAAAAAGATTGTTCCAAATACCTTATATTACCATCGTTTTAGCACAGAAACGTAAAAGACACTTTTTTTGTGCTTATCTCGTTGAAATCCGAGTTTCTCAATTAACAGAGTATTCTATAAATTGTGGAACAATTGTCCTGACACTTTCGTATCTCATATCACAGACCTCAATGATTTTATATTTAACGAAATATGAGAGCTCGACGCCATTTTGGTTCTGGTCTAAGCTTAGTTAAAAAATGGTTTTTCGAAAATTCAAATCTTTTTCTAAGCGTCAGGACAATTTCTAGATGGTCACGAGTTATGTGTCAAAGTTTCGGGCATTTCGGCTCAATACCCGTAAAAAAGTCTTATTCGAATCGACTGATTTGAGGAGCATTTCATTTCATCTTAAGAGGATATGAAAGTGGCATCTTAGGGGTCAATATTTCATGAAACTTTACTCCGAATTGGATGTACCAATTTGTTTCCAATTTTACCACAATAATAAGGAGACCGTAAGGTAGGTCCTGAAACTCGCGAAATTTCATTTGTTACTAAAATTGTTGAAAATAGCTATAAATAAATGATCTTAAAATTGAAATTTCATAGGTTTCAGGACCTTTCTTGTAGCTTCCAGTTTGAGACGATTCGGTACACGCAGTTCGGAGAAAAGTGTCATAAACGATACCTCTTTGACGCCACTTTCGCATCACCTTAAGTCAGGGTTACCTGGCGATTTTTATCATGTTGTAGGAATCGTTCGTTTTCGATTGGTCGGCGATCCCGGAGGGAAATTCATTTATTATGGTATCATTCCACTTTAGAACATTCCTGTGTCGCGGCAACTGAAGATCGGTGGTAGAAATTGACGACAAGAAGACGTTTAACTGCTTGAACTTTGTCTTTAAGTACCTGTTCGAAAGTATACAAGAGTAATATTAAAAAATCATGTACTACATGTCCATATATAAATGGATTTCATGGAATTCTGCCTTTTAACTTTCTAACTGACGTAATAGGGGTAAAGATACGATCACGATATCGGTTAAATTAATTATGTTTCGAATACCAAAAATGTTGATTTTGCAATTTATTAATGAGTTTTTTAAACTAAAGCATTAAAATACCGGGACCACAAAATGTACTCCGATTGCGAGAAAAGAATGTCATGGACTCAGGGATATATTTCGTTGAATAGGATCAATGAAATATTATCCGTTAATTCACGGAATAATTATTTCGCTCAAATGAACTGAAATAAATTGGATGCGACGTTCCTTTGGAATCGAGCCAAATAATTCTTCTTTGAATTAAAAATATATTTCTTTGACTTAATGAAATTTTCCAGTTACGCAACAATTGAAAATAGCTATTACCTCCTAAACGCGAAATATATGTCTGTTCTGGTTGATTAATAACTTCTCTAAACTGAAGAGATTAGGCATATACATATATCGTAACCGTCAGAAATCTCTCGGTTATTTTGGTGTAAATAAAGAATATATTGCTTTCCGGCTCTATCGATACTTTTTGTATGGTTTAGAATGAAATTCTGCCTATTTAATTTCTAAACGATCCGGTGCATTCGGCATACCACACCCAATTGATGAAAGAGACATCAGCGATGTACATTAACGTGACTGGGTAGAACAAAGAAACTCCAAGGGAGAGCTTGATATTTCCTGCGACTTCCGCATTCAAGATCCAAGTGGAATTCACCGCGATAACGATCAGCAAAAGCACGATGACAGCCACTAGGTGTATGATTTGCCTGATCAAAATTTTTCTGTAATTCTTTGGGATCCCGATCTTCTCCATGAGATCGTCCGATGCTCCCAGCCGACGACTGTACGAATTCACCCCCTTCAAACGTGTTAAACGTATTAAACGTATTAAACGTATTAAACATATTAAACATATTAAACATATTAAACGTATTAAACATATTAAGGTGAAGTGAAACCCCCTTCAAATCAGTAGATTCGAATACAACACTTTTTTTTAAGGGTATCAGACCAAACTGTCCGAAACTTTGATACATCACTCCTGATCATTTAAGAATTGTCCTGACACATTCAAAATTTGGATTTTTTAACGAAATTTTTTAACTCAGCTTAGATCAGAACCAAAATGGCGTCGTGCTCTCATATTTCGATCTATATACAATTATTGAAGGCTCTGATATGAGAATTGAAAGGGTCAGGACAATTTTACGACAATTTAGAACACTCTGGTAGTCGATAAACTCGCATATGAACGGGATAAAGGCAAAAAAAGTGTTGTATGTGCTTCTATGCCAAAAGGATGGTAATACGAGGTCGCGGAATGAAAATTTAATTGACTCTAAAATCACAGATGACGCAGGGGGTCCCTCTGCAGTCAATTAGGCCCCCAGAAAGCACGAGTCCAGGGGATTTCTGGAGCTTTACTTCGATTTCCTTATAATTATTGTACGAAAACGACAGGTGGAGTATGCCATTTGATATAATACCCAATATAATTCGACACGGCTGTAGATATAAAAACAAACGTCGGCAAAGTAGGCATTTAGAAAAATCTTCTTTATCGACGTCGACCAAGTTCCTCAACGTGTTTCACTTCACCTTAAACATATTAAACATATTCCTTCCATTCATAATCTAGGGTGAAGTTGGCTAAATTGTCTCGACTTTACAAAAGTGACGATAGAAATCTTTCATATTTCATTTATAAAAGTACATAAATACTATTTAACCCGGTAGATGTCAAAACAAAATATTCCTTATTGTTAGAACGGCACGTCTGGTTTTTTAAAACGGTGTGTCTGGTAAATCTATGGCTATGCGGCTATTATAATAAGGTCGGATAATTTGTCCCACCCGCGAGAAGTGGAATCGAAGCGAAACGTTGCCCATATAAGTAAAATTTGGAAAAGAAAATTGATTACGTAAATCATATTTTACCAGGAAAAACGCATACGCGGAATTCAGTAGATTGTACCATTTTTTTTTATTTTTAATGGCTCTTCTCGTATCTTTGGATAACGATGCTCCAGCTTTCTTTTCGATGGAATTTTTAAACGTAGTTACATTTATCGAAGGGTAGGTATTTAGATGACCAAAGTTTTGACTTAACAAACGCAGTTGGGTTAATTGTCCCCGTTAATCCTACCGACCGGGAGTGATTTTCATTTTGGGGTTGTGCGAAAGGGTATGCCCGCGGTTGCATGAAAATTGAATTAACCTTTCAACGATTATTAGGGACAATTTCTGAACGTACCCTACCCTGTTGATATCGGTTAGAAACGAAGCGGTAAAAGTAGCAACGCGTTAGCAAATTAATATAACGTGCCTTCGACTTTAGTTCGAAGTGACTTTAGACAAAGTTCGGCACTTCGATGTGATAAATATTATTTTCTCGAATAATAGAACTTATCGCGTTTGGCATAACGAAAGTACGTTCGGTACTTTTGTTAGATGTTTGTTTTACGCGCCGTGCCAATTTGAAAGTATTTCAAATCACATTTTGCTCACTCAACGGGTCCATCGTCGTCTCTTCGATTTGGCCAAGAATTTGTCAACTCTGGCGAAGCTTTTCTCTAAATTTCCCGACCAACTTACGACAGCCTTCCCAGGGCATTACCTTTCTCCGTATCCATCCAAAAGCAATGACGCTCAAAGTCAAGAGAACGTTCGCGTACAGAAGAGCTTTATAAGTTAATCGGCCGGCTTCGGAGACTCTCGTTGCATAGAAAAGCTTCAATCGTTGCAAGGAGAAATTCAGGGCCATAAAGTACGCCGCCAGACAGCTCATGGAGTAAAGGAAGCTGAACAGATATCTTGGTCGCCCGGTCGGATATTCCAGGACCCCGGCACCAACTAGCCAATTTGCGATTGCCAACGGCCGACTGATTTCCTTCAAATTGTGCAGCTCGCGTCCTCCCATTTTTATTTCCGGAAGATTTTCCTCAAACTTATGCTTTTTTTCAACGAACTTATAAACGGATAACTTTCGGGTCAAAGAAGTGGACGGTCCGTCATGGCGAACCGTCGGAAGTGATTTCCGGTGATATTCTGAAATCGACGGCCTTCCACCGTTTCGGTCACGACAAAATTCTCCAGAGAACGACTATCGATAGTATCCAAACCATTTCTAGTAAAGTCATTTGTGACGATCGATGTTACCCCAATTACTACGCACGCACGTCTACGGAAACGTTATCGATCGAAATGGCGGAACAAACGTTCCACTAAAGTATCGAAGTTGTTCCCGAATGGAGAGGAGCCGACAAATTGAATGGAACTTCTAAGCTTACTTTTCTCAATAATTTAATTACTTTAAATACTCTTCTACATTTGTGAACGGGAATAATTTGTTTCCGTTGCCTTGCCGAAGAAAGTATTAAAGATTTTCAATACTGGTAACACCAAGACGCGTAAATAAATTATTACTCAATTTCGTTTCCTTATTTAAGGGGAGGTGAAAGTAGCGTCGGAGGAGTCAATCGTTCGTGAAACTTTTATTCGAATTGAGGGTACCGAATCGTTTGAAACCTTCCAACGTGAATTGGGGGACCCTAAGGTAGGTCCCGAAGCTCGCGAAATTTCATGATTTATCCGAAAATTTTGAAAATGTCCGTAAAGAAATTTTCTTAAAATTGAAATTTCGTGGGGGTCAGGACCTTCTTTATAGCCTCCATATTCGCGTTCTAAAGTTTCAAATGACTCGGTACCCCCAATTCGGAGAAAAGTTTCATAAACGAGACCTCTTTGACGCCACTTCCGCATCCCCTTAAGGACCTTCTTTACAGTCTCCGTATTTACATTGTACAGTTTAAATCGATTCGGTCCACCCAGTTTGGGGAAAATTTCACGAGCGAGAGCCTCGCCTTAAGGTGAGACGAAAGCGGCGCGAAGAGGTTTCGTTTATGACATTCTTCTGCGAACCGAGGGTGCCAAATCGTTTCAAACTTAAGGTGAAGTGAAGCACCCTTCAAATCAGTAGATTCGAATACAACACTTTTTTTAAAAGGTATTAGACCAAACTGTCCGAAACTTTGACACATCACTCCTGATCATCTAAGAATTGTCCTGACACATACAAAATTTGGATTTTGTAAAGAAATTTTTTAATTCAGCCCAGACCAGAACCAAAATGGCGTCGAGAGAAATCATCGTCATATTTCGATCAATATACAATTATCGAAGGCTCCGATATGAGAATCGAAAGTGTCAGGACAATTTTACGACAATTTAGAACACTCTGGTAATCGATAAATTCGCATTTGAACGGGATAATGGCAAAAAAAGTGTTGTATGCGCTTTTATGCCAAAACAATGGTAATACGAGATCTCGAAATGAAAATTGAATTAACCTGGAAATCACAGATGGCGCAGGGGATCCCTCTGCAGTCAATTAGGGCCCCAGAAAGCATGAATCCAGAGGATTTTTGGAGTTTTACTTTGATTTCTTTATAATTATTGTACGAAAACGACAGGTGGAATACGCCATTTGGGACAATACCCAATATAATTCGATGTAGCTGTCAATATAAAAACGAACGTCGCCAACATAGGCATTTAGAAAAATCTTCTTTATCGACGTCGATCAAGTCCCTCGACGTGTTTCACTTCATCTTAACAACGTGAATACGGAAGCTACGAAGATGGTTCCGACACCCATAAAATTTCAATTTAAAACAATTTCTTTATGGATGTTTTGAAAATTTGGGACAAAAAAGGAAATTTCATGAATTTCAGAACCTATCTCCTTCACATTTACGTTGTAAATACAGCCACTTTGTATATAAGTTTCACGAACGCCACTTTTACCTTGCCTTAAGGCAATATTCCTGTCCAAGTAATGGAGCCGAATCGTAACGCGTTCTTATCCGCTATTTAATGCTACTTCCGAAATGTCGGACCTGTCCGTTTGAACGCATATGTTGAAGTAGCCGGTAAATCCATTTGGACACGTGCTAGGATCCCGGTTCCTAACTGGGCAGGGTCCCGGAGGGATCATTCACTCGGGACTAAGTGAAAAAGAATGGGATTACTGGAAGCCAACTTCACGGATCGACGCCCTCCGAAACCGTACTCGTCCCCTTCGGTTTCTCCTCTCTCTCGAATCATTATTATTACGCGTTTATTCTCCAAGACGAGCGCTTTCGTTTCGATAGATTTAGACAGAACTTATTTTTTGATACTTGTCCGTTTCCCATGTTCCCATTTGATCACTTCTTCCTCCTTTAAATCATTCGTTCAAGACGAGCGTTTCCGTTTCGATAGATTTGGACAGAATTTATTGATCGCTTCCTTCTCTCTTAATCCGTTATGACCGTTAACCGGGTATGACGACATATTTCGTCATAACGGGAAGACACCTCAAATGGACATAACGACCTTTTTCGTCGTGGAAATTAGGCGACGAAAAAAGTCCCCATTGTGAAACGAGTTGGACAAAAGTTCAATCCCAGATAACACTCCTGGAACCCATGGATCCTCTACGAATGTTCACGGCGAATATTTCGTTGTTGACAGAATATGATGGAAATGTTTAAGATACGCAGAATGTCCGCCCGATGGACAATCATATAATATCCACAGGAATATTTCTTCAGATATTCAAAAAATATTCCATATATATTACCGTAAAATGATCGGGTCAGAAATAATTTTTAGTCCAATCGATAAACTGTTACATTGATTTATTGAAGCGAAGAAAATAAATTGACCCTGGCATATAAAACGTTAAAAAAGGAGCTCGGTAAATACTGTAGATTAATCGGAAATCTCACATTTTTCCAAATCGTTTCAAAGTTTACAACATGACTTTGGAGGCAACAAGGAAGGTCCTGACCCCCATGAAATTTGAACCGTTTAAAAATTTCTTTACATGTATTTTTATAATTTGTTAAGACAAATGAAATTCCACGGGCGTCGGACCCTTCCTTCCAGCCTCTATATTCACGTTGCAAAGTTTGGAACGATTCGGTACCCCCGGTTCGGACAAAATTTCACGAACGATTTTTTTCTCAGATGCCACTATCATATCACCTTAACACTTTAAGCAATTCATTTTCGAGTTAAAAATGATTATCGAACTACAAATATTAACACTCTATACCTGGTTTACGCAGAAACCGTAAATGACAATGAAAAATAATATAAAAGTAGGTTTTTATTTATCAAAGAAGCGTAATTGTTGTTCCAGTTCGTATTGCGTTCCACCCATAATTCTTATCTCGGGACAAGATAAGCTTTATATATGGATTCTGTTTAGGGGATCCCTCGTTCGTCCCTTCTCTAAATCCATGCTGGATGGTCTCCGGGTATTAGTTACATGTGTTATGCTATTTACACACCCCACCCCATGACACCATCTTGGGGTAGTCATCCGATCAAATTGATGACCTGGACAAAACGCCGCGGACGTCCTTCAGTTCGCGATGCTACAAAGTTTCAAACTTTCAAACCGTTGCCACGTAATTAGCAGTGGATCGTCAAAAAACTATTTACAATCTAGAAGTTGTTAATTGAGTGTTTGAGATTCTACCATTGAACAATTTCACCCTCTTAGAGCTTTTTTTCTTAAAGAAAAGCAATTTATAGTTTAATTTACTATACATTGGCAGCTGCGACTATCTTTCAATAGTTGAGTATCCTCTTGATTTCCGAATTGTACGAATTGTTTAGGAACGGTAACAATATTTATAGTAAGGTAACTTTGGGTAATAAGGCCCACAATAACTTGAAAGGCTCGTAAAAACTAAAATATAAAGATTTTGGGAAGGGGAAATGAGCAGAGGGGACATGAATAATGTTTATTTTAGGTACGAACTATAAAGAGAAAATATAATTCTAAAGAAAGATGTAATTAAAAAATGTCAGGATGGGACTCCTGGGCTTTGTTCCCAAAACGTGGAGGTGTTAAGGCTCACGGAGACCGATGGGATGATGCACATTAATTTGCACAGTTAGGGCAATTTATGCCATCAAGATCCTCGAATGTTGCCTTCGGGCATTCTTCGTAAAGCCATTTCTTGACCAGGGCCCGTTGTTGCGTATCGGTAATCCTATTTTCTTGATAAAGGCTACGGTCTCAGTTTTTGGTCTTCCTTGAGGGGCCAGGCTTCGTTTTTTTAAGGTATCTCGTTCAAATTTTGTTGCGACGTTGTATTTATTGCAACTAGTCGTAGTTTCATGTCCTTTTTGGAAAAGATCTTTGGTTGCGCCATGTTGCCCTATGCCGGCCCTTATTCCCCGTTCGGCGCAATTTACATTTCCAAATTATGATTTTGAAAACAACAAACCTTTTTAAGAACACTCATACAACGGTATGTAGAGACAAGTATAAGGTACTACATACGTGCTAGACAGAGTAGGACTTTACAAAACTTTGGGACAAACAGCTCGAACGTTGCAACCAAGTTTTATAAAATTCCCTCGGAAATATTTCTTATCAATCTCGGTTTACCATGGTCCCGTTACAGCCCCGACAATACCCCCAATGGACTCTTCTTTGTCCTACTAATTGGCAGAGGAAGCCACAAACATTGCACTTTTGTTGTATGATGAAATACAAGCATGGGCCTTATCACCCAAAGTTACCTTAATGGCTTTTACTATTTTGGAATAGTTATCTTTTAAAGATTGTCAACTCTTATTGCAAAATGTCGTTATTTACCCTACTTTTAGTAACTGCAACAATATTACCGGCACAATCGTTTACCATCGCGGTTTGGTTAAATCGAGTTTCAATTTGTACCGAACGGCAAATTAATCTATTATTCCATACAAATATTTGCGTGTGTACAAATGTGCCAAAAGACGTTAATAAGCTAGCAGATACCGTATATCGTATATCTACGTATATCATATTGGAAACGTAATTTACTGGTTTTCTACTATTTTCTCCGGTAAACTACATGGTTAACGTAATATTCGTGAAAAATCTCGAAAAACGCGAAATTCCTAAATTTTGAATATATTAGGTTGAGGAATAAGTTCGCACCGTGTTAATTACGTTACGTTACGTTAAAAACGGCGGGAACTTATTCTTTAATTCAATACATGAAAAACGTCGAAAAATGTGAAATGATCTAACCCTGAATGTACGTGAAAAACCTTTAAAAACGCTAAATTACTCAGCCCTGAATATACTTATTCACGAAAAACGTCGAAAAAAGTGAAATTACCTAACCCTGTCCTATTCACAGGTGCCTTGAGTCGCGTCAATACCAGGAGCTCGTTTGCGTTCGAGAGCGCAATGGCGGCAGTCGACCGTACTACCTGGGGGCGGGTCTTTCGAATCGACCGATGCTGGGCGTAGCGATTTGGGGGCGTGGCTTCTTGCAGGATGGAACCACCCCGTTCCCGACACAAAGATTCAGTGCACCTAAAGCGAGATCGTATCGGACAACCTATGATTGTGCCAAAAACCATACGGTCCACGTAAAGAAATTCGCTTCGCTTAAGGAAATTTATCGCGTTATTTGTTTACCGATCGTTCGCTTCATTTGCTTACTTATTAGTGCGATAGTACATATGCAAGGACGTATTTATAAAGGATGGAATGAATACACTTTGAGAGACGTTAAAAGAGATTTGTGTGCCTTTAATCAAAATTCGCCCCTCCTCGTCGAAACTGGACGTGGTTGTTGAGAAGTTTGTTGCTAGGACAAACTTGGATTTTGGACTTTTCAAGGTTAGTTATTGTTGTTAGTGGACTTCCGTTGCGGATATTTCTTTACATGTATTTTTATAATTTGTTAAGACAAATGAAATTCCACGGGCGTCGGACCCTTCCTTCCAGCCTCTATATTCACGTTGCAAAGTTTGGAACGATTCGGTACCCCCAGTTCGGAGAAAAGTTTCATGAACAATTGACTCCTCGGATGCCACTTTCACATTCATATTTTGCTTACAGATTTACAAAACATTTCGTTTCGTTTTAATATAAATAGTTCTTAAACATTATCTGCCGAATACGTTATAAACGTTTTAAAAATATTTAAAATAAAAATCACACGTTTTGTTCCCGTAATGAAACAGCGGAACGAAAATATTAACAAATTTCTCGTGTTTTTGATACCCAATGAAGTGTCCGATAATAATCGTAAAGTACAAAAATTTCGTTTTATTATGTGTTCATAAATGATTACAATTAAGTGTCATTGAGATTTCAAGAAACATTTTAGATCTCTTAATCTAAAGTAAATGTTGGACAAATCTTTCAAATGTCTGCTAAATATTGACCAAATGTACGGTATTCATTAAATATACCTATAGAATATATAAGAGAAATATTTTGCGTTACTAGGGTTTTTGCTCTTTCTTTGTATAGAGCCAATTTCGTTCAGGATTCTGGAACTTTGGGTGAAGTAGAGGAAAAAGGGTTGCTAATTAGATGAGGGAACAAATATTTATTCGAAGTACGTGTACCGTTTCCATATAGAACTCACCCCAAAATCTGGGGTGAACTCCCTAGGGATATTCCTCGGGTCGCCATTTCGATTCTTACAGTCAGTTCGCCGTTGACATCCTACATAATTCATCCAAAGTGACCGTATTTTGCATAAATCATGGGATCGTTGCATCCATTATTGACGGTAGAGTCTCGACGCGAATGGCGTTTCGCATTTTCATGGTAAATCGACCATTCGTATGTACGCGACTACTTCGTATCCGTTTTAATATTACAACATGATGGAGAGAAATCCGTAGTTGCGATTGCAAGATTTCTTTGAATTCACTATATTTTATGTAGATACGGTCCTTTCTTCGTCCTTGCCATTTTATGCCATACCATCCCAGGGTTCGTGAATATTTTCTAGCAAGGGAAAGGTCCTTGCTACAAAATTGCTGAAAAACCTATCCCATTCTGGTAGCAGAGAAATTCCGGGAGAGATGGATCATTTTTTTTAATAGCTCATTTCTGTGAGAAGGAGTCACTGACTAAGGTCATTTGCTTAACTACCCTGAGAGAAAAATCTAATTAAATTAACTATTTATCAACTAATTTTCATGCTTCATAATGGACTCGGATACATTTTATAGCAAAATTAATTTTTTTTTTTCCGAACGAGGAAATCTAGGAACGGTTACTATATTTTTTTACCTTTTGGGAGGAGTAAAATGAACTATTCTACGTTTAGCATTCCTAAGAAGAATAACGAAACTTTTTACTATTTATATAGTAAAGTTTTATTTTATTATTGTTAACGTAGCTGATAAATCATCTTATATTCCATTGTACATGCCCAGATAGTATTATTAACCGTTGCGAATAGTTCCGTAGATTATTAACTGTGCCTCCAAAAATAATTTTTTATAATAACCAACGCTAATTAAACTTATTTTGTTTCAGTGTTGCCAACTCTAAATCTATAAATTCTAATTCAGTCGGGTTAAAACAATAGTATAATCCGCCCCGATCAAGAAAATAATAGTACAAATTGAAAAGTTGAATTATCTTCATAAAAAATTTACCTGCATTAAAAGAAATAATAATTCAATACGTCTAATGATTTATAATATTCTAAAAAAACAAGTGAAAACGTGTAATCCTTTCTAATTATGAAATGCCGTGTGCCGGGTTTTATGAGTGCAGCGCTGCAATCCGTTACGTCAAGAGCGGGAACTAATCGGAACAAACTCATCGTTTCTAATGATACAAATGAATAGCTCTAATTGGTCGCCGTTTATTGGCAGGCTGTTGACGCATATCAGTCGCAAACTGCATCCTCAAATTGTCACTTTCCTTGATCATGGTAGATTTCTTCTGAAATAATAGTATAACTGGCGTATCCTTATTGTTCGAAAAATGGATAGTCCGCTGCACTAAAATAATAGGACAAATGTTATAATTATCGTCGATTAACAACCTTGTTATGCTTAATTCATTGATATTCTCGCATGTCTTGGCGTCGGTTAGGGATGGAGGAGAATTTTATATGCAAACCAGCGATCCGCATCATTTGCAAGAAATCCTGGCCATCTAACGGTGCCGCCGGAACTAACTCGAACAAAGTTTTTAGTAACGTTCGGGACAAATTGGAAGTCGATCTAATCAAACCGCAATGTTAAACGGTTGTACCGGTAATATTGTTGCAGTTACGAAAAGTAGAGTAAATAATAACATCATGCAACGAAAGTTGACAATATTTAAAAAGGTAACCTAGCTATTCCAAAGTGGTAAGAAACATTACTATAAATATAGTTACCGTTCCTACAAAATTCGTATAAGAGCCAGGAGGATGCTCAACTATTAAGAAATTGTTATAGCTCCCAATTTATGGTAAATCAAACGATAAATTGCGTTCCTTTAACAAGAATGGCTTTACGGGATCAAATTGTTTAGTTTAGCTATTTTTCTCTCAGTGTAGGATGCTTGGTGGGGGGGCACTGCTACTCATTGTTACTCTCTTTACAACATACAATAAGAACGTAATTGGGACCGGACATTTGGACGAAACCCATTATCGGTAGACAATGATCCGATCGAATGACATGACATACTTAAAAAATACGGACTTCATAATGAATGCTATTTATATGTTAAATACGACTCAGGATTTTGCTCGACGTTTCAATATATTTATATAACTTTCTTTTTGGGCATATTTCCAGGTTATTTATCGATGGAGAGGGAAGCTCTTCTTCCAATCCCTGCCTGTTGTAACCTGAGCCTTCAAAATAGACGAAGGTACGATAGATGTGACAATTTCAATGACTACACTGAGAGAAAAATCTAATTAAATTAGTCTTTAACTAGTTTTCATAGATTAAAAAGGACTCGGATACTCTTTATAGTAAAATCAACTTTTTTTTTTTGGACTAGGGAATCTAGGAACAGTTACTATATTTTTTTTTGGACGCAGTACAATAGACTATTCTACGTTCACTGTATTTTTCTAGGAAGAATGTGTAATATTTTTTTATTTTTCTAATAAAATTGCACTTCATTATTGTTAACGTAACCGATATTTCAGCGTAAATTTTACATATCTAGATATTATTTTTAACTGTTGTGAAAAGTTCTGTTCTAAATTTGTTTATAGGTATATTAAAAATTGTTGATCAAAACTGAAATTTCAAGGGTGTCAGGACCTTCCTTATTGTCTTCGTGTTCACGTTGTAAAGTTCGATACGATTCGGTACCCCCAGTTCGGAGAAAAGTTTCATGAACAATTGACTCCTCGGATGCCACTTTCACATCCCTTTAAAAGACTTTTAATTATAACAACAAGCCCTGTTAATTCTGTGCATTAAAAATGTGAAGTAATAGCTTTTTTAAAGATCTAAATTTTCCAGAGACAGAGAGAACTCCATGGCGAACGGTGGTCATAATATTACAAATGGCGTAGGTCCGACTTCCGGAGGACTTTCCAGAGAAGAAAGACGTCGTCGGCGTCGAGCTACTCAAAAATACAGAACCGCCCACGCTACACGGTATGATATTCAATTCAAATTAATACTCTGACAATTTTCGAACGACCGGAATTTCACATTTGTACTAATACTCAAGCAGCGATTAAACCACGATGCAACTTTGGTTAAAGTTAACCCTTTAACTACGTTACGTGGAGACGTACCACCTGCACTGATAGTGCGGCCGCGGAGTGTTAATTTTTTATATGAATACGATATTCATTTGTCGCTTTTAATACATGCGAATGAAGGGGCAACTATAGAGGTGCTTCGCAAAAAAACGTCGGTCTAAACAGTCACTATAGTGACGGTTCGTGTTTAAAGGGTTAACTAATCAAGCTCAGCTTAGATATCGAGTGATAACAGCGTTTTGACTAATTGTAAGGCCGATATTCATCTGCCAAAGTTTTGCCATTACCGAACCACCACTAAATTAGTATTGGCACAATATTGACTAATAAACCTAAAAATAAAAAACCTGAAATCTTATTTGCAATTGCTTTTACTGAACTTCAAGCTTTCTACCCTGGTAGCATAGAATAGTTTCTAAATATTTTTTTGTAATCTTCGCTAAATATCTCAGCCAACAGATTTTTTAAGATGTCTTGTAGATTTCATTTGAAGATCTCTAAAATATCTGCTGAAAATCTCAATGACATATTTAGTTTGAATAATTTAAAAACATGTATAAAAATTATATTCTTTAATTTATGAACATACAATAAAAGTAAATTTTTTAATTTACGATAATTATCGGACACTTCGTTTGGTATNCACTTCATTTGGTATCAAAAGACACGAGAAATTTTTGTAATATTTTCGTTTCGCTATTTCATTATGGGAGCAAAACGTGTGATTTTGATTTTAAATATTTTTAAAACGTTTATAATGTATTCGGCCGATAATATGAACATAATAAAAATACAGTTTTTACTTCACGACTATTATCGGGCACTTCATTTGGTATCAAAAGACACGAGAAATGTTTGTAATATTTTCGTTTCGCTATTTCATAATGGGAGCAAAACGTGTGATTTTGATTATAAATATTTTTAAAACGTTTATAATGTATTCGGCCGATAATATGTAAAAAATACTTGTATTAAAATGAAACGAAATGTTTTGTATATCTGTAAGCAAAACATTTGGATCTAATATACAAACGCCATAAAAATAATATTCCAAAGTAAATGTCCGCAAATATAGACAAAATATACGATATTCGTTAAATGTGCAGAAAATATGAGAGAAATATTTTGCGTTATTAACGACTTTCGTATTCGAAAGTGTTCGAAATGTCGAGTCTGTTTTACCAATGTATGGAAGGTGTAGAATTAAGAAAAATAGCTCATCGTAATTTCTTTTGTTCCAGAGAAAGAGTCCGAGTGGAAGCTTTCAATCTCGCATTCTCCGAACTTCGAAAGCTGCTGCCAACTTTACCCCCGGATAAGAAGCTGTCGAAAATTGAAATACTACGTTTGGCCATTTGCTACATAGCTTATCTCAATCACGTGTTGGAAGCGTAACCATCGAGCATGACTTATACATGGCTAAAGGCAGTAAATTGGGCTGAAACCGTTGTTAACGTTCATTCGACCACGGTTTGGTGGTCAAAATAATTTATGTAATTAACTGTCGCATCGGTATTACGAATCACATTTAATTTTTATACTAGACAAATGAACCAATTGTGACGTCACGAAAGATTATCGTACGGCTGTGAATCGAATAGTATGCTTCCACTTTTATATTCGTTTAAGTCGGTAGATTGAGCGGAATTGTAACGAGTACTTTTAATTTACTATATATAATTTAGTTGTGAAGTGTACCTAAAATTTACAAGTTTACTAATTGTAATTGATATGGATTTGGTCATTATATTATTTCAATAGACTCAGGGTTATCTTCATTTTTAATTTAATTTTACTTGAGCGGGAGAGAACGTCATACAACGAAACGGTAGCTGCTGTAGTCGCTGCAGGGAGAAATAAGCATACCTACGTTTACGGCATTCGTTTGCATAAATACAATTCCAAAATCTTTTAATTTCAAACATTTTTTTCAGAACGACGGGACGATAAGGTATTTTAACATGGTCAGAACCGGGCTATATAAAGGTTTCATTGGCCCGCCATTTCCATTGTATTGAATTTTTCTTCAGCTACTTTAGTTTTTTGCCAGAGGTGGCGGTAGTATTCCTGTACATCCCCGATGCAAGGGGGTGTCATCCCTTTATTCCAAATCAAGTACGAATCCTTTCGCCAGGATTGGTTTACGTGCTTTTCTCCGCGTATATTACAACGTATAATACGTTCTTAGTTTTCTACATGAGCGCGAAGTATATTACACCCTTCTATTTCTACATAGAAAATAATAAATCCAATTAGAAATTTGATATCAAACCGGGTCAAGTCGAAAGAATTTAAACACAAACGCCAAATTAATTATTTCTTAACAACTTTTACGTGTTTATATGTGCGCTAAAAGACGTTAACCTCGCGAATATACATATATCATGCATCTGTGGAATCCGCCATATTGGAAACGTACAATTCTGAAGAATTTCGAATACAAAGGCCAAATTAATTCATTACTCCTTAAAATATTTCCGTGTTTACACATATGCTAAAAGACGTTTGTAACCTAGCAGAAGCTGTATATATCGCCCGTCTGCGGCATTCTTCATATTGTAAACGTAATTTACTGGTTTTCTACAATTTCCTCTGGTAAACTACCTTGTTACGTAATATACGTGAAGAACCTCGAATAATGGGAATCACCCAACCCTGTCCGGAACCGATTCGAAATCGATTTCCGTAACTTCGACTTCTTGCGGAAGTGGGAAAATGTGAGCGCAAATTCCCTTCCCAAATCGTGTACTCTATGGCAAGAACTGTCCGAGAGCAGCTCTCGCGAGTTTTCCGTGGACACGAGTCAATGACACCCCCAGGGTGGGAATTATTATTATTCGTAGTCCCGAAGCATAGAACGATAACGTTGATACGAACGGCGTGCAATTTGCTACCCTTGCTGCCGATCACTGTAATCGACATGGTAGCTGGAAATCCATAATTTAAAATCCCTAGCGTACAATCATCGGGATTCTCCCAGTGGAAGAGGTAGGTAGGGCGAACTAGGGCGTTTCGCACTCTAAGTAATGAGGTGTGAACTATCCCATGACCCGTTCATCGCAAAAGCATCCATCGTGCATATTCACGTGTTAGTCACGTGCAGGGTTGCGTAGGTACAATACGTGCTTTTCTACATCTATATTGCAACGTATTGTAGTGGTTATTCTTAATATCTGTAAAGGGAGAGAGAGGAGGGGAATTTTGAGATTGAAACGTTCCGGAAGGTGTGAGCGGCAAGAGGAAGGGAACTCAGGAGTTTCAACGCCCTAGTAGCGCAAAATACTTGTCCCATATATTCTATATATTTAACGAATATCGTGCATTTTGGAAATATTTCCCAGACATTTGAAAGATTTGCAATATATCTACTTAATAACATCATTTTTATGATATTCGTGTAATATCAGCTCTACTTGTTTTCGTAATATTTGTTCTTATAGATGTACAAAACGTTTCATTTCATTTTAATATATGTTTTTTTTTTCATATTATTTGAAGAATACGTTACAAACGTTTCAGAAATATTTACAATAAGAAAGAAAATGTTGCAAAAATTTGTCGTGTTTTTAGATACCAAATGAAGTGTTCGGTAATAATTTGAAAGTAAAGAATCTATTTTTATTGCGTGTTTGCAAATTAAAAAATATAATTTCGATATATGTTTCTAAATTATTATTTTACTCGTAAGACCGTTCAGCGTGGAAATTAAAGTCGTGACGAACGTAAAACTGAGGTCATTGTGTAGAGAGTGTTGCTATTTCTGTGGCAACAAAACCGCGATTATTGCGTTACTATTGAACGAGGAGGAAAAACTGTCATTTATTATAGAGATGAGGTTGCATAAATACTAATACCGAAATAATGCCCGGAAATATTCTTGATTTTCACGATTCCCAGGTATTACTTTCCAATGCATATGGAATGGAACAATTGGAATGGACGAGTGGAAAATTTCCGGCAAGACACCAGACCCGCGTTGCTACTTCGAAAGTGGAATAAAAGTCCAACATTGGTATTTCTTTTCCTATGGAAGAATTTCCTTTGGTTTTCTATCGATTTTATAGTTTCTTAAGAAATGTTCTCAGTTCAAACATACCTGTTGTCCGTGGCTTTCGCCTTGAAGTTTGGAGTTGCTCTTCCTTATACATTTTTGTATCGTTTAAGTATTTCATTGATTACCGTTTGGACGAGCTACAAATGTCAATTGACGTGCGGAATTTCTAGCTTCAACTGGCCTGATCGAACTGCTTTGACCCAGCTGGCGCTTTTGTGTTAATATTTGCTGTAACGTTTGATTATCGACCGGAGAAACAATTCCTCTAAGGGTAGATTGATAGACTACTTCTGAATTCAAGTTCTACCCTATGAACGATTAATATAAATTACTGGGAAAATCCATGCAGAATTAGCGATAGTATCTCGCTGAATTAAAATATAATTTCCTTGGATCTTGAAAAAGATATCAGGATCAATTGTAAAAGTGGAAAATTAGTTATAATAACTTTATTGGCTACGGTTCGGTTAGATTGAACGCATATCTTTGATCATTAAATTGTGGAGGAGAGAATGGGTTTTAATACTTTTCACAGATACAACATAAAATCGGTATTAGTAATCTTCGAGTTGTAACATTATCACCATGTACGTCGTGATGGTGGTGGTCATCTGTAAAACAAAACACGGAGCAAGAAATAGTCACAGGGGGAACGAAAGAATTATTTTTAAAGCACAGCAAGAATGGTAAAATAAAAAGTAGGAGATAAATATTCCTACGATCATGGAAACTCACTTTACAGAATAACGAAAAGCCCATGTCCAAGAAACCAAAAATTGTGATTCTCAGTCGCCTCTGCAGCAACTGGCAACAGAGGATATAAATCTGCAAGAGCAACTTTTACTTCAACTTTTGTTCCGATGTTCCGTATAATCTTCTCAATTACAGTCCCAAATTCTTACCATCTTGACCGATTGGTCGGATTGGGGCAACATCCACGTTTTGTGAAGGACGTTTGCCGTTTCTTTTGCCTGCAGCGTGAAACAAACATTTACTAAAAAAATTCTACATCTCAAGTAATGCCTGCACATACATTTGAGATCTCACAGAATACTTACAATCGCATTTATAATACCATAAGCATGTTTGAATTTATTAGCAAATCAACCTACCTCATTGGAAGTCATCTCGCAAACAGTAGCGAAATATCCAAAGATGATCACATCCACCATTGTGAACAACGATACTACGATCGACACGACATAATTTTCTCTCCTCCTATCGTCGGTATGCCTCAAGAACAAACAAGTTGCATGACAGGATACCAAGATGTTGATGAATCTCTCTATCGCCACAAAGAACAAGACCGGAGAGAAGAACTCGCACACCCTTTCGGTAAGGTCGCAGAGCTCCCCGTGAAGTCTGACCACCATTTTCAACTTGGTCCCCATCTGGGAGGTCCTAAAAATATTGCAGAACAATTTGAAACTACTCCTAAAGATCTTTTCTTTTCCTTTCAGGGCGTTCCGAGGAGCAAGGATCCAGTTCACCTGATTCGTTCGACACCTTTGCCGCTCCTAACACGGTAAGAATGGATCCAAGATCTTGCCCCAACGGCAGTCACCCTCTCCAGGACTAAAATCCTCTTATTCAGAGCAAGAAACCTCTCCCTCAGGACCAGCAGTAAATTGGTGAAAATCACTATTGTCACAAACGCGGTAGGCCGGACGACGCCAAAGGTTATCCACAGTGTTGCATCGTAAGTCGGATTAAAATATAAAGCCATTTGCTCGCCAGTCAGCATCACGTAGAAAAGACTGTTTACTACGACAATATATCGGATAAATCGTCTGATTAGATTATTTTCATCCTCCAGGATACCCAGCTCCCCCATCAAATCTTTGGTATCGTTGAAGTTTTCGATGAGGCTGCGGAATCGCGTTTGGCCACAAGCAAACACCATCCAGGATACGACTACGCAGAGGAATATCACGGACAGAAGGATCGAGCTCGCAATTATCGACAAGATAGTCTGGTGAGGATAAGCGAGCTTGAACCTTTCCGAAATAATACCGTGGCTCACGATGGTGTAGGCCACGGATAGGATTACACCGTACATCAGGCCGAAGGAAGAAGATCTTGGCATGTTGGCCTCGTCGAGGTCGTACGGACACAAGCCGATGACTTTTCCAACATAGTACAGACGAATCAGCGCGGACGATCCCTTTTTCATTTTTCGAACCTCGGAGCAATTGTATTGCACGCTTCTTGCCGATAATGCGAATGGCTTTGCGGCAATAACGGGTTAGTGCTTATATGCGCATTTGGATAAATGCTAATCCATTAATGCGTTACTTTTATCCAGGGCTGGCAAGGACGCATCGCATCCTATCGAGTGTTGTGGCGGAAGGCAAATATTAACGATTAATATAAAGTACCGCGAAAACGCACCTCGTATTTACTTTATTAACTATGATTCGGTGATATTTATTGGAAATATTTCTCATCAAATTATGGACTAAGGAATATACTCTGATACTCTTAACTGGCGTCAGAAATTAATCGGGGTTAGTGATGTTCTAATTGTAACATTATCACCAAGTACGTTGTAATGGTAGTGATCATCTGTAACGCAAACACGCAACAAGGAGGTACAATGGTAGTGGAAGGACAATCATTTAAAAACTGAAGAAGATAAAAATAATTGGGAACTCACTTTACGGAATAAAGAAAAGTTAATGTCTATAAATCCAAAAATTGTGACCCTCAGCCGCCTCTGCAGCAACTGGCAAGAGAGTACGTAAACCTATACAAACGATTGATTTTCGTTTCAAATATCGCATTGTATCATCTATAGTAATTTAAATGGTCGTCTCGAGTTTATACCATTTTGACCCGTTGGTTTGATCGGTACATTATCCACATTTTGTGCAGTACGCTCCCAGTTCCGTTTGCCTGCAGACGTGGAATAATTATTGTTTCTCAAAATGTACGTCTTTTAAATAACATACATAAAGTACTTAAACTCTTAGAAGCTATTAAGCTTTAAAAAGTATCTCTATTATTTTCAATCAAATTTAAATTATTTTAAACATATTCGTAGGTATGTATTGGGAGTATATCCTACCTCATTGGAAGTCGTTTCGCAAACATTAGTAAAGTATCCGTAATTGACCACTTCTACGATTATCAAAAGTGCTAGCATGAATGAAATAATATAACTTTCCTCCTTCCCATCGTTGATGTTCCTCAAGAATAGGACAATTTCATGGACATATACTAAGAAAAACATGAACTTCTGTAGAGCTATGACGAGCATCGCCGGCGAAAAGAACTCGCAGACCCTTTCGGTAAGGTCGCAGAGCTCCCCATGGAGTCTGTTCACCATTTTCAACTTGGTCCCAAAGGGAGAGTTCCTGAAAAAGCGCAAGAAACATTTGAAACGGACCTCTTTGACCCTTACTTTTTTTTTTTTCAGTACGTTCCCGATTACCAGGGATGTAATTCACCTAATCCTTTCCACACCCATGTCGCTCCTGACGCAATAAGAGTGCATCCAGGATTTCGCCCCGACAATGGTCACCCTTTCTAAGATTAGGATCCTCTCATTGAGAGCGCGGAACCTGTCCCTCAGCACCAACAGTAAATTTATGAAAATCACCAAAGTCATGTACACGACTGTCTTGAATGCGGTAAACGGTAGCCACACTTTTATGTTGTAAGTTGGGTTACGGAGGAGAAATACTTGCTCGCCAGTTACCAACACGTAGAAGGAAACGTTTACTACGGTAACGTCTCGAACGAATCGTTTGATTAGTCTCCTTTTATCTTCCAGGATACCTAATTCCTCCATCCGATCATCGATGTCGTTGAAGCTCGCGACGAGGGTGCGAAATTGCGTTTGACCGAAAGCAAACACCATCCAGGATGCGATCGTAGCGAGGAATGCCACAAACAGAAACACGATATCCGCAATTATCTTCAAAGGAAACTGATAAGGATAAATCAATTCGAACCTTTCCAAAATGACATTATAGCTTAAGAAGGTATAAACCATGGACAGGATCATTCCGTACACCACTCCGTAGCAAGAGTACTTCGGCATGTTGACCTCGTCTAGATCGTATGGACACAAGCCGATGACTTTTCCGACATAGTACAAGCGAATCAACGTGGATGAATTGTTCTTCATGTTTTGACACTAAAGGTATTTTTCATGGACAATTCTTGCCGATAACTCCGGTCGAATGGCTTGACAGCAATAACGGGCAATAACTTATACGAGCGTTCGTATAAATGCTTAATCTATTAATGCGTTCTTTTTATCGAGGACCTGAGTCCTCGACCAGAATGCGCATGCTCGAGTGCTACGCCGTAAAGCAATTCGTAACGCATTCTTTGTGTATAGTCCAAACGATACAAGCGGCCAAGACGTTGTTCAGTTTAGAACCCTAACCTGGGGATAAGGTGGACTTAGAGGGGATTCAAGTGGCAGATTGAAACCGTCGTGATAAATATTCACGGGTTCGAATCCTGGTACCGAATTTTCTTTGGTCCCGCTGGCTATCTTGAAACTTGTCTTGGATATTCCGGGATAAGGAGAGGGGCTTGGGAAAGAAATCGACCGCCAGTAGAAACGCGTCTCTTGTCTCGGGCATATTGTGGTAACTTCCTTCTACGTGAAACCTTTGTTTTTTTTACCGGAGTCGGTTGATATTTGGTCGGTAGGGGTGTAGGATCGGATGCACCCAAGTCGAGGTCGATGAGCATCGTCATTCTTCGAGCGTGTCCTTTGGTCATAGCGTTTCTCTACTGTTCTTGATAAGAAAGAGCGTCCAGGTAAATTTTGGTACAATCCCGTATACAATTTCATTTATAAATCGTTTATAAATCGCGTATAGATCGCGACGGTCGTTTACCGAACCGACATGTCTCACTACGAGAGGCTCGACAAGAATAGTCAGTTTCTTCTACGAGTGTACTCTTGTTAAAGTCATGTTAATCTACTAATGCCAGTGCATCGATCGATGAGCCTATACCTGCGGGTATGACAGTAATTGTGTAGGATTATTTGCACGATCCGTTACGACGGTATTTCATTTAATTTCGATTGATTTGCAGTCGTACGTACTTACACCGTTTCGTCTAATTCCGGCCTCCATGGAAATAAACGCAGTTGCTAGCGGTTAAAATGGAATATTTCAAGCTCGAAAAAATATTACCGCGGTGCAATGAATTTATTAAACAATTTAGAATTCCATAATTTTGAGGACAGAAGTGAAAATGACATTTTCCCGTACAGGGAATCGAACCTTCTGGATGAAAGCCGAGTATCCTAGCCACTTTTTTTTTAGTAACACGTTTATTGAAGCCTTAGTGTAGTACATTTTAGTTTAACCTTATCCTCTACGCGTTGACGGATTACAGTCTTATCGTATCTATCATGGAGACATGGAGACCTGAGACCCAATTCTCGAGTTTATACTGATTTTCTTCACATACGAATAGATTCGTAAGGAAAGTTTCTCATTGTTGCGAAGTCGCGTAATTGGCCAACATTTGAAAGTCGCATACGAAACTGTCAACTTTCGCGTGAAAAGGATGATAGGATGGACTCGAGAATCGGTCCTCGGGAAGGCGAACACAATGTTATAGAAGTTTCCTCAAAATCGGATACAGATCTTTCTTTGTCAGACTGCGCCACATTCGGTTAGGCCACTACTCGAATAAAGCGTGGGTATGGATTTACAGACGTATGTACAATTGCAATACAGTCATATTATCCAAATAAACTAAGATAAAATACTCAATGTATATTTTATCTATAAAATATTTGTATGAGCATTTATTTGTGACATACGTAAGTACCGTAATTAAAAAAGTTTTGGGTCAGGTAGGAGAACGTCAAGTTTTCCGAGTTTTCAATTGAACACGTCTCCCGCGTTCTACGTGTAGATTCCTTAGCGATAGCGCTGCCACCTGCAGAGAAAATTTCAAAGAATGTTCTGTATCCTTTTTTTTCGGACACAAGCTCCGATAAGGGACTCCTATGTGGTTCGTCCTCCTGGTCTCTAGTCTCCATGATATCTATGTCGTTTGACCAATGTTTGGGTCAGAGATGAGTTGGGAGATTGCTCACGGGCAGGGTCGGCCCTCCCAGTGGAGGATACGGACGGTTACTCCCCGGTGGCAGCGCAACACATTTCGGGTGGGGGCTCGCGCAATCGCGATGGCAGATACAGGGTTAGAAGTTTTTGTGAGGGGTCCATGACTTTTTTGGTCGGTTTTCGGGCTGCTCAGCCGCCGGTAAAATTTTTTCGCAACTGCGACTGCAGTAGCTCGATGAAGAAGGTTGTTCTCTTGAAATTGAGGTCTCGAGCGAGTGGCTACGATTTTATGCAAAGGAAGTCCATACAGGGTGTGAATCGTTTTTGAGGGGTCCATGACTTTTTCAACCGGTTTTCAGTGGTTTTCAGGTTGCTCAGCCGCCGGTGGAATAAATTGCGCTGCCACTGACAACGAGTGGTAACAGGTGGCAAGTGCGTTAGCCGTCCGCATTCTCCACCGAGGGCAGCACAGAACGGATCGCGCAACAGCCCTGAATTGGGAGGCACACTTCCAACTCGTCTCCATTCATCTCTGATCCATATTGTGTTGTATTGTGTCCAGTTGTGGCCTAGGTGCGTTGGGTGCGTTATTGCCGGGGTTATTAAAGCCTACGATAATTCATCATGAATATTACATCCGCAGGTAATGTGTTAATTCAAGTTATATTAAATGAATTTTCGTGTTTAAAGAACCTATTTTTAATTTCTTTAAGTACTATTCATTGATAAATACTCAGTTTAGGAAACGTGATTTGCAGTTCTTCGTCGAACATAACCTCTGAGGACATGTCATTCCCGTCCTGAAGAGATACTCTTTATGATTTGTTTTTGATTTTTGCGCATTTCGTATAGGAAAATTAATATCTATGTTTAATGTTCTGTTTACAAATATGTGAAAGCTTTAGCATCTTTTTAATAGAAATGTAATAAATATTAATGTTAACGTTAGTAGACTCTTTAGCATCTACTGTTTTGTCAACATTGTCTTTGATTGAGCTTTTGTATATTTCCAGCTGGTATAATCTCTCTTCTTGAGGAGCCGATGCCTGAACTTAAAGTTTTTGCATTAAAAAAATTAGATCTGATAGTCGACGAATTCTGGCCTGAGATTTCGGAAGCAATTGAGAAAATGTACGTGCAATGTTTATTGTAACAAGGAGATAGGTATAATGAGATGATGTTTTAAATAATAGAGTCCGTGTCTGAAATAACTTTTTCAATTTCAGTGAAATCCTTCACGAGGATAAGGCTTTTAATCATCACGAATTGGCTGCCTTGGTCGCTAGCAAAGTTTACTACCACTTGGGAAGCTTTGAAGATTCCTTAACTTACGCTCTCGGGGCCGGGGAATTGTTTGATGTAAACGCCCGTAATGAATACGTCGATACGACAATAGGTAATTTTTATCTTCCTCGTTTCATTAATTTTAAATTGTTGCTCATGAAGCTTTTATAACACGATGCTACGATATGTTGAGGGGTGATTTAGAGTCAATTCTAAAGTGCAAAAGGTTAATAAGATATGCAAGGTATTTATTAAAATGTTAAGTGAAATTATTGATATTATGCCTAATGTTACCTATATGGAAATATTTATTTTTATGTGTCAATATAAAATCAATGCAGGTTATCCCAGAAAAATGTAACTTCCATTCAAAATCAGTGAAAGTGACAACTGCTTTGCACTGGTGACCAGTGTGGTAGATAATATTAATATTATATCATTTTTAAATGTAGAAAGTAGAAATTGATCGAAGTTTTTGACGCCGGCATGACCCACCGGTGGCCCATGCTTGTCTGTTCCCTGCGGCAGCTAGTTGAAGTGCCGCCGCACGGAATGGTCCGCGAATATCCGCGCCGGCGTCAACGTGTTAAGCGATTATCAGTCGCTTATTATTTAAACACAAGTTGATCTTCTTTGTGTAGTGCAAGTTTAATTTGTATTATTTCTAATCTATTGTGGTTTGTTGTAGCAAAATGTATCGATTACTATACCCAGCAGAGAGTATTGGAAGCGGAGGGCAAACTACCACCCGGTGGCAAAGGAATAGATCCGAGGTTGGAAGGAATCGTCAACAGGATGTTCCAAAGGTGTCTGGACGATAATCAGTATCGTCAGGCTTTAGGACTTGCTCTTGAAACCAGACGAATGGATATCTTTGAGGCGGCCATAATGAAATCTGTGAGCATGCAGCACGCATCGAAGCGAGGGACTATTCACTCGGAAATCAGTGAAGTCGATTTCCTTTTTTAATGTGATGTGAAAGTGACATCAAAGAGGTCTCGTTTATGAAACTTTTCTCCAAACTGGGTGTACCGAATGTTTTCAAACTTTACGACGTGAATATGAAGGCTATAAGGAAGGTTCTAAAACCCATGAAATTTCAATTTTTTAAAATATGTTTATAGATATTTAAAAAACTTTATTTAAAAAATGAAATTTCATGGGTTTCAGGACCTCCTTTATAGCTTCTATATTTACGTGGGAAAGTTTGAAATAATTAGGTACACTCAGGTCAGAGAAAAGTTTGATGAACGATTGACTCTTTAGATGTCACTTTGACATCCCCTTAAGAACCGATTGTTTTTGATTTTATATAATAAACAACAATGCGATTCGATAAAAAGTGACGGTCGGCCTTAAAATTGACAATTTTTCTGTAATTTCCAACGATTTACAGTGATGTCCACGTGATTTCTCGCATTAAAATCCATGATTTCCTGAGTGAATAACCCCTCGTGTCGATGTTTATGCATTTCGTATTAACAATGCTTCGGTATTTATTAATCTTTCTGATTTCAGGACGATGTCAGTGGAATGTTGTCATATGCGTTTCAAGTTGTCATGAGTCTGATCCAAAATCGCGGTTTCCGAAACACGGTTCTGCGTTGCCTGGTGTCTCTGTATCGCAATCTGGGAACGCCCGATTACGTTAATATGTGCCAGTGTCTGATTTTTCTTGACGATCCGTTAGCTGTGGCAGAGCTTTTGGATCGCCTGAGCAGAGGTTCTCAAGACTGTGTTCTAATGGCTTACCAGATAGCATTTGATTTATACGAGTCAGCTACGCAACAGTTTCTTGGCCGCGTGTTGCAAGCTCTACGAGCTACAGCTCCGATACCTGGGGCACTTATGGTGAAGCCGATCATTAAGCCTGTTGTGAAAGTTGCTACCGATGTTGCTTCTGACTCAACAACTGCCGAAGCAGACAGCGCTGCGGTGCCATCTGAAGAAAAATTTCAACGCAGTGTCGACAGCTTGGTAAATTGCCTTTGTTTTGGAGAACGTATACTATTTGGTTCAGGAATAAGTTCCAAGCGTAAGGGCTGTGAAAGTGGCATCTAAGGGATGAAGCATTCATGAAATTTTTCTCCGCTCTGGGTGTACTACTTTGTATCAACTTTTACCACATAAATTAGGAGACCCTAAGGTTGGTCCTGGCACTCATGACATTTATTATAAAAACAGATTGAAATTTGTTAGAAAATATGAAATTTCATGATGGTCAGGACCGTTCTTACAGCCTTCACATTCACATTGCCAAGGGTGAAATCGATTCGGTATATCCAGTTTGGGGAAAAGTTTCACTAACGATTGACTGCTCAGATCTCACTTTTACATCACCTTTACGGCGAGAACTTACTCTTTAACCTAATAGTTTGAATATAATTTATTAATGATATGATGTTTTAGAATGCCGAAGAACGAGAGCAGCAAGAGAGAGTAGATGCGTTATCCAGTATTTTAGGAGGCGAAGTTTCGATCGACTTGCATCTGCAGTTCCTTATTCGCAGTAATCATACCGATATGCTCATTCTGAAAAATACCAAAGATGCCATAAGGGTGTCTATTTGCCACACTGCCACCGTAATTGCCAATGCATATATGCACTCCGGTACCACCAGTGATCAATTTTTAAGGTATAAACAGTATTTCAGTTGTCATATTAATATTTTTATAACGCTGACGATATTGTATGGACAAACGTTGATTTTTTTATTGGGACGGATTACACAAATAGTTCACAAAAAACTTGTTAGAGTACACTCCCGTATAATCGCGGTTAATACGTTACGCGCTACATGAATTCGCGTTATAGGAAATCGTGCTGTGCAGGAATTTTTCTCGTATAACGCGCACAACTCGTTTTGTTCTTTAGCGCGTTTTACGACGAATAGCGTTATTTGAAAACAGTAGTCGCAACATCTTTGGCGTGTTACAGGAATTCGCGCTGTAAGAGCTCGCGTTATACGGGAGTCTACTGTGTATCATTTTTATATACGTAAATCATTGAGAAATGTTGATCTTTTCACCTAGATTCATTGAATTTGGCATAATTCTTTTCCTTTAGAAGTCTCATACATTTTACATACTGTATTAGCGAATGAACTGCGTGATGTTGATTTGGAGCAATGCGACATATTTTGTTGAATATCATAATCGCCAATGATTATAAGGACTGCAATTAAATAGAGATTTTATCGGTATAAGTAAATAATAATCTAATCTAATTTATACACTAAACAAATAAGGTAATTTAATAGAAGAATATTAAACAGGGTGCTATAATATTTTGTGGAAATAGAGGCATATAATTTCGAGCCTAAATTAAGTTCATTGAACCAAATTTACCTTTATACCTGTATTCGGGGAAAATGGTGTACCGTGTTGGAAAATTAATTCTTCAATTTTAATACTTTGCTATCGCATATTAATTGAAATAAGAAAAATCCTTCTTTTTTTAACCCTTCAGATCAGGATGAATTTCTTGATCTTAAATTTCAGGGAAACGAGTATTTTGTAATTGGATCATGTTTATGAATTCTAGAGACAACCTGGACTGGTTAGCTCGTGCTACAAATTGGGCAAAGTTGACAGCGACTGCTTCCTTAGGAGTTATACATAGGGGCCACGAACAAGAAGCCCTGGCCCTGATGCAGTCTTATTTGCCGAGAGACACTGGTGCCGGTGCTGGGTATTCCGAAGGAGGTGGTCTCTATGCGTTAGGGCTTATTCACGCTAATCACGGTGCCGTTATCACTGACTATCTTCTGGGTCAACTCAAGGATGCACAAAATGAGGTGTGTACAAACACCGAAGCATCCTAATTCAAATTTATGCATTTAAGTTTGTTCCGGCTAGAGAATGTCTCAATTTACGCGGCACTTTTTTTACGCGGTTTTTAAACTTCGTTATTTTTTTCTTAAGCTATTTGACATAAATATGAATTTCTCGAATTTATATCTCCTAACTTTTATTTCCAATATCTTTCCTTTTGTACCGATAGATTTTATTTTTGCGATTTTCATTCGCGTAAAACGAATCCACGACGATCTGCGAAACTGAAGGACACTTGTATAGTTCTTTTTATATATGTGTTTATATTGTCTAGACGTTTTGCGAGAAGTGGGTGGACTGCGAAGCACGATTTCCAAAGTGATAATCACTTTATTTACAATAATAACGTTCGCGTTTCATGTGCCATATAAATGGAAGCAACATGTAGCAAAGTAACATTTTATTTCCACAGATGGTGAGGCACGGTGGGTGTCTGGGCTTGGGATTAGCAGCAATGGGGTCTCATCGACAAGACGTGTACGAGCAATTGAAGTTCAACCTTTATCAAGACGATGCCGTGACCGGAGAAGCAGCTGGCATTGCGATGGGAATGGTTATGCTTGGCTCGAAATCAACCCAAGCTATAGAGGATATGGTTGCGGTAAGATAAATTTCATTCCAGTATCTTACGCTTTTTATAAGCAAAAGTTATTCGTTCGGTCCGGCATTGTGCGGGCCTGCTTTATACTTTCCTGTTATTTGTCGTTCCTGTTAGTGTTCTCATGCATCTCTACCTTAAGCGGGAAAGTATCATTTGATGCTCAAAGGGTGGTTTCTCGATGATCGCTTTCCTTTTTCCTCTTCTTCGAGAAGGGGTTAATTGTGACTTAAGGTGATATGAAAGATTAAGCCTATATATATCTGAGAGGTTAAATAGTTTGTGAAAGAATTCTCTGAATTAGGTGCACTGATTCGTTTCAAATTTTCCCATGTGAATATGGTGGCCCTAAAGTAGATCGTGAAACTCATGAAATTTTATTTTTTATACGAAATTAATTAATTTTTCATGGACTAGAATCAACATGGCGTGGTCCGTGCACGTTTTTGATGTTTTATACTTTTTGAAGACTTGGAATCGAAAATATAGAGTTTCAGGACCTAGCTCGAACAATTTAGAATACTATAGAAATGGAACATTACGAAGTTCGAAGGGAACATATGGAAAATACATTCGTGAACGATTGCAAGAGAATGCTGGCTTGTTCCTTGGGTAAAAAGTTTTCAGAGTAAAAACGTAGTTCCAGCTAAACACCACAGATGGCCTTGTCGGTCCATTAGAGTATCAAAAAATCATGAATCCACGGGATTTCGACAGTTTTACATCGATCTCCTTATTATTACTTTACCGAAATGACGGGGAACGCTTCATTTTGTATAATTCTCAGCGTATACTGTAAATGACTTCCACATAAATATAAATGTCGGTAACGTGACGCGTCAGCTTATGTTACCATTTGAGTATCCATAATGGCGTTACCACCGCAAAGGGTATAAATGAATTTAATTTAATTGACGTCGATTAATTTTCACAGCGCCTTTCATATCACCTTAAAGTGTATCACAATTCATGAAGTTAGCCATTTCCCACTTTTGCGGTGTTACCAGATTGATGAAAACATTTAACTATTCTCCAGATAGCAAACCTTACAACATTTATTTATCTGGAAAATAGCTATCCGGGAGTATGAAATAATCGGGCATTAGAGTCGAAATTTAGTTGCCACTAAATGCACCGGATGGCGCCGTAGTCAATTACAGTAGGAGAGAAAACCCGAGAGTAGGAGGGCAAAAAGTTAGAGAGTTGAGTTCTGTTGCCGACTCCGAATGGAGTAGTGCTATCGTGACAATGGAATTTAGTCGTTAATCCGTTTACCCGGAGAATCGGATCTCCAGCCATCCAAATATCGACGGAGTACATTTGGCGCTGAACTCGGTAGAGTTTCGCGCCAATTACAACCAGCAGGGTGCGCTGCGATTCTGTTACAACGCGTAAATTGCGTTCCGTGTTTTGAGTATCTATAGTCACTTTAACGAAACACAATATGTAAAAGTGTTGTAAAGCAGCGCAATCACGTCATTAAAATCATTAGGGTTAAAAAATAAAGTAGGAAGTTTTAATTATAACGTTTATTTGCAAAAATACAATAATCCGTATTTCATAAAGGTTTAAGTACAAAAACCTGTCATGCTCAAAATCATCAGAAAGTATTGCTAAACAAACGGTAAACGTGTTAAACGTAGCTTAATTATTGTAATCCTTAAACAGAAACAAGACTTTAGACGCTTTTCGATCGCTCAGGGTATATATTTTTAATACTCGAATGTACAAATCAGTATGAAGAAAAAATTCTATATCTGCAGATGATCCTATAGCTCATGAAATGGGAATAATGGAATTGTCCCTCGTATATTTTCCACTAACGGAAACCAGTTACTACAGTTTTATAATAATACTCGTTTTATGTAATCTTTCAAATGAGGTGTTTATTCAAGTAACTGTAATATTTAGAAATCATGATTTCTATCAACTTGGAGGTGCATGCTCTGTTACCGTGTCGGCATTTCTTTTCTTCGGTCACTTGTCCATCGGCGAATTGTGACAGCCGCTTTGAATTTCTCTTATTAGTTTACGACACGTTGTCTCTCGATTCCGTAATATCGGTTCTTGTTATTTCAGACGTTGTTTTGTTTCAAAGCAAACGGCGGTGAACTTGCTGTTCGTAATTCATAGCTGCCTCTTGCACTACAAAGTATACGATCTCTATGATTACAATTTAACGAAATTTAAGAAATAAGAGTTGAAAAAAATTTATTCACATCCACTGAGAGAAACAGAGCTGGTAAACTGAACAATTTGACCTTGTTAAAGCCATTTTTGTTAAAAGAACGCACTTTGTCGTTTGATTTACCACAAATTGGTAAATGCAACTATTTTTTAATAGTTGAGCCTGCTCCTGGCTTTTGTACGAATTGTCTAGGAACGGTAACAATATTTATAGTAAAGGTTTTTTTTACCATTTCGGAGTAGTTATATTTTATCCCGAACGTTACCAAAAACTTTGTTCATGTTAGTTTCGACTGCACCGATAGATGGCGACATGTCGAGCATAATAAGTTTAATAAAAGTCAATAATTACAACAAAATATTTTTGGAATAAGATTTAACGATCAAAGAAACTATTCGCAACGGTTAATAATCTGCCTGGGCATGTAAAGTATACGATGATATGTCAGTTACTTTAAGAATAATAAAGTGAAATTTTACTGTATAAATAGAAAAAAGTTTCGTCGTTCTTCCTAGGAAAGTATAGTAAACGTAGAATAGTTAATTTCACTCCTTAAGAAAGGTAAAAGAATATTGTAACCGTTTCTAGATTTCCTATTTCAGAAACGTAGTTAATTTTGCTGTAAAAAGTATCCGAGTTCTATTTGAACTATGAAAATTGTTGAAAAATCGTAAATTTAACTAGATTTTTCTCTCGGTGTATGATTCGTGTACTCGCGAACTTACTTTGGATCAAGTTCAGACCCACCCATGTAAGCAGTAGCATAGATATTCTTCTTACAATTGTTGCCTAGCTTTGCACATCGGGAACAAAGCTTTGATGACGCTTCTTTACTTTCTCCTCCAATGTTCGTGTACATACATTTGTTTAAATTTTCTGGAGAACCTGAAAAAAATATGATTATTAGAGGTTGTTAATAAAGTTATCGCGGATTTTGCTGTTTGATCGAAGGTTAAAAACTACAATAACTTTCTGGATAGTTTAATTAAGTAAGGGGGACTGGAACATATCAATAGTTGTTGGCACGCCACTTGAAATATTATGAAATAAACGAATAGTTGTTGCATTCTGCTTGGAATATTATGAACAACATGAACGGGAAAGAGATGTCATTTAGTAGCGGGTGCCTGCTTATACGAACGCGTATAACACGAGAAATAATATAATAATTACATTTTTTGCAATTAGTTCTGGATCTTTGGCCGATGGAATGAAATCCTGTAGGATCTCTTATGGATTCAGCGAAATAATAGTACGCACGGGAATGAGCGCAGGTACCTGAAAACATTGTGTTAAATATAATTTGCTGTAATTTTACAGTCATTGTTATTCCATGAACAAGGAGACAAAAAGCAACTGTCACATTCTGAAGATTTCTATCAGTTGTGCACTTAGCAAAAAAGTCACTCTCTAGGAGAAGGGGGAATTCTTGCAACAAATAGATTTTTACTCGTTATCAAGAAATAAGTTGTATGGTTGATCGAATGAAATTAAAACACCTTTGAATCGATATTCAATCATTTTAAGCTTAGATTCACCAAGCTTTATCATCCATTATCATTAGATGTTTCGTATATCAACGTCGTAGAGTGAATAGTTGATTCGCTTCGAAACATGAAAGTCTTTGGAAGAATTAATATTATTCTCGAGTGAAAGTGGAATTTGTTGTATTTGTAGTAAATCTAATGTTTCTCTCTAAACGCGTCACTTATCAGTGGACTGATTCTTGCATCGGTTTGACACAATATTTATTCGTCATTGATTACTTTTAATTTCAAGTCGTAAATTGTTTGATTTAAGGGAGAAATTGAATCAACTGAATAAAATTTAATCAAAATACAGTTTAAGAATCATTAAACATTCTACGTTTCTCCAATAATTTTCAACATTTTGCGGAATTGAAAATAGGCGCTTCTAAACGAAAATACATTTACTGAAACTCAGAGTAAAATTGTTTGTTTTATAGCGTCACCGATATCGGTGATTCAGAGAAATGTGGATTTTAGATTGACAGCCAGAACTGTACGTAACGATTAAGCTCTCGTCCTTTTGGCAATGAAATTATTTTGGCAAAAATGACCCCTGTACCCGACCTGATTGTTATCAATTTTTTGACATTTTGTAGACTGGGGTGCGGCGCGTCGAATCTCATAAAAACAATGTAGACCCTTTGCAGACTGTACTTACTGAAAAAGTCAATACCACATCCTGGTTGGGATTTTCCACCATTGGGATAAAAGTCAGAAGTACCCAGTGGTTGAAATATCGCCAAAGGTGCACCAGCGGTGTGAATGATTTGTACATGCTCCCCGTCTTTTGCGTTAATCATTATATCCGCTGTAATAAGCGGTAAGGCAGGATCCAACCCTTGTTAGGAAAACAATCCGGTTGTTAAATCACAAAATGAATAGGTGAGGTGTTTAAGGCGATACGAAAGGGTCAATTATATATATAAAAATGTGAAAATATTTATAAAACTTTTCTCCTAACTAAGTGCACCAAATCATTTGAACCTTCAGCACGTGATTAGGAAGGCCCTAAGGAAGATCGTGATGCTCGTGAACCTTGCTGACCCTTTCATGCCACCTTAAGGTGATGTGAAAGTGGTTTTAAAGAGTTCTCGTTCATGAAACTTTTCTCCAAACTGGGTGTACCGAATCGATTCAAACTTTACAATATAAATATGGAGGGTACAAGAAAGGTCCTAAAACTCATAGAATTTCAATATTTTTTTTAGTTTGTTCGTAGACATTTAAAAAATTTGTTATAAAAAATGAAATTTCACGAGGGTCAGGACCTTTCTTATAGCCTCCACATTCACGTGGGAAAGTTTGAAACGATTCAGCCCACCCAGATCGGAGAAAAGTTTCATGAACGATTGCCTCTTCAGATGCCCCTTTCACATCCCCTTAATTCCGGTAAATAATATATGAATGTATTGCGTACCAACAATTTCTTTTAAATTTCCCGTCAACGATCTAGCTGCGAGACCGGCGATGTGTGCTCCCAAAGAATGGCCAATTATCTTAACCGTAGATTTGTCTAGACCGGCATAATATTCCAAATCTTCAATGATCAAAGCTACCTGTTCTGCTACAATTGTCATTCCTTTGACTGCATAAATGTAATACATGCTGGCGATATAACTCCAGTCTACTGTAATTACGTTGTAATTACCGACGTCCAAATAAGCTGTAATTATAAGTAATGTGTATGAAGTTTTATGCAGAATTTCGAAGATACATTTTAGTGAATTTGATATGCATCACGATATTTAAAACAATAGATATAATGAATTCATGACAAGTAAGTTTAAAAAGTCTGGTTATAGGAGATATCAATAGCCAACCCACCACGCACCCTATGTTACAGTTATATAACACTGGAATAACATGATATATAATGAATGTTGTTCAAAAGATACATTAACATCATGTAACGTCTAATTACTACCGTTCGGTAACATTGTTACAAACGTTATGTAACGGTTATATGATTGTTATGGAACCGTGTTTGGTGGGTAGTGGATAATTCTCCTCTTTCATGCTTCATTACATTTTCCAATGAGATCAGTTGATGGTCAAAGTGAAAAACATTCATCGAAACATGTATAGTATTAATATACATACAGTACCCTCGCGAATCAATGTACCAACTTTCTCATTTGCATTGGATTTCCAGCCGTGGATAATAAAACTTGTAGGGTACGTGTGTTCAAACATGGAATTGTGGACATTTTCTTTCGTTAATATTTGGCCGTCGTTTGGGCTTGTTCTGAAAAGAAAAGCAGGATAAAAATATTACTAATATTACTCTCGGGCAGTATTTTGAAAACCTCTGTGAGAGGATAGTGGGCGCCAGTAAAACCCACACGACCGATGCACAAAATATAAGCTTTATTAGTGCCGATTAGACGATTGAAAAGGTGATCGTATACGCGGACGAGTGTCGACGCGTCGACGGTCCCAAACGAAGTGAGTCTCTTAGTTACTATGCGCGCCGGAGGGCGCTGGTAGTCTCCGATCGACAACGTATCGCCTTCTAGCAATTGCGCGGGAATTTCAATAGCTTCTTTAGTGTTTTTTTTTTAAGGTTACAATTAGGCAATTAACTTGTTTTTTTCTCAGCAGAGGTAAATTTTCATAAGATTAGATCTAGGCTGATATAATAACAGCTCATGAAGCAAACATGCATAATTTTAATTATTTCTCGTCTTAGCTTTCTCATATGGAACATATCGTTTCGTAAATCATTAGCAACTTTTTTTGGCTAAATTTTAATTGTTTACCATTTGCAGGATTAAGGGGATGTGAAACTTTTCTCCGAACTAGGTGTACCGCATTGTTTCAAACTTTACGACGTGAATATGGAAGCTACAAGGTAGGTCCTGACGCCAATGAAATTTCATTTTTTATACATTTTAAAAATATCTATAATCAAATTTTAAAAAAATTTAAATTTGATGGGTATCAGGACCTTCCTTATGGCCTTCGTATTCACGTCGTAAAGTTTGAAACAATTCGGTACGTCCAGGTCGGAGGAAAGTTTCATAAACCAGACCTCTTTCACGCCACTTTTACATCACCTTAAGGTGAAGGGACACACGTCGACAAATTTGATCGACGTCGGTAAAAAAGATTCTTCTAAATACCTATGTTGCTGCCGTTTGTGTTTAATTGGTAGCTATGTCGAATTATATTGGGTATTGTACTAAATGGCTTCAATTCATGGTTTTCGAGACCTCGTGTTACCATCGTTTTAGTACAGAAACGCATAGGACACTTTTTTGCCTTTATCTCGTTTAAATGCAAGTTTCTCGATTACCAGAGTGTTCTAAATTGTTGTACAATTGTCCTTACTAATGCTAAGTCAAACATTATTTTCCGAAAATACAAATTTGAAAGTGTCAGGATAATTCTTAAATGCTCTCAAGTAATGTGCCAAAGTTTGAGACAGTTCGGCCCAATGTCCTTAAAAAAAGTGGCTTATTCGGGTCGATAGACTTGAGGGGGGTTTCACTTCACCTTAAGAAATCTGCCTGCAGGTCTAGGAAGCAACAATCTGATTTCTTGAATGACATAATTTTATAATTGACGCGTGCTTATCACGCGATGTATTATCAGATTGCAATACTGGGAAAATTGTGAATTTTACCCGTTAATCAGTTGGGGGACATCCAACATTATCGATGATTATCAAATTCTTATAGTCCACCGGAATGTTGAATTAATTTTCATATCTCTTTTCAAATGAATATTTTAAATTGCACAATAAACTTTTTCCTCTCCACTTTATGCTTATGTTTTAAATAAAGTTTAATTTTGGAATGTTTAAAAATAGAGGGTATAGCACTTACTCTCTGGTGAAAAGTGAGACTTCCTAGCATCGGAAAATAAAAAGATGATCATTACTTTTCTAAAGCACAAACCGATAACAGAAGGTCGATAATTAAAAATATTTCATTATTCGGTCACGTCAACTTTTTCATAATCAAAAATGAAACGATGGACTGCTGAAAATTAAAATAAGATATAAATATTGTGGACTTTTTAGTTGACTTAAATATCTTACGAACACTGCACCAATCGTAGTCGGTGGCTAAAGAAGTTTCACTTTAAAAAGAATTGAAAATGCGTAATAATTGAGACTCGTAGAATTATAATATACTTTACCTGCCTCTTCCCAACATACCTGATTATCCGATACATCAGGCTATAATATATATAACAAAAGAAAATGGACTTACGGTGTATAGAGCTTGAAGACGACACTCTCGGCACTATTTCTGATCGTTCTGAGAGCTTCATTAGGAACTGTCTGCTTCAGATCTATTATATGAGGAATCCCTCTTTCGTCGGGATAATACATATAATTTAATTCCCTCTGGGAAAGGTCTTGCCTGAAAGCTGCCAGAGATATTTATTAGAATTAAGGGGATGTGAAAGTGGCATCTGTTCGTTCATGAAACTTATCTCCGAACCAGGTGTGCCGAATTCTTTCATACCTTACAAGGTAAATTTGAAAGCTGCGAGGAAGGTCCCAACACTCATGACGTTTCAGTTTTTATAACAAACTTTAATAATATCTATGAACAAAATTAAAAAAAATGGAAATTTCATAAGTTTCCGGACCTTCCTTCTACCCTCCATATTTATGTTGTAAAGTTTGAGTCAATTGGAGGAAAGTTTCATGAATGAGAACTCTTTGACACCACTTTAAGGTGATATAAAATTGTCATATATACATACCAAGAAATCAAAATATTTATAAATTTTTCTCCAAATTGGGTGCACCGAATCATTTGAAATTTCATCGCGAGATTATAGACGTCCTAAAGAAGAACGCGATGCTTGTAAAATTTCATTTCTCGAAAAAATGTTGTATTTATCTTGGACATGCACCAAAAAAAAATATTTTTTTCCCCAAAAATGAAACTTCACGAGAATCGCGTTCTTCCTTAGGGCCTACATAATCACTTGTTAAAGTTTCAGATAATTCAGTGCACCCAGTTTGGAGAAAAGCTTTATAAACATTTTCACGAGTTGATATATATAGAATGACCCTTTCATGTTACCTTAATTAAGTTCGCGTCGTCCGAAGGGCTATTCAGTCAGAAATCTGGGAAAACGACTTACTTAGTTGAGAATCGATTGTCTTTGATTTCATATGATAAACAACGATGCGATTCATAACAAATGACAGCTAGCCATAAGGTGATATAAAGGGGCCATTCTATATATATAAAACGTAACAATATTTATAAAACTTTTTTCTAAACTGGGTGCATCGAATCATTTGATGATCAGCATGTGATTATGGAGGCCCTAAGTGGTGCTCGTGAAATTTCATTAAAAAAAAAAAAAATGTATTCTTGGATCTAGTCTGGGATAAACAAAAAAATTTGTTATCAAAAATGAAATTTTACGAGCACCTCGTTCTTCCTTAGGGCCTCATTAATCACACGCTGAAGTTTCCAACGATTCGGTGCATCCAGTTTGGAGAAAAGTTTTTTAATATTTTAATGTTTAATAAATATAGAATTACCCTTTCATCTCACTTTAAAATTGTAGGAATGTTTTGGTGATCTCAAACAATGCCCGGCCTTTCCTGCTCGAGATTTCTACCTGATTTCCATGTGATTTTGAGCACTAAAATTCATGATTTCCTGAGTGAATACCCTCTCGGCGTCGTATTTCTATCCTGAGAGAAAAATCTAGGTAGATTAACTACTTTTTAACTACTTTTCATAGTTCAAAAAGGACTCGGATACTTATTATAGTAAAATTAACATTTGTTCTGAACTAGGAAGTCTAGGAACGGTTACAGTATTTTTTACCTTTAAATATAAAATTAACTATTTCACATTTACTATACTTTCCTGGGAAGAGTAACATGTTTTACTATTTATATAGGAAAATTTGACTTTATTATTGTTAACGTATTTGATATATCATCTTATATTCTACATGCCCAGATAGTATTATTAACTGTTGCGAATAGTTCCGCTGATCATTAAATCTTTTTCTAAAAAATGTTTGTGTGATTATTGACGTTTATCAAAACTTATTATGCTTGGCCTGTTAAAATTCTCGCATGTCTTGGCGTCAGTTAGGGATGGAGGAGTATTTTATATGCAAACGAGCGATCCGCATAATTTGCAAAAAATCCTCGCCATCTATCGGTGCCGTCGGAATTAACTCGAACAAAGTTTTTGGTAACGTTCGGGATAAATTGAAAGTTGATATAATCAAACCGCAATATTAAACGGTTGTACCGGTAATATTGTTGCACTTATTATGCTTGGCCTGTTAAAATTCTCGCATGACTTGGCGTCAATTAGGGATGAAGGAGTATTTTATATGCAAACGAGCGATCCGCGTAATTTGCAAGAAATCCTCGCCATCTATCGGCGCCGTCGGAATTAACTTGAACAAAGTTTTTGGTAACGTTCGGGACAAATTGGAAGTCGATATAATCAAACCGCAATATTAAACGGTTGTACCGGTAATATTGTTGCAATTAAGAAAAGTAAAGTAAATAACATCATGCAACGAGAGTCGACAATATTTAGAAGGTAACCTAACTATTCCAAAGTGGTAAAAAATATTACTGCAAATATAGTTACCGTTCCTACAAAATTCGTACAAAATCAGGAGAATGTTCAACTATGAAAAACTAGGTGCAGCCGCCAATTTATGGTAAATCAAACGATAAATTGCGTTCCTTTAAGAAAAATGGCCTTAACAAGGTGAAATTCAGTTTATCGGGTCTTTTTCTCTTAGGGTCTAGTCACATCTTGATATCGCGCGTTATACGAACCTGATGTGAGAACGAGAAAAGACGCTGTCAAGAGTAGTCTCATGTTTGTACTATTAGAGCTGTGCTAGTTTCTCACGGCACTGATTTCCAAACGGTTATCCCTATTTTTATAGGAACAGATATGAAAGGCAGATACAATCGACGCACCAGCGATGATATCGAATAAATTATATCTCCGCTGATAAGCTCCGATAGGATGCTTGATTGCGTACAGATTTTAATGATTCGTTTCTGTGTTCTTTGTGTCCGAGAAAGCGATAGTTGCCGTGCTCTTGATGCATTGGATGAACAAAAGAACTGTCATACCTAAATGCACCGTTCCGAAAGTTACACGTTACTTATTTGCAGTTGCATGGCTGGAAAGTGTCCGTTTCGATAAGAAAATCGCGCAAAAAGACGACTTGTCGATCTTAGGAGTTTCTAGGGCGTCTCAGTTGACGGTTGTTCGGTATTTTTATATTTACGCTGAGAGAAAAAGCGCTGGGAAACAATTTGACGTCATTTCAAAGCCATTTTTAGTCAAAGGAACGCAATTTATCGTTTGATTTACCATACATTAGCAGCTGCAACTATTTTGTAATACTTGAGCCTGCCACTATCTTTTTATGAATTTTCTGAGAACGGTAACAACATTTATGGTAAAGGTTTTTACTATTTTGGAATTGTTAGGGTACCTTTTAAATATTGTCGACTCTCGTTACATGATGTTGTTATTTATTCTACTTTTCGTAACTCCAACAATATTACCGGTATTATATTAACTTCCAATTTGTCCCGAACGTTGTCGAAAACTTTGTTCAAGTTAGTTTCGACGACACCGATAGATGGCGGTGTTTTCTTGCAAATGATTCGGATCGCTCGATTGCACCTAAGATACTCTTTCATCCCTCTTTTTATGAATTTTCTGAGAACGGTAACAACATTTATGGTCAAGGTTTTTACTATTTTGGAATTGTTAGGTTACCTTTTAAACATTGTCGACTCTCGTTGCGTGATGTTGTTATTTATTCTACTTTTCGTAACTCCAACGATATTACCGGTATTATATTAACTTCCAATTTGTCCCGAACGTTATCGAAAACTTTGTTCAAGTTAGTTTCGACGACACCGATAGATGGCGGTGTTTTCTTGCAAATGATTCGGATCGCTCGATCGCACCTAACATACTCTTTCATCCCTAACTGACGCTAATTGTAAGACACGCGATAATATCGACAGGTCGAGCATAGAGATTTTAATAAACGTCAATAATAACAAAAAATATTTCCGGAAAAAGGTTTAATGATCAATGGCACCTTTCGCAACGGTTAATAATATTCGAACAGGTTGAATATAAGAATATTAATTTGATTAGTTTTCTCCCAGTGCGAGGTCTCGATGCTGTCCGACAATATTTGGGTCCGTTATGTCCGTGTAAGAATGTCTGGGTGGTGGCGTTTTTCTGTGGATCGGTACTGCCGAGTTTGAAGGAATTCGAGTATTCCGAAGATTAAGGTGATATGAAAGGTGCTGAGAAATTTAATCGACGTCGATAAACTGAAATTCATTTGTACCTCTTTTGGTGGCAACGCCATTTTGAGTACTCAAGGTGATATGTAAGGGTCATTATATATTCTCCAAACTGAGTACATCGAATCATTTCAAACCTTAGCACGTGATTATGAAGGCCGTATGAAATAATGTGGTGTTTATGAGATTTCATTAAAAAAAAATGTATTTTTGATTCTAGTCTGAAATAAATAAAACCAATTTTTGTATAAAAAATGAAGTTTCGTGCGCACCACGTTTTTTCTTAGGGCCTACATAATCGCATGCCGAAGTGTATAATGATTCGGTGCATCCAGTTTGGAGAAAAGTTTTATAAATATTTTGATGTTTCGTATATATAGAATGACCCTTTCATATCACCTTAAGTATTGTACGTGTAATGGATCCACAAGTAGTGAGCGTACGAGAACGAGTTTGGAGTCTTTTATTTTTCTTGGTAGTCCTTACAGGTGAGAGTCTGGTAAAAATTTGTTTTCTCGGATTTGAACAATTGTTGTTGCTTCGTAGAGAGGAGAAATGAAGTGGGAGAAGAATATGAAGAGCCAATAGGAACGTTGAAGAAATCTGTAAGGAAGGAGGGAAAAGACAGGAACTTCAGGCTGGGGATTCGTCAGGAACAGGGGTCGTTGAGGGAGTACAAGATTTCGAGTCCTTAGGAAAAGAAGTGGAATATTGGTTCGATCAAAGTTCTCTCGGAAGGCACTATAGATTTTACAAATTTGGATAAAAAATCGGTCTTAGCTAGTAGAACGCAAAAGCGGGAGACCCTGATACCGGCCTAATAGCGGGATTTAGGCGCGTCATCCAACGGATTAAATAAAACAAATCTTACTAATGGTAAATAGGGTGGACATTACGTACGTAAAGAACCTCGAATGACGCGTCACCGCAGAACCCCTGATTATAACTTAAGCATCTCCCGCGGAAAGAATCGCAAATTTGACTTCTTTCGTCCCCCTTGTTGCGCAATTTTCAAGGTGTCTTCAATAAGCGTTTCATTTTTTACAAGACTACACTCATATTGCTTCTTTATTGTGGAGCTTTAACAAGCGTGCGATGGTATGACCGTACCGTCGTATGAACGATGCTAAGGTCCGTCGTTTTTTCTGTCTTGTTGTCAGTTTCCGGGTTTGCAATTGGCCTGTGGGTCGTCCATGACTTCAGGCCGATGATCGGTCTGGTTACGATGGGCATGATTCGTGGTTTCACCTCCTTCGGCATGAACTTGATGTATATTCGACGGGTTTTCTTTGGCGCATTGGTGTTTACGGACGTGTCGATGGTTTGCCGTTCTTCCAAGATCTTTTGGACGGTTGTATTCACTTCCTCCTCCATTTGGCCGAAGTTCAGGTACCCTTCCTCCACCTGGCTGTGCTTTTTTCTCGTCTAAGAAGTTGATGGGACGCGTCAGTAGGGTGGCCGTATGCTTTTTCGCGAGGGGGTCTCGGGAAAGCATGGATTTTAACTCTTTCAGCGCTATAGGCCCATAAGTGCGTCCGTCGTTTGGTCCAATATTGCTTGCACGCCCTGATGAAAATCGCCCATACGCCAAAAGGGCTTAGCGCTGAAAGGGTTACGGGGTCGTAGGCGAAAATCAAGAATTTCTTTTCATCACGAAAATGCATTTTTTAATCGAAAACGGAGCGTGATTTTATAGTACAATTATTGAACTTAATATATACTTTTTTTTTTCTCAAGATATATTAAAAAAATTGGCGTGGTATAGTAAGTCTCCGAACAATTTTTTTTTGCGGTGACCACGATATCTCAAAAAGTATTTCACCGATCGGCTTCAAATTTTTAGGGCTCGTTCTACACATGAAGGACTGCCGAAAGAACGAAGGATTTTTGTTCTATGAAAACTTGTTGATTTATTAAGGAAAAAGAAAAATGTGATTTTTCAGTAAAACCCCTACCATTTTGGTAAAAATCGGAATTTCGAAAAATCCATCGTTCATTCGGCAGTCTTCCATGTGTAGAATGAGCCGTAAAAATTCGAATTCGATCGGTGAAATACTTTTTGCAATATCGTGGTCACCACAAAAAAAAAACTTTTTCGAAGAATTGCAGTACCTCGCTAATTTGTTAATATATTTTGAGAAAAGAGAATTATATATTAAGTTCAATAATTGTACTATGAAGGCAATTTCTGTTTTCGATTAAAAAATGCATTTTAGTTATGAAAAGAATTCTTGGATTTCCCCTATGACACCTGCATATAACCCCTTAAGGTGATGTGAAAGTGGCGTCAAAGAGTTCTCGTTCATGAAACTTTTCTCCAAAGTGGGGGTACTGAATCGATTCAAACTTTATAGTATAAATAGGAAGGGTATAAGAAAGGTCCTAAAATTCATAAAGTTTCAGTTTTTTTTTAAATTTCTTTATAGGTATTTTTTTAAATCTTATAAAAAATGAAATTTCATGAGAGTTAGGACCTTCCTTATAGCTTCCGCGTTCACGTTGTAAAGTTTGAAACGATTCGATACATCCAGTTCGGAGTAAAGTTTTATGAACGATTGACCGTTCGGATGTCACTTTCATATCCCCTTAATGTGATGTGGAAGGGACATTCTATATATACAAAACGTTGAAATATTTATTAAATTTTTCTCCAAACTCGGTGCATCGAATTATTTGAAACTTCAGCACATGATTACGGAGGCCCTTAGGAAGAACGCGATGCTCGTGAAATTTGATTTTTAAATAAAAAAAGTATGTCCTTGGTTCCAGTCTGGAATAAATATACAATTTTTTGTTTAAATCAAATTTCATGAGCAATGCGTTCTTCCTTAGGGCCTTCATGATCACGTGCTGAGGTTTCAAACGATTCGGTGCCCTTTCCTAGTAGCATAGAATTATTTCTAAATATTTCTTTCTAATCTTTGCTAAATATCTCAAGCGACAGATTTTTTAAGATTTCTTGTAGATCTCATTCGAAGTTATTCGAAATATTTGTTGAAAATCTTCATGACATATTTAGTTTCAATAATTTACAAAACATATATAGAAATTATATTCTTTAATCTATGAACTATGAATAATGAATTTTTTAACCTATTAACTATGAATAAAAATACATTTTTTACTTCACGACTGTTATCGGACACTTCATTTGGTATAAAAAAAAACGAGAAATTTCATTATGGGAGCAAAACGTGTGATTTTGATTTTAAATATTTCTAAAACGTTTATAATGTATTCGGGATATAATATTTAAAAAATACTTGTATTAATATGAAACGAAACGTTTTGTATATCCGGAAGGAAAATATTATGAAAACACATGCAGCTAATATTATATAAATATAGAGATAATATGTTTTGCAAATATTTCAAATGTCTGCTAAATATATACAAAATGTACGATATTCGTTAAATATGTAGAAAATATAGGACAAATATTTTGTGCTACTAGGGTCGGTTTGGAGAAAAGTTTGATATATATTTTCATCTTTTGATATATAGAATTTCGTGTCACCTTAACGTCGAGATCATGTGGAAATCGCAATCAGAAATCAGTGTAAATCAATGTAAATCGTTGGAAATGACCAAAAAAAAAAAAGAATTTTAAGACCGGACGCCCCTTGTTACCGAATGGCATTCAAAGGCAATCGGTCCTGAAAGAAGGAAATCGTTTTCACTGATTTCCAAGTGAATTGCGCTTCGCTTTACCTGTACCGTTCTCCGTGGTCTTGATCTGTCCCTAAGGGGGATGCAGGGCTGGAAGGGTTGACTTATTTTTACGTTCCCTTCTGGGTTCTCCTCCGTTTGCGTGGCTTGGTCGTTCATGTTCTCACTTCGTATCCGGTCGGTTGGATTTTCGAAACTGTCGCCTGAAGCTCGAGTTTCGGAAGTCCAATGATGTTTGTTTCGCTTCGTCCTTAGTTCTTACTTACCTGTACGTTGTTGCCATTCGCGCAAACTTTCTGCTCCTCTTGTCGGTACTCTGTTTCTTCTCGAAGGTTAACCTACTGTTATTAGATTTCAATTCTACGGTTATCGCCTAGTAGCACAAAATATTTCTCTTATATTTTCTACATATCTAACGAATATCGTGCATATTGTAAATATTTAGCAGACATTTACTTTAGAATATTGTTTTCGTTAGACTTTTCTAACAGATGTACAAAACGTTTCGTTTCATTTTAATGCAAGTGTTTTTTTTAATATTATCTGTCGAATACGTTATATTAGTTTCAAAAATATTTAAAATCAATATCACTCGGTTTTGCTTCCGTAATGAAATAGCAGAACGAAAATATTCAAGACATTTGTCGCCTTATTTTATGTGAAACAAAGTGTCCGACAATAATTGTAATGTATGTATTTTTATTATGTGTTTATAAATTAGAAAATATAATTTCGATATACGTTTATAAATGTCATTGAGATTTTCAACAAATATTTTAGATATCTTCGAACGAAATCTACGAGACATCTTAAAAAATCTGTCCCTTGAGATACTTGGCAAAGATTAGAAATAAATATTTAGAAATTATTCTGTGCACGTAGGGTCTACGTTCTTGTACTTTGTTTTACTTCTAATTCTAATTCTTATTGACTTTTAGGATTTGGAGTGGTGAACGGTTTTACAACGTAGTTCGATTCGCTTCTCTTGGATTGGCTTTTCATTTCTTTTTTTTTTAAAGTGAAGTGAAACCCGTTGAGAGATTTAATCGACGTCGATAAAACAGATTCTTTTGAATACCCCCTTTCTGCTACTGCAGACAAATTCCTCGTTGAGAACTATTAAGTTGAGGAATAAGGTCCCGCCGTTTTTAACGTAACGTAACGTAATTAAAACGGGAACTTATTCCTCAACCTAATATTTCAGAGGAAGAAAGAAAGTCTATTTTCTTTTCCCGAAAACTCACTGACGAATTATTAATTTCTTACAGTTGAATCTAAAATATTGAGCATAGCTACAGTGTATCCAAGAAATTTGTCGACGACTGTGCACCATACCTGTACACGAATGACCCGTGTTTTCATGGTCGCCATTTTTGATTTCAGTACGCCCAAGAAACTCAGCATGAAAAGATTCTACGCGGTCTGGCTGTCGGAATCGCATTCACCATGTACGGTCGTCTGGAAGAAGCCGATCCTTTGGTGACATCCCTTAGTGCCGACAAGGATCCTATCCTGAGAAGGAGTGGGATGTACACGTTAGCGATGGCTTATTGCGGGACGGGAAAGAACGAGGCGATTCGGAAGCTTCTTCATGTGGCCGTAAGTTTCACATTTTCTGCATAGCGGAAATCTTCAGATCTTCTTAAGAGATCGTTTCGAAACAAACCGTCGATGTACATAAACTTAGCCAAATACATTTATCTTTACTCAGTTTATTTAAAAAATAGTTGAAATCGCTTTTCTCTCATGTAGAACTAAAATCAGTCTTTGCTAAATATAGTAGAACTTTCGTACCATTGAAATCCCAGCAGAATTATCATCACTTTCTTTCCACAAAAAACTAAAATCAACTATTTTTGTCATATATAGTAGAACATTCGTTCCATTAAAGTCCTAGCTGAATTCTTTTCGCCAAATGTCAGCACATTTTGTTTCGGGTATGTTGCAATAAAAGAACCAAAGACAAATACGCGTCATTCGGAGTTTTTATATAGGCGATGCGCATCGCCTTAAGGTGAAGTGCATCAAAGAGCATCGGAAGTGCATTGAAGTGCATGCGAAAGTGGCGTCAAGGAGGTCTCGTTTATGAAACTTTTCACCGAATGCAGGGTACCACATCGTTTTAAACTTTACAACGTGAATATGGTGGCTATAAGGAAGATCCTGACCCCCATAAAATTTCAATTTTTCAAAAATTTGTTTGTAGAAAGTGAAATTTTATGGGGGTCATGACCTTCCTTATAGCCTCCATATTTTTATTATAAAATTGAAATCGATTCGGGACACCCAGGGCGGAGAAAAGTTTCACGAACGATTGACTTTTCGGATGGCACTTTCGCATTCACTTAACGTAGTGAAAGCAATGGTGCTCTATTTCCGTTTATACTTAAATCTGGCGTTAATAATTGTTTTTGTATCATTTTTTCTCCAGGTATCCGATGTGAATGATGACGTTCGCCGAGCAGCCGTTACGGGACTGGGATTCCTTCTGTTCAGGTGAGTTATTTTCTAAATTAGACCCGTCATTCCGAAGCGCTTCCAGATTTTCAATTGCGAGCCTTTTAAACCGGAATTTGAATACTAGAACATCCAGCATCGAACGGTATTCAGAGTTTCGAATCAGAGACCCGCGATCATTGATTTAGCTACATATATATGTAAAACGTCAAAATATTTATAAAACTTTTCCCTAAACTGGATGCACCGGATCCCCTGAAATTTTAACACATGATTATGGAGGTCCTAAGGAAGAACGCGACGTTCATAAAACTTCATTTTTCTCGAAAAAATGTGATCTTGGTTCTAGCTAGGATAAATAAAAAAAGTTTTGTTTTCGGAAAATCAAATTTCACGAGCATTGCGCTCCTCCTTACGGCTCGTGTCCACGGGCAAATAATTTGCGACACTTCTTGCTGGAGCAACTTGCATTTGCGGGTACCCTCCCAATAAACTTGCGGCAAGTCGCTTTAGCAATTTCTTGCAAGACGACTTGCGAGAGGGACTTGCTTTGGCGGGTGCACGGTACTCACAAACTTGCTGCAATTTTGCTGCAATTTTGCTCGAGGGTGAGATATTCGGAATTGAAAGGGTCATACAACGAAACATCCAAAACACATGCGAATCCGCTCGCGACTTGCAGCAAGAATTTCGGGATCGATTCGAAATCGACTTGCGCAACTTCAACTTCTGCAAGCAGGCGGGTACACGAGCTCGCGCGAGTTCACTTGTAAAACGGTTTACACGATGGCAACAACCCTCTGCGAGCGGCTCGCACAAGTTTTACTTGCACGTGGGCACGAGCCATTAGGGCTTCCATAATTACGTGCATAATCACGTCCTCGTTTAAGGTGAAGTAACCCCTCCAAAATCAGTCGACTCGAATAAGGCACTTTTTTTTTAAGGGTATTGGTTCGAGCCGTCTGAAACCTTGACACATGACTACCTACACATAACACATGACGTGAGCACCTAGGAATTATCCTGACACTTTCGAAATTAGGATTTTTCAAAAGAATTATTTAGCTTAGCCCGGACCAGAACCAAAATGGCGTCGAGCTCTCATATTTCGATCGATATACAATTATTGAAGGCTCCGATATGAGAAACGAAAGGGTCAGGATAATTGTACGAGAATTTACAACACTCTGGTAATCGAGAAACTCGCATTCGAGCGGGATAAAGGCAAAAATGTGTCTTATGCGCTGCTACGCTAACACAATTGGAATACCAGGTCTCGGAGTAAAAATTTAGTTGACACGCAAATCATAGAGATGGCGCAGGGGGTCCCTCCGCAGTCAAATGGGGCCTCGGAAACCATGAATCCAAAGGATTTCTCGAGTTGTACTTCGATTTCCTTATAATTATTGTACGATAACGACAAGTGGAATACGCCATTTAAGACAATACCCAATATAATTCCACCCAGCTGTCGATATAAAACCGGACGTTGGCAACGTAGGTATTTAGAAGAATCTTTTTTACCGACGTCGATCAAGTTCCTCGACGTGTTTCACTTCACCTTAAGCTTCTCTCCGATTGACTTCCAACCGGTACAACAATATGCGGCAGGTAAAGTCAAATTCACCGGAAAGTAGGCACCATACGACTGTTGCGGGATCCTTTGTATTCTCTGCGCCATGGGACGGTCGTTGACTTTTATGCATCCGTTTAGTGGTCATAGGTGGATTCGTGATCGTAACACGTGTCCGCAGGAAGTCGTTGCGTTTAGTGGATGGATCGTCATGTTACGAGCCATTACCATTTTATCCGTATTGAACTTGAACTTACGGTGAAGTAAAAACTCTCGTTCTTCCTTAAGGCCTCCATTATCACATGCTGAAGTTTACGATGATTCGGTGCTTCCAGTTTGGAGAAAAAGGTTATAAATATTATGACGTTTTATACGCAGGGTGTCCCATAATGGATAATTAATCTTTAGTTGAACTTTCGCATCCCCTTAAAATTGTGACAGTGTTTCATGATTTCTAGCGATTTCTGCTTGCGATTTTCACATGATTTCGAACTTTAATCCTGAGTGAACATCCCCTCGGATTTCCTTCTTTGAGAACCGATTGCCTTTGATTTCATGATCATACGATAAGCAACGATGCGAAAATTTTGCCTTAAAATAATGAGAACGTGTCGGCAATTTCCCGAGCGCTAAAATCCATGATTTCCTTCTTTGAGAGCTAATTGCTTTCGATTTCACATGATCAGCAACAATGAGATTCGGTAACGAGGAACGTTTGGCCTTAAAATTGTGACAGTACTTTGGTGATTTCCAACGATTTCCCCCATAATTTCAAGCTTGAAAATCCACAATCTGCGGAGTGAACGTCCTCTCGACACCTTAGGCAAGTTTAGGAAGGCTTCCAGGACGATCGAAGTATATTCGAGGGAGCCAACAAGAGCGGGCGTACGCGTAGTCGTAATTGTTACGCAACCGCTCGCCTGTAAACTCGTCGTTGAGTTCCGCCAACGGTGAATTCTGGCGCCACGTTAAACGAGGAATAAACGCTGACATTCGGCAAGACGGGTAACAGCCCACCGTTAAAACGACGTTCCCGTTCAATTCCGGAGAGTTTATGAGCGACAAGCTTCCCGCGAAAATTTCCACCCTTGCTCCGGGAGGGCAGAAGCCACTTTCAACAATGTCCGGGACTTCGGTCCGAATCCGCTTTGAGATCTTTCCGCGATCTCGGCGGTCATTTCCGTGATAACGACTCGGTGCATGGGACGTCATTCGAGAAGTACTCCCTACAAACACCGTATTAGCTGCTGCATAATGACGGCCTTTAAACTGGAAAAATGCTCCACCGAGACCAGTTTATGCCTCGAAAACAGTACGAGGGTCGAGGTTTATGCCAAATGTAGTCCTTGGTTAAGACGAAGTGAAACCCTCTCAAATCAGCCGACTCGAATAAGACACTTTTTTAAGGGTATTGGATTAAGGTGAAGTGAAACACGTCGAGGAACTTAATCGACGCTGATAAAGAAGATTTATTCTAAATGCCTACGTTGCCGACGTTCGTTTATATATTGACAGCTGGGTCGAATTATATTCCATATTGTACCAAATGGCATACTTCACCTGACGTTTTCGGACAATAAATATCAAGAAATCGAAGTAAAACTCAAGAAATCCTCTGGATTCGTGCTTTCTGGGGCCCTAATTGACTGCAGAGGGACACCCCGCACCATCTGTGATTTTCAGGTCAATTAAATTTTCACTCCGAGACCTCGTATTCTCATCGTTTTAGCATAGAAGCGCATACGACACTTTTTTTGCCTTTGTCCCGTTCAAATGCGAGTTTATCGATTACCAGAGTGCTCTAAATTGTCGTAAAATTGTCCTGACCCTTTCGTTCCTCGTATCAGAGCCTTCGATAATTGTATATTGATCGAAATATGAGAACTCGACGCCATTTTGGTTCTGGTCTGGACTGAGTTAAAAAATTCTTTTGAAAAATCCAAATTTTGAATGTGTCAGGACAATTCCATGATGATCAGGAGCGATGTGTCAAAGTTTCGGACAGTTTGGTCTAATACTCTTAAAAAAAAGTGTTGTATTCGAATCGACTGATTTGAAGGGGGTTTCACTTCACCTTAAGGAAATGCAGCTTATTGGCAGTCTTAATAGAGACTTTCCTTTGATATAAATAAGAGAATATTCCTTCCATAGGAACGGGTACCTGCGTTCGAATTTTTTTATAAAGGGGAGAAATAATTGCTGACCAAACTTATTAATATCAGGTTTTATTAACTTTAACACATCTTACAAACATTCTTCAGTTTCTAATATGAACTTTTATACGTCGCCGTAGGATGCTTTATAACTTTTCAAAACGTCTGCAGTTATTTACAACGATCCAATGAAAGACCACGCACTAAAATTTACATTGATTGTCCGTGCGTCAAAAATCTGACCGCGATATGAAGTTAAAAAGACGTTTGGATCCAGTCATAAATGTTGCAGAATTTTTGAAAATTGACCCCACCAAAGATTTTCTCTTCTATTCTTTATTATTTCCAGTGGCAGGAAAAGTTCAGAGCAGGGCTAAAAAGTTAGTCAACCCTGGTAGCACAGAATAATTCCTAAATATTTTGCTGTGATCTTTGCTAAATGTCTCAAGCGACAGATTTTTTAAGACGTATCGTAGATTTTATTTTAAAACATCCAAAATATTTCTTGAAATTCTCAACGACATATTCAATTTTAATAACTTAGAAACGCGTATTGAAATTGTGTTTTTTAATTTATAAACATAATANTAAAAATAAAATTCTAAAGTAAATATTTTGCAGATATTTCAAATGTAAGGTATTCGTTAAATATGTAGAAAATATAAGAGAAATATTTTGTGCTACTAGGGAACAAATTAATGTCAATTTACTAAACATATATTCATTAGGGAAAGTAATCGCCATTTTTCTTCTACCTGCATTTGCTAAAGCATACTTCTCATGCAACTTAGAGATCTCTCAACTATATCTGTCCGACATCTACACGCTTCTTTTATATATTACTCATTTACATGACAGTTGTTCCAGACGTAGTCGAGTCGAGAACGAAAGTATCCAATTAGAGTTTTACGCATTTCCGTAAATTGTTAGTAGCCACGCCAAAGAAGACATAAATGCCCGGTACGTCGTTTTTGCATGTATTGCGCTATTGTTCGCAAACGTCTTCTAGTTAGTAATTAAACGATATTCTTCTTGAAAAATTATCGTTATATAGAAACATGATTTTTATTTGGAACTCTTTTGAATGAAATTAGCGTTCGTCGAAGTAAATGTACTTTAAGGTGGGATGAAAGGGTCATTCTATACATATAAAACGTCAAAACATTTATAAAACGTTTCTCCAAACTGGCTGACCCTAAGGAACAACGTGACCTCGTGAAATTTCATTTTTAATAAAAACGGTTTTTTTATTTATCTCAAACTAGATCCAAGAATACATTTTTTCTTTTAAATGAAATATCACGAGCAGCGCGTTTTCATTAGGGCCTCCATAATCACCCCCTGAAGTTTAAAATTAATCGGTGCACCCAGTTTGCAGGAGAGTTTTATAAATATTTTTTATTTTTTTATACACAAATATGGCAGTTTCATAACACCTTAATACCGTCGGAAGTGGACTTTCCTAATTCATACATGGAGATCCGCGTAATAAGCGGGCCCCTCGAATAAATCAAGCTTGATTTGAAGAAGCGACTTTTTTTTTTTCAGCCGACATCCGTAAGATTCATTTTCCAGGTTGGATTTATCGCTATACAAAATGGCGTACAAACGTATATCCGTACATCCCATTTATACGTTCGAAAAGAATGGGTAATGTTTGCATAGCTCCGATTAGTGACAATCGAAAGTGCTCTTTCTAGCCTAATATCACATTAAAACATGTGATCAACATGTAGTCTAAAGTTCATCGATTGAACTTTCGATGAAGTTAGTTGGACGTGGTCTTCTATTGATGCAATTAGAGGCATTAACGCACCTAGGGGCACCGAAGCGGCCATTTTCTTCCCTTATGACCTGTCATCGTGACGTCCAGTTGACGTTTAGTGTTTGCGTGACAACACTTTGCCTTTGCCGGTTCGATAAGATGACATCGAAGTTCATTAAGGTGAGGTGAACGTGGCGTCAAAGAGGCCTCATTTATGAAACTTTCTCCGAGGGGACCGAATTGTTTGTGAACACGAGAATGTGAATATGGAGGCTGTAAGAAAGGTTCCGACCCCCATGAAATTTCAATTTTTTAAACATTTGTTTATATATATTTTAAATTGTTTGTAAAAGAATGAAATTTCATAAGGTTCAGGACCTTCTTCGTAGCCTCCACATTCACGTTGTGAAGTTTGAAACGATTTAGCACATCCAGTCCGGAGAAAAGTTTCATGAACGGTCGATTCTTCGGATGCCACATTCACATCCCCTTAACAACTAAAGCAATGAAAATGGTTTAACTGAACGATGAACTAAATCCTCTTATATTTCTTATTTGTTCTGGAGGTTTCGTATAAAAGATTTGTGGTAGCGTCGTGGATATAGATACTGCAAAAGGTCATTCGTTATGTCGAAGAAGACATTTCAGCTGTCAAGCAATTTTTATGGGATGAGAGGATTGAAATTGACTTTATCTACCTCTTTCAATTGCTATTTCATGGTCATTGTACTGAAAGGACCATTCGGTTCGAGATCCGTAACAAAATTACAGCAAAAAACGTGCTGAACAGGTCTCTAGAAAATCAAGTAAAGTTAATGACAATGAAGTCCTAGTATTTCAGATATTACAAGCTAGCTCATTAAGGTGATACGAAAGATTCCGCCTATATATATCAGAGATGAAATCGTCCGTGAAACTCTTCTCCGAACTGAGGGTACTGAATCCTTTCAAACTTGACAATGTGAATATGGAGGCTGTAAGAAAGGTCCTGACATCCATGAAATTTCAATTTTGTGAAAATTGGTTTACATATTTTTTTAATTTTGTATAAGAAATGTAATTTTAGGAGTGTCAGGACCTTCTTTATGGCATCCGTGTTCACATTGTCAAGTTTTAAACGATTCGGTACACCCAGTTCGGAGAAAAGTTTCATAAACTCTTTGACCCCACTTTCGCATCACCTTAAGGTGAAATGAAAAAGTCAGCCAATATATATCTGAGAGGTCAAATCGCTTGTGAAAGTATTCTTCGAATTGGGTGTATCGATTCGTTGAAAATTTTACCATCTGAACATGGAGGCCCTAAGGAGGTCCTGAAACTCATGAAATTTATTTTGCATCAAAAATTGATTTATCACGAACTAGAACCAGCATGGCGTGGTCAGTGCACAATTTTGATGTTTTACGCTTCTTGAAGGCCTAAAATCGAAAATGAAGAGTTTCAGGACCTAGCTCCATTAATTTAGAATACTATAAAAATGAACTATTACACAGTCAGATGGGAAAGTATGGAAAATATTGTCACTAATGGTTGCAAGAGAATGCTGGCTTGTCCCGGGGGTAACACATGTTTATAGAGCAAGTTTAGTTGCAAGTAAACGTCACAGATGGCGCCGTTTGTCCAATGGAGTATCAAAAATCATGAATTCACGAGATTTCGACAGTTTTACATCAATCTCTTTGTCATTACTTTACCGAAATGACATATGGAACGTTTTATTTCGTATGATTCTCAACGTAGAGGGTAACAGCCATAAACGTAAATATAATCGTCCGTAACGTGACGCGCCAGCTTATGTTACCACTTGAGTATCCAAACTTGCGTTACCATCGCAAAAAGGGTATAGATGAATTTTATCGACGTCGATTAAAGTTCTCAGCGCTCTTCGTATCACCTTAAGGACTTTAAGGTGATATGAAAGAGTCCGCCTATATATATTGAGAGGCTCTAACCTCTTGAGTATTCAAAATGGCGCTATCACCGCAAGGGGTACCGATGAACTTAACTTTATCGACGTCGATTAAATTTCTCAGCGCCTTTCGTATCACCTTAATGGCACCAATGATAGCCAGAAAGTCCCTCGCTCCCGATTTTCCTGATCTAGAAGGATTCTCAGCGTTATATACTGGTGACGACGACGCCAGGTCGTCGGGGCAAGGCCTACCTGGCAGGCCGCCATGTTGGATTCCTGTATCTACAAAGAAGAACCTTCTTAAAGGCCTGCCTGAAGACTTTGTTGAAAATCGTGTAGAAGATGGGATTGACCATTGAGCTGGCGTATCCTAGCCAAGTGACCAGATCGAATATCTTTCTGTCGATGCGTTTTTCGCAGTCGGGGCAGAGAGCGGGTACCAAGTTTAGGACGAAAAATGGCGCCCACAGGATAACAAATGTGAAAAAGACCACTCCTAAGACTTTCGTAGCTTTCTGTTCGAGACGAATAATCCTGCCGTGTCTCGAGCTGTTTCGCGAAACGACGCTGCTGGTCCGAGAGTGATGGGTCCGAACTGGTCCGGAGTATCTCAACAGACAAGGAGACGAGGAATTGCTCTTCGAGGTTAGGGTTGCGGCTCCGTTGTGAGCTCTCATTGTTGCTGCCCTCCTCAATGGGGTGGTCCTCGAGGGCGCCAGAGTCGTCCTCGTGCTTCCTATGGTGGACCCTCTGCGACCGCTTCTCCATGTCACCATGGAATTAGCTCCGTCGTAAGATTTCGGCTCCACCGTCTTTGACCTGTTCAGGAGGAACACGAATTATTATCTCACGAGAAAATGTAGAGAAGATCGGGGTTATAAGTTTCCCAATTTACGCGGGGTATCCGTTCCACGTGGATTCGTTCCGCGCGAATGAAAATCGCGTAAACAAAGTCTGTCAGGACAAAAGAATAAATATTGGAAATATACGAAGAAGTATTACCGAAATTTGGGAGACAGGGCTCCCGTGATTCGTCAATTTGTGCGTTATTTAATGGATATATCGCCGTTGGATATTTTGTCCCTAGATGATTCGTTGCATGGATATTTCGTCACGCGGGTCATTTTTCAACAGATATTTTATCGTCGTTTTTTTTGTCATGGAACCAACCTGAGATCCGATTTTTGAGTTCATCCGGATTTCTTTTACGTACGAATAGATTCGCATAAAAAATTTGGTATTGCTGCGATGTGGCGCCATTGGTCAACATTTGAAAGTCGTACGTGAAACTATTAATTCCGCAGGCGAAAGTTGGTCCCATGAACTCGAGAATCGGGTTCCAGGTCACTATTATCCAAGTCTTTGTCTACAAACCTTGTCGAGTCCAAAGGCACAATGGCCATCTCGGTGGCGGAGTGCAACGGCTTCCGTAAGGATTCTCCAAAATATGAACACGAGCAAGGAGATGGAAGGGTCAGGGTGGCCTCCTTGGTCTCGTCCACGGTGGAGCCTTTTCTAGACGAAGGTCTTCGGAAGGTAGTTTGATCATGGAAGCTGAATGATCGTTTTCTAGGCATCTTCGGCGACATTAAATTGGCACGCTGCAAATGTGTCTCGTTGTAGGTCGATGCTCGTCGACGGTAACGCCACGATGTCGCAGGACTCGCTTCTTCTTGCGTTGTCGTCAAGCTCGTCCTCGAGCCCGAAGCGCTGCTTTCTGCACTTCCGTTTCTGAAATGAAATGGACCACGTCAGCTTCCTGAGCCACGCGGAGAAAAAAGAATGGCCGAGAAAACCAGAATTGTGGGAATCGTAACTCTAATGCAAGGCAACATACGGAATAACCTTGGGAGCCAGCGTTTCAGAGTAAAAAGAACATAGGAAGGGTTACTTCACCATTTGTCGATGTAACTACAAGGAACGAGATGTTCCAACATAGTGCATAGTCGTGTACGTCCATTTGGAAATTTTCCGTCGACAAAAACTCGACTTTTATGATTACTTACATTATACTTGTGTTCCTGGCAGGGTTTTCGTACGTTTGTTTTGGATTTTGGCCCTTTTTACTAAAGGCTAAGTACCACTGTTTTTTCGCCAACGCTACGCGATGCCCATCCTTGATGGTTAACCCATCCAAAAAGCGACCGCGCCCGACGTCGCTTTAAGGTGAAGTGAAACACGTCGAGGAACTTAATCAACGTCGATAAAGAAGATTTTTCTAAATGCCTACGTTGCCGACGTTCGTTTTTATATTGACAGCTGGGTCGAATTATATTGGATATTTTACCAAATGGCATACTCCACCTGTCGTTTTCGTACAATAATTACAAAGAAATTGAAGTAAAACTCCAGANGTTTGGTCTAATACCCTTAAAAAAAAGTGTTGTATTCGAATCGACTGATTTGAATGATTTCACTTCACCTTAACTTCGGTGATCTTACGAGAACCGGTGTATCGACGTGGCTTGAGCATCTCGTACGTTTCTATTTTAAATAGTAAAATATCATTTGATGTTCAAAAGGGTAGTTTCTTGATCATCGCGTCCCTTTTTCCTCTTCTTCCGGAAGGGGTAGGATCATTGTAACTTAAACGTAAGGAATAGACACGGGTCTTATATGCAAATCGCCTACGAGAAGTCTGGATACCTGGCGGCCCTGTCGAAACTAATGACGCTAAATAATTGTTTCTGCAATCGCATAGACAAGTTTGGAGTAATCTTGCAACGTGCAAAATCTTCCTATAAATCTGGTTACAGCTCCCAGATGAACCTTCTATTTTCCCCTGCTTATTATAACCTCTTCATGTTGTTAAGGCAAAGTGAAATACGCCGAGAAATTCGATCGATGTCGGTAAAAAATATTCTTCTAAATACCTACGTTGCCGACGTTGGGATTTATACCGACAGCTGGGCCGAATTATATCGGATATTGTAATAAACGGCATATTTAATGTGCTGTTTCTTTACGATAAGTATAAAGAGATCGATGTAAAACTCCAGAAAATTTCCAACTTATCATTTATTTCCAATGAGAGGCTATTCCCTCGGAAATCAGTGAAAACTATTTCCTTCGTTGAGAACCGATCGCCTTTGATTTCATATTGTAAACAATAATGCGATTCGGTGACGAGTAATATTTTGGTGATTTCCAGCTGATTTTCACGGGATTTCGAACATTAAAATCCGTGATATCCAGAGTGAATAACCCCTCGATTTACAGTTTATAATTTTCATCCACATATTCGATTAACGTAACGTGCAAGTATTTTAGTACCGAAGAGAAGAATTGCATAGAACACTCCACCTAATTTGCAGCCTCTTCGATCTACTTCGCCCAAAAAAAAGAAAAGATCGACAAAAGACCAGGAACTTCGAGTACAGGAAATTGCGGAGGTCTTTTTATCCCAGGGTTGATCGAACACTTTAACCTTTCGGTTCCCCGTGATTGCATCGTGTTTTTTAATGTAGGACGTGATCGATTCAGAGGTGGAGTTTCGGCAAATTACAATTAGGTCGGGTTTTGACCATCTAAGGCAATGGCTCTTCATTTCTTTTTTGTCCCGGAACACTTTTAATTAACCCTTAAACAGAAATTGGGTCACATCGATCCAACGTCAGCAAATCATAAATATGTACAAAAAATATGAATCTTTTTCTCCAAAAAACGGTTCACTTTTTTTTTTTTAATATATTTTGGACCATTATGAATTGCAGCTACCTAATTGATAATACGATGGGCCAGGTTGCATGTATACACGGAGAGAAAAAGAGCTGATAAACTGAACAATTCGACCCCGTTAAAGCCATTTTTGTTAAAGGAAAGCAATTTATCGTTTGATTTACTACAAATTTTCAGCTGCAACTATTTTTCAATAGTTGAGCATCTTCCTGGCTTTTGTGGGAATTTTGTAGGAACGGTAACGCACATTTATCGTAGAGTTCTTTTACCATTTTGGAATAATTAGGTTACCTTTTAAATATTGTCCACTCTTATTGCGAAATGTTATTTGCTTTACTCTTGGTATCTGTAACAATATTATTAATACAACTGTTTAACATTGCGGTTTGGTGAAGTCAACTTCCAATTCGTCCCGAAGGTTACCAAAAACTTTGTTCGAGTTATTTTGGACGTCACCGATAGATGGCGAAGTTTTCTTGCAAATGATTCGGATCGCTCTTTTGCATACAAGATACTCTTCCATCCCTAACTGACGCTAAGTCATGCAAGAATATCAACAGGTCGTGCATAATAATTTGAATAAACGTCAGTAACTACAGTAATCATTTTCGGGAAAGGATTGAACGATTAACGGAATTATTCGCAACCGTTAATAATACTATCCGGGCATGTCAAACATACGATGATATATCGGTTACGTAAACAATGTCAAATTTTACCACTTACATAGTAAAAAGTTTCGTTATCCTTCCTAGGAAAGTATAGTAAACTTGGAATAGTTCATTTTTTACTCCTCTCAAAAGGTAAAACGATATAGTAAGTAAGTTAAATTATCCGAGTCCTTTTTGAACCATGAAAACTAGTTAAAAATAGTTAAACTAAATTTTTCTCTCAGGGTATCGCTAAAATTCTCACACTAATAAAGAAAATGTAAGATCTGTCATGGCCGCACTATTAGTTGTTCAGGAGTGAACACATTTATGACATTCGTTATAGAAGAACGAAAAAGTGTGGGAAAATAAAGTGCGGAACCCCTGTAAGAAGTAATAAGTGCTGGGGTAATGGAACATTATGGATGCAGTTCCTGAGTTTGTATAGTTGTATGCGAGGGAATGCTACTTGTTGAGCCACAATTACTCCTTACGTCGCGAGCTTCATCCTCGACATCTATATCACCAGTTTATGATCCGTTGGTGGATTTCTGTACCCGGAAGGCAGAGCTGGGAAACCCGATATTTGGCAAACACAGAATCGGAAGATACAGGCAGTTATTAAAGGCTCGTTGGTTAATCAAGGTACTCACGTATTCAGCCCACGGTACAGCCGCTGATTGGCTTCTTAATGTGTTATGAAAGTGTCTGCTTTTATAGCTCTGCCCCGAGGGAAAAATCTAGGTAAATTAACTATTTCGTACCTAGCTTTCATGGTTCAAAAAAGACTCGGATACTTTTTACAGGAAAATTCACTTTTCTTCTCAACTAGGAAATCTAGGAACGGTTATTATATTTTTCTACCATTCGGGAGGAGGGAATTCAACTATTCCACGTTTACTGTACTTTCCTAGGAAGAACAACGAAAGTTTTTACTATTTATATAGTGAAATTTCACTTTATTATCGTTAACGTAACCGATATGCTATCGTATATTTTACATGCCCAGATAGTATTGTTAACTGTTGCGAATAGTTCTGTCAATCATTAAATCTCTTTCCAAAAATATTTTTTTGTTATTATGGACGTTTATTAAAATTATTTTGCATGACTTGCTAAGGTGAAGTGATAACCCCCTCAAATCAGTCGGTTTGAATGGAACACTTTTTTTTAAGGACATTGGATCAAACTATTCGAAACTTTGACACATGACTCGTGAACACCTGGGAATTATCCTGACACTTTCAACATTAGGATTTTTCAAAAGAATTGTTTAACTTAGCTCAGACCAGAACCAAAATGGCGTCGAGTTGTCATATTTCGATCGATATCAAATTATTGAAGACTCTGATATGAGAAACGAAAGTGCCAGGACAATTTTCCTACAATTTAGAACACTCTGGTAGTCGAGAAACTCGCATTTAAACAGGATAACGACAAAAAAAGTGTCTTCTGCGCTTCTATGCTAAAACGATGGGCATACGAGGTCTCGGAGTGAAAATGTAGTTATTTTGGAAGTCACAGATGGCGCAGGGGGTCCCTCTGCAGTCAAATTAAGGCCCCAGAAAGCACGAATCCAGAGGATTTCTGGAGTTTTACTTCGATTCCTTTATAATAATTGGACGAAAACGACAGGTGGCACATGCCATTTAGTACAATACCTAATATACTTCAACACAGCTGTTAATATAAAAACGAACGTCGGCATCGTTGGTATTTAGAAAAATCTTCTGTACCGACGTCGATCAAGTTCCTTGACGTATTTAACTTCACCTTAACATTCTCGTACGTCTTAGCGTCAGTCAAGAATGAAGGAGGATCTTATAAGCAAAATAATCCTAGTCATTTGTGACAAAAGCTTCGCCATCTATCGGTATCGCCGAAACAAACTTGAAACAAGTTTACCAAACCGCAATGATAAACGGTTGTATTAATAATATTCTTACAGTTACTAAAAGTAAAGTGAATAACATTTTGCAATAACAGTTGACAATAAGTAAAAGGTAACCTAACTCCAAAATGGTAAAAACCTTGACTGTAAATATTGTTACCGTTCCTACAAAAGCCAGGAGGGTGCTCGACAATTATAAAATAGTTACACCTGCCAATTTGTAGTAAACCAAAGGATAAATTGCGTCCCTTTAACGAAAGTAGCTTTAACGGAGTCGCGTTGTACAGTTTGCCAGCTCTTTTTCTCTCAATGTTGACGTTTCGCTTCGGGACTCGTTCGATCGATAGCGATTGCCTTTTTGGGATCGACGTGGCACTCGCGTTCGATTTCCGAGTGCCCGACCGGATCATTCCTGTACATTTCCAAAATTGGACCCGCGTCCGTAATTCGTCCTGGCATTCATGTTCCATTCGCTCGATGCTCCGAAAATATGGAACTTCCGATCCAGAATCGTTTGCCCCAAGTCTAATAAGAGCTGGCAGAGGATTCAGAAACCGCTGGGAACTGATCAGCCAAGTTCCTCCGATTAAGGTGAAGTGAAACACGTCGAGGAACTTGATCAACGTCGATGAAGAAGATTTTTCTAAATGCCTACGTTGCCGACGTTCGTTTTTATATTGACAGCTGGGTCGAATTATATTGGGTATTGTACCAAATGGTATATTCCACCTGTCGTTTTCGTACAATAATTATAAAGAAATCGAAGTAAAACTCCAGAAATCCTCTGGATTTATGCCTTCTGGGGCCCTAATTGACTGCGGAGGGACCCCCTGCGCCATCTGTGATTTCCAGGTCAATTACATTTGCACTCCGAGACCTCATATTACTATCGCTTTGGCATAGAAGCGCATACAACACTTTTTCTGCCTTTATCCCGTTAAAATACGAGTTTATCGATTACCAGAGTGTTCTAAATTGTCGTCAAATTGTCCTGACCCTTTCGATTCTCATATCAGAGCCTTCGATAATTGTATATTGATCGAAATATCAGAGCTCGACGCCATTTTGGTTTTGGCCTGGACTGAGTTAAAAAATTCTTTTGAAAAATCCAAATTTTGAATGTGTCAGGACAATCCTTAGATGATCAGGAGTGACGTGTCAAAGTTTCGGACAGTTTGGTCTAATACCCTAAAAAAAAAGTGTTGTATTCGAATCGACTGATTTGAAGGATGTTTCACTTCACCTTAACACCCTAATCGAGATTAAAGCAGCGTCGAAATTGATGCGTGGGACGTTGCAGACATTCATCGTCATCTACTAATATAAAAACAACGGATAATCTAAATATTCGCCTGTTATTAATTAATATTTGTTGCAACAGAGATTGAGTTAACCCGTAATAAAATTTAAAATGCTGGGAACTTCTGCAGTATTTGCTTCGTGGTATCGTTATGCCATTAATGAAATACATAGTTTGAGTCCTAAAATGGAGAGGAGGAATCTAATGTCATAGAACGAGGTGTAGAAAACAAGATAACCCGTTCTACCATCTTCCTTGATTTGTTATAAAGAAATAGATAATTGTTATAGAGAATAACAAATTTGCTGCTGAGCTTGAGATTGTCAATAGACTAATGTCGAAGTCTTAAACTCTTCGGCATCAGCATTTCGTTAGAAGGCTAAAAAGGGCTGAGCCATTCAAACTCATATAAAGTAAACAATAATTCAAACCTTTAATTCGGCAATGGGGGGACTCTATTATATTTATCCTTATATTATTATTTCTATTAATAGAAAATAAATGGTTGGTATTGCAAGATCAGTTTTGATATTACTTTATAAGATATAATTCCCAAAGAAATCGTATTTGCATAAAACCTGGAAGCACTTTCATGTCTTTTAAGGTGATATGAAAGGGTCACTTTATAGAAATCAAGACGTGAAAATATTATTCAACTTTTCTCTAAACTGAGGACACCGAATCATTTGAAATTTCAGCACGTGATTATGGAGGCCCTAAGGAGGAACCCGATGCTCATGAAATTTCAGTTTTTAAGAAAAAATATGTTTATTCACCCCCGACTAGAATTAAGGATGCATATTTTGTTTTGATAAATGAAATTTCATGAGCATCCAGCTCTTCCTTAGGACCTCCATAATCACGCGTTGAAGTTTCAAATGATTCGGTGTCCTCAGTTTGGAGAAAAGACTCATAAATTGTTAATTTTGACATATGTGTGGAATGACCCTTTCATATGATAATAAAAAGAAGTTAATCTTACCCAGTTCGTTGATGCGGAGAGGATTGGTGATGGTGATGATGATGATGATGATGTGACATGGTCCTGGTGTTGACCGTAAGTGTCTGAGAGCCCGGGTTTCCCATTCCCTCGAGTCCTCTGGACAATTTCAGCATTTCTGCCCCAAAAGCGTGTAAAGCCGACATCGCCGATGGCGGAGGCTCGCTTTCCGGAAGCCAGAGTTCGTGGGTGTCCAGGGTGGTCAGCTCCGTATCCGTGGATGCACCGGAAGTGTGTTGAGGAGTACCGGATCCTCCGGTGGATCCTTTGTTCAACAACTTTCTCCACGTACAGCGTCTGTCCAGCCCTAAAATCACGCCACCTGTTCACCACACGAAATAGATTTGCACAGTTTTTATCTTACGAAATATCTACTACTTCAGTGTTAGTATTAAGGCGATGCGAAAGTGGCGACACAGAGGTCTCGTTTATCAAACTTTTCTTTCCACTAGGTGTATCGAATCTTTTCATAGTTTACAATGTAAATATGGAGGCTATAAGGAAGGTCCTAGCGCCCACGAAATATGAATTGTTTAAAAATTTGCTTGGAGGTATTTTAACACTTTACCGACCGGCGAATTTGGAAGTAAATGGCGATCACGGGTATCGTAAAACCGATTAATAGGCTTCCGGTCGATAAAGTGTTAAGAATTTTTAAGTGAAATTGAAATTTTATGGGTGTCTGGACCTCTCTTATAGCTTTCACATTTACGTTGTAAAATTTGCAACGATTCGCTACCCTCGGTTCGGAGAAAAGTTTCATAAACGAGTGACCTCTCGGATGCCGCTTTCACATCCCCTTAAGGGATTATCCTACTATTTGGACACGACATTTTCCAATCCTTTCAGAATTTCTGTTGGACATCTTTTTCCGAAACAGAGAATCCGCCTTCGACCCTGTTTTACCTTTTCAATAATTGTATTACTAATCTTTAGTAGTTAATTTGGGCATTTTGAAAACTCGAAAATGTAGATTCCAATTTTTATACTATATTTATTCACCTATTATTATTTTAAAAGAAGTTTTAATATTGTTTGTACTTTGTGTTTTTAGGTTATTCGGGATGATGATAGATTTTAAAGAAATGTTCCTTTTTAATTTTCGAACAATAAGCTTATGAGATATAAAATACTTTTGAAAGTTGGGGCAAATGAGTAATACTCGCGCAATAGAGATAATCAAGTTAATTCATACTTGTGAAAACCCTTAAGCAGTTGAATATTTTACCGTTTTCAACATAAGTCTTGCTTTTACATGTTACAGTTGCGATGATCATTCTTATGATTTCTTATGCTTTTATACGTGTAATTCTAATTTTCCAACGTTGTATAGAAAAAATCAGAAGATGCAAATATAACTACAATTTATTTACAACGATTCCTATATTACCGCTGCAGCCGTAATGGTTAAAAGGACAAAAAGTTGTAATTACATCTGCAGTAATCGTTGATATGGTTCCACCAACAGTTTTATACGCGAGCACGTGTAATGGTGGGAATATTTTTCTACGTGTACTTTGTCGCAAATGGCAGCTTATACGGAACGAGAACAAAGACGTAATTGCACGTGAAAGTCCAGTATTTGACGAGTGGTTGGCAAAAATCTGATCGAACTTGTCCAAGTATCGACATAAAGTGGGCAAAAAAGTAAGCAACCGATTTCAGTTGTTGGAGTTGTCGGTAGAGCGCGCGAGCGTATTTCCTGATTCTCTCGACGTCCAGTAATACCGCCGTCTAGTTTCATTTTGTCACGCAAGTGGCGCTGGGATCGATTCGATCCTTTCGACCGAAGCCGAAGGGGCATCCCCTTAAATGTGAAGTAAGGGAGTCTTTTCGAGCGCGGAAAATCGACTCTTCGTGCAGCCAGAGTCGATGACTGACGTGACCGGGTTCGAGGGTTAGTCCGTGTCGGCCCAAGACGATATTTGCAAGTAGATTGGCCGATGCAAATCTGTCGGGAGCTAATTCTTTGCGGACCGCCTTCGCGTTCCAATTTATTCGAATGACGTGGTCTCTAACGGGCCTTGGGAATTTTACGCCCGCGAAGCGATAACGCGAACGAGAGGGAGGACGATAACTCGCGAGTCCGGCCAACGAAACGAGATCCACTTAAAGGGGTGCGGAAGTGGCATCCGAGATATCAATCGTTCATGAAACTTTCCTCCGAACTGGGGGTACCGAATTGTTTCAGAGTTTACAACATAAATGTGGAGGGTATAAGAAAGGCCCTAAAACTCATGAAATTTCAATTTTTTTAAATTTCTTTCTAGATATCCTTAAAAAATCTTATAAAAAATGAAATTTCATGAGTGTCAGAACCTTCCTTATAGCCTCCACATTGACGTTGGAAAGTTTGAAATGATTCAGCCCTCCCAGTTCGTAGAAAACTTTCACTATCTCTTAAGTTAAATGGTGATAATCGTCTGTAACCCTGTCAAGCGCTATTTTGGTCTTCTATATCTTTTTCGACACTTTAAGCAATTTTTAGATTGTTTTTTAACGTGATCAGCGGCTTTGAATGTCCCTATCTGTGTACGAAGCGAACGTTTTTCGGAGTTTAGAGGTTTGACCGTTAATTTCTTACTTTTACTCCCTAGGAACGATGACAAAAGTTCAAATGAATATTCAAGGAATAAAGTCAGAGTCACTCCTAGAGAGAGTATGCGTATTTGGAGGAAGAGATAACGAAGAAAGAGATAACAAAAGGGGAATCATTTAGGTTTTTTGGTGACGGTGGTTACGCCCTATCTAGCGCCTGTTTTGGTATTAGACGTCTTAGATTTTAGAATGTCTCCTGCCGTTATGGTGGTTTCTCAAAACGGGATTTATTTAGGTTCGTTGGTGTTGGTGATTACGCCTTATCTAGCGCCTGTTTTGGTCTATGGTACTAGACGTTTTAGACAGTTTTTTACAATGTTTCCTGCCGTTATGGTTGTGTAACAAAACGGGATATACTTAGGTTTGTTGGGGATGATGGTTACGCCCTATCTAGCGCCTATTTTAGTCTGCCGTACTAAACGTCTTAGTTTTTAGAATTTTTCCTGCCGTTATGGTAGTTTAACAAAACGGGATTCATTTAGGTTTGTTGGGGATGATGGTTATGGCCTATCTAGCGCCTATTTTAGTCTGCCATACTAAACATCTCAGATAGTTTTTAGAATTTTTACTGCCGTTATGGTAGTTTAACAAAACGGGATTCATTTAGGTTTGTTGGGGATGATGGTTACGCCCTATCTAGCACCTATTTTAGTCTGCCGTACTAAACGTCTTAGTTTTTAGAATTTTTCCTGCCGTTATGGTAGTTTAACAAAACGGGATTCATTTAGGTTTATTGGGGATGATGGTTACGCCCTATCTAGCGCCTATTTTAGTCTGCCATACTAAACGTCTTAGGTAGTTTTTAGAATTTTTGCTGCCGTTATGATGGTTTAACAAAAGGGGATTCGTTTAGGTTTGGTGTCGACGGTCTGTAGCATTATCTAGTGCCACTCTGGTCTGCAATACGTTCAAATTGTAACATTTGTAAGCCGTTTGCGAATTTGATTTATTTCACGTATTTTATAAACGCATTGAATACGTACTCACTTATAATTTATTAATAAACGTGAAATAGATGGAACGCCAACGTTATACGCAACGTGGAGAGATTGAGCATAGGAGGACTTCCTTTATAAAAATTGCTCGGGTTAGTAGTAAATAAATTTGAAGCAGTGGCTAAAAAAACATTCTTACTCCTGGATGAAATAAACGACATACAGTTTGGGGTGACTAGTAAGGAATATTGCAGCCATGGTTATAATTTATGTCAACCGTTTTTTGTTGTCCATGCAGAAAAAAACGTGCAAAGAAATGCTGCCGACCGGCTTTAAAGTTTCACATTTGCGGAAGCAAATTGAAATTGAGATTGGTAATTATTTTTCTGCGTGTACGCGTACTCGTGCAGGTCAGTGTACTTGAAAATACACTAACCTCCCACAGGTGTGCCCTGAGGGCCACCTAACCATCCCGAGGACCAACCTGCTGTTCCTCCAATGTTCTGTCGTTGTTGGGCCAAAAGTCTTACTGTCAGAGCGTACGTGAGCAGCATAACTCCCAGTGGGATGTAGAAGCAGATTATGCTGCCGATGAGCTTATACAATGGATCCGGAATCTGACAGGCTCCGTCCACTAGAACCGAGTTATCGTCCTGAAACGATCAATAACGCGTTAACAATAATGTATAAGATTACGCATGCGTTTAAACGTGATATTAACCCTTTGAGTCCGGAACTCTTTCGACATATGGGCGAAATTCATCAATCCGTGCAGGCAATATTGGACGCCTTTAATAGCCAAATTTATATTTGATCCCATATTTTTCAACTTTGATAAGGGATCACGGGTTAAATAAAAAACATTCTGAACCGACCAACGTCCTAGTTAGCGTAGTTATTTGTATCATCTGTAGTTATCAGAGTTGGGTAGGTATAATACGTGCTTTTCTACATGTATATTCCAACGTATAATACGTTCCTAGTTTTAGTAGTATAGCGAAGTATATTACGCTCTTTTGTTTCTAAATAGAGAATAGTAAATCCAGGTAGAAACTTGACATTAAACGGGGTTAAATGAAAAGAATTTTGAACACGAGCTTCAAATTAATTATTCTTTAAAAATGTTTACGCGATTACCCGTGCGCTAAAAGACGTTTATAACCTGTATATCGTGCATCTGCGGCTAGGGTTGGGCAGTGATGCTTCATTCGAGGTTTTCTACGTAAAATGCCTAGCGAAGAATGGAGCGAACCATTAAAAAGACCCAGGCTTTCAACATTCCAATTTTCCATGCATTCCATGGAAAATTTTGAATTTTACGCGTATCAGGAATAGGAACTGAAACGTAAAATCCCATATTCATGTAATTGATGTCACGAATGAAATTTGTAAAGTAAAATACCTAGGAATTTCCCGAAAAAGAAGAAAAACTACGTAAATTGCCTAGGGTATTTTACTTACTCAACCCTGTCCGCGATATTCGAAACGTAAAATTCTAAACAATTTTGAACGCAAACGCCAAATTAATTTATTGTTCCTTAATAATATTTACGTATTTACATATGTGCTAAAAGACGCTTATAACCTAGCGGATGCCGTATATCTTACATTTGCGGCATCTTCCGTATAGGAGATGTGATTTACCGTTTTTCTACGATGTTTGACGGTAAACCACTTGATTTACGTAGCATACGTGAAAAACCTAGAAAAGCGAAAAATGACCCAATCCTGGTAGTTATTAATCCGTTTTACAAAGCAGAAGTCTACACGTTACGTTTCTTTATCATGTTTCAGGACTCCCGAACAATGTCCTAGCGTGGTGTCTTTGTTGGCCGAGAGTTACAACCCCCACGTTCGATATGGCGCCGCAATGGCGCTGGGAATCGCTTGCGCGGGCACCGGCCTCAAGGAGGCGATCGCTCTCTTGGACCCCATGACCAACGACCCGGTCAACTTTGTGCGTCAAGGGGCCCTCATCGCTTCCGCCATGATCCTGATACAACAAACGGAAGCTACGTGTGCTCGCGTGAAAGACTTCCGCGCGCTCTACGCCAAAGTGGTCGTCGACAAACACGAGGACGTCATGGCCAAGTTCGGCGCCATTTTGGCTCAAGGCATCATCGATGCAGGTACCGTAAAAAGTTCTTTCGGAAGTGCTTCGGCCTTTTCGCGGCTCCCCCTTAAGGTGGGGTGAAAGTAGCGTCGAAGAAGTCTCCTTAATGAAACTTATCTCCGAACTGAGTATACCGAATGTGAATATAGAGGCTATAAGAAGGGTCCTGGCGCCTATGAAATTTTTCAAACATTTTTTTGGATACAAAATGAAACTTCATGGGTGTTAGGACCTTCCTTACAGCCTCCGTACTCACTTTCTGCAGTTTTAAACGATTCGGTATCCCTAGTTCGGAGAAAAGTTTCAGGAACTATCGATCCTTCGGATGCCACCATCGCGTCGCCTTAAGGCGATGTGAAAGTGGCGTCGAAGAAGTCTCGTTTATGAAACTTACCTCCGAACTTGGGGTGTTGAAACGTTTTAAACCTTATAACGTGAATATAGAGGCTATAAGGAAGCTCATGAAATGTCAATGTTTGGGTCATTTGTTCATAGCTATTTTCCAAATGTATAAAAAGTGAAATTTCGAGAGTTAGGACCCATATTAGGGTCTTCTTATTCGTGTGATAAAATTTGAGACGACGACAAAGACTAGCAGACTATAATTTTGAATTGTAAAATTTCATCTCGGAAGCGCTCGGCCGAGATCGGAAAAAATCTGAAAATCCTGGACCCCTAAAGTGGAGACGATTTCAATACACGGCGCTGTATTTCCTTATTCTACTTTATGATCGTCGCAATTTTAAGACCGAACGTCTCTTGTTAAAGAATATTATCATTGTTTATCTATGACATCAAAGACAATCGGTTCTCAAGGAAGAAAATCCTTTTCACCGATTTCCAAGTGAATAGCTCCTCGCTTGCTCTACTATAGTCCAGGAGGCCGTGTCCCCTCGAAACTCGTTTGAAGAACAGAGGCAGTCGAGGAAGCCTCATCAACGGTAGCGTTTCTTCTCGTGGGGAATCCCCGTGGCCTTGAGGACCGATCGAAAGGACCGAACCGTGACTAACAAAGTTTAACTTTAATAATCGTCCAAGATGTTTGCGTATTGGAGGAGTTTGAAATGGAGCTAGAGAAAGTATTGTCAATGTTCCAGGTGGTCGCAACGTGACGGTATCTCTCCAGTCCAGGACTGGTCACACGAATATGCTCGCGGTGGTGGGTGCCCTGGTGTTCACCCAATACTGGTACTGGTTCCCTCTGGCTCACTGCCTCGCTCTTGCGTTCACCCCCACCTGTCTGATAGCCCTGAACTCTCAACTGAAGATGCCGAAGCTCGAGATCCGCTCGAATGCGAGACCGAGCGTCTACGCGTATCCCGCGGCTCTGGAAGAGAAGAAACGGGAGGATCGCGAGAAAGTGACCACGGCTGTCCTGAGCATCGCAGCTCGGGCGAAACGTCGGGAATTCGAACGACGGGCGCGGGATTCACATGAGAAGATGGAAGTGGTAAGGGCCGTCAATTTCTATTTCGTTCCTATTAAGGTGAAGTGAAACACCCTTCAAATCAGTCGATTCGAATACAATACTTTTTTTAAGGGTATTAGACTAAACTGTCCGAAACTTTGACACATCGCTCCTGATCATCTCGGAATTGTCCTGACACATTCAAAATTTCGATTTTTTTTTAACTTTTTAATTTAGCCCAGATCAGAATCAAAATGGCGTCGAGCTCTTATATTTCGATCGATATACAATTATCAAAGGCTCTGATATGAGAATCGAAAGGGTCAGGACAATTTTACGATAATTTAGAACACTCTGATAATCGATAAACTCGCATTTGAACGGGATAAGGGCAAAAAAAGTTTCGTATACGCTTCTATGCTAAAACGATGGTAATACGAGGACCCGGAGTGAAAATTTAATTGACCTGAAAATCACAGATGGCGCAGGGAGTCCCTCTGCAGTCAAATTAAGGCCCCAGAAGGCACGAATCCAGAGGATTTCTGGAGTTTTACTTCGATTTCTTTATAATTATTGTACGAAAACGACAGGTGGAGTATGCCATTTGGTACAATACCCAATATAATTCGGTACAGCTGTCAATATAAAAACGAACGTCGACAACGTAGGCATTTAGAAAAATCTTCTTTATCGACTTCGATCAAGTTCCTCGACGTGTTTCACTTCACCTTAAGGGGATATGAAAGGCGCTAAGAAGTTTAATCGACGTCGATAAAGTCAAATTCATCTATGCCGCTGGCAAGTTCCATTACCGACATTTATATTTATGTTCAAGTCTTTTACAGTCTACGTTGAGAGTTATACGAATTGAAGGGTTCTATATGTTATTTCGGTAAAGTAATGATAAAAAGATCGATGTAAAACTGCGGAAGTCCCATGAATTCATGACTATTTATATTTTGACGAAACAACGTCGCCATCTGTGACGTTTAGCTGCAATATGGCGTGGTCCGTGTACGTTTCCGAAGTTTTACGCTTCTTGGAGGCTTAGAATCGAAAATGAAGAGTTTTAGGACCTTGCTCGAACAATTTAGAATACCGTAGAAGTGAGATATTACATACTATTTTCATATTGCGCTTGCAACGTTTTTTCTTTGATAATTTATATGATCATCGTTTGTGTCACTTGAGTGGCATATTTGATATCCTGATATTACAGATACAGTAAAACATGTTTTTTATCGGTATACATCTGTGTTTAGATAAAGTTCTATTTCAATGTGATGAAAACTTGTGCTCATTATTTCATGCGTTGAACGATAGATTTAGTAATTACGGGCGCAGAGTCCTAAAATTGTCAGCTTTTAACATGAAAGGCAAATAATCTGTAATTAAAAAGAAAAATCCGTAAAATTTTCCTTTTTGAAAATGGCATTAATTGAAGACAAAACAAGTGAAATTCGTACAACGCGGGAATAAAGTAGAGAGCAAAATCATAGCCATAACTCGGATATTGGCAGAAATTGACAGAAATTGATTGGTTCTGCGCCCAAAGCGACAACTAACTTGAAAGTACAGATTTTTCGAAGAGCGACGCCGTTAATGGTGGCATTCTTTTAAATTACAGGAAACGTCACCGCTGGAAACCACCAAGGAGGCCGTCGAAGTGAAAGATGCTCCCGCCAAGGAAAAGGACGAGAAGAAAAAGAAAGAAGAGGAGAAAGATAATAAGGAGGCAAAAGAGAAGAGCGATAAGAAGGGCAAAGACGATTCTGAGAAATCGGAGAAGGAGAAAAAGGAACCCGAACCCACTTTTGAGATCCTGCAAAATCCTGCCCGCGTGCTTCGCCAGCAATTAAAAGTGATTCAGTTGGTGGAGGGCAGTCAATATGTTCCCGTTAAAGACGTGGGCATTGGTGGAATCATAATGGTTAAACATATTCAAACGGATTCCGAAGAGGAGTTGGTCGAGCCGGTTGCCGGTAACGTAACATTTTTTCACTATTTAAAAAGTGTGGATCCTGCAACCTTTAAGGCGAAGTGAAACCCTCCTCGAGTCGGTTGACTCGAATAAGACACTTTTTTTAAGGGTATTGGACTAAACCGGTCGAAACTTTGACCCTTGATTCGCGAGCACCTAGACCCACTTTCCCGACACTTTGAAAATTTCCATTTCCGAAACTCATTTTTTTTAACTTAGCCTAGACCAGAACCAATATGGCGTCGAACTCTAATATTTCGATCGATAGACAATGATCGAAAGCTCCGATATGAGAAACAAAAGTGTCGGGACAATTGTACCACGATTTAGAACACTCTGGTAACAGAGAAATTCGCACTTGAACGAGATTTTCGCAACTCCATTCTAAGGCGTCTTAATTTCGACGTTATAAAATAAAATAACGTTTCAATTGCACCGAATAGCAATATTAATTCTAATGCGTGCATTTCAGCTTTCGGGCCAAAGCCCGACGAGGAAAAGGAAGCCGATCCTCCGGAGCCATTTGAATACACCGAGGATTAGGAAGGATTCGAAAGGATTCGTAAGGAACTTTGTCTTACTCGGGAGACGATAATTCTAATCAACGTATACGTATGCGCTATGTACAAGCATCGTAATATATAGTTCAATTTCTTTTTGTTGATACCAATAAATCGATCTATTGGGTAGTAACGTTTTTCATTACCAATTTTCTACAGATGTCACCATCATAGTTACCGCATAGGGTGCGATTCCTCATATTATTATAAAATACACGTTCTTTTAAATATCCGTAAGAGTTTTGAAAAACTTGCCCTCTATAATAGTGCAATTTTCATATGCCTATATTTTTTGTAATCGTTTAATTCCTATTTTGTGTGATGACATTCCGTTCCGGTTAGGTTAAGTTAAGGTGATATGAAAGATTTAGATTATATTGGGTTGGTACATAAGTTTCTGCGTTTTTTTTAAACTAATTTTAATCGTCAAGTTTGGTTACTTATCTAGCAGTGGAGGCTGCTCGAACGATCCGAAACGTTTATGGCGAATATGCAATAAGTGATAGAGTTTTTTAACCTTTTTCATCGATTGCAGGTGACGAACGATAGTTGAATGGTTGCGTTTTATCACTTCAGTTAATTCACGTGTTGTTCGATGAGGGTTTTCATGAAGCAAAGAGTTTAACCACGTGCGGTGGAAAGACGTGCCACGCACGTCAACATGCTTTTGTTACCGGAACGCCAGCGACGTGTTACGCACGTCGTTGGGCGATTGTTACAGAAAGATAAATAACGTGCGTGGCATGTCCACCGTTCAATAAAATTCTGTACCGAGGCACAGTTTCTGCTTGCTCTTCATCGTGTAAAGTTATCAGTATTGACCCCAGACTGTAAAATGGAAAGTGATAGCGAAAACAGTGATGTTATTTATATAAATAAACGGAGAAGACAAGACAATGTAGAATCTGACAGTGATTTAGAAGAAATTGTTTTTCCACGTCGGAATCGGCGTAGAATTATATCTGACGACGAGGAAGATGTTCAGAATGAGAATAGAGAAAGGAATGTTTCATCCCAGGAATGGATTTGGAAAGACGCGGAAAATATAACGCAAGTATGGGAATATTCAAGGATATCTAAAATACATATTCTTGTTGGGCAAAATGTCACAGCCTTGCAAATGACAAGAGAAGTATTAGCAGAAGACTTTTGGGAAATCATTGTGACAGAAACTAATCGTTACGCCAGTCAAACACTCCAAAATGAAAACCGCAAATTACGAAAATTTGAAGACATTTGGTGGGACACCAATATAGATGAAGTACATGCGTATTTTGCTCTGTGCATTTTGATGTCCCAAGTCAAAAAACCTACTGTGCAGTCATATTGGTCAAAAAGAAGCGTAATCGAGACACCAATATTTCGAAAAACAATGCCCTATTGGAGATTTACACAAATTTCACGCTTTTTACACTTTACTGATAACGAAGTTGTAAACGATAATGACGATCGTTTATGTAAAGTGCGGAGTGTAATCGATTATTTTAATGAGAAATTTCAAAATATTTGCACTCCCGCGGAATACATTTCGTTAGATGAGTCGTTAATGAAGTACACGGGTCGGATCTCGTATAAACAGTGTAATCCGTCCAAAAGAGCACGTTTTGGAGTGAAATTTTATAAGTTATGTGAATCCAAGTCGGGTTATTGCATTAAATTCAAAATCTACACTGGTCAAGAGTTAGACAGAAATGCGAATGTATCTGACTCTGAAAGCGTCACAATGCTTATGTCCACAGTACTAACTGGTTACGGGCATACTCTATTTTTGGACAATTGGTATTCTTCGCCAAGCCTATTTCAAAAGTTACGGTCTAGAAAAATTAATGCCATAGGAACAGTGAGATGCAATAGGAAGAATATGCCTAAAGAACTCGCAGCTGCAAAACTAAAACGTTCTGACGTGATATCGCGCTCCTGTAATGGAATTTTGGTTGCAAAATGGAAAGACAAAAAAGACATATATGTAATGTCCACGAAACATACAAAAATTGAGATGGTCGAAGTGGAAAAAAAGAGGTGGAAAAATAATAATAGCCTTACAACAAAGCCTAACATCGTTTTGGAATACAATGAGGGTATGGGTGGAGTGGATCTGCAAGATAGTTATTTATCATCTTTTAAATTAATGAGAAAATACGTTAAAAGTTATAAAAAAATATTTTTTTACATAGCAGATATAGCACTGCTCAATTCATATATTTTATTTTGCAAAAAAATGGAAATACCAAAATGTAAAAAGTATTCTTTTTCGAAGTTTCGAATCGATGTAGCCGAACAGATTTTAGAAACAGTATGTCTTCCTGATTACCAAAGACGTGGAAGGATGTCTGCTGGAAATGCTCCGAGTCGCTTACAAGCGAAGCAATGGGGACATTTCCCAAGAAATATACCACCTACAAACGCCAAAAAAAATCCACAACGGAGGTGCGTAGTATGCGCTAAACATAAAAAACGGAGTGAAACTACATGGGAGTGTAAAAAATGTCTTGTAGCGTTACACATTCCAAGTTGTTTTGAAAAGTATCACACCATGCAAGATTATTAATAAATAAATTTAGTATCGATACAGATGTAATTTTATTATTCTGCCTCTTTATTTTCTCTTCTGGAACCCACCCGCTGAACGCTGCCTGAACGCACCGCGAAGTGATTCCCGCTTGACTGTTCTGGCACGCGCAACCGAGAATTTCTTTGCACCGCAAGTGGTTAAACATTCTTTACCGAAGTCGGATGTTCGAGCTGATAAACCATTTTTGCGCAATTCCGTCACTTACTGAACCTTCGCCATAAACATTTCGGATGGTTCGGACAACTTCCACTGCATTAACACCTCGATTAAATTCGAATGAAGTGTCGGAAATGAGCATTTTTTTCAACTTGTGGCTCCATATTTGATCAACCTAAAAAAGCACATAAATAAACTTAAATATGTTACAAGTACAGAAAAAATGGTACATAATACATAAGTAAACAATTTTCGTTGAGAATTAAAATTTAGTTAAAGGAAAAAACGCACGAACTTAGGCACCAACCCAATATATTAGGGGGACACATAAGTAATCAATTTTTTGACGTCTAAAACACCTCTTTCAAAATAATTGATTACTTATGGGTAACCCCATTATATCTGAGAGGTCAAATCATTCGTGAAAGTAATCTCTGAATCGGGGTACCAATTCATTTCAAATTTTACCATGAAAACATTGAGACCCTTTGGTAGGTCCTGAAACTTATGAAGTTTCATTTCTTATACAAAAATTTGTTTATTTGGAACTGGAACTGGCGTAGTTTATGCATGTTTTAGATGTTTTACGCTTCTTGAAGACTTGAAGAATCGAAAATGAAGAGTTTCAGGACTTAGCTCGAACAATTTAGAATACCATAAAAGTGTAATATTACAGACTCAGATAGGAAAATATGAAAAATACTTTCACCAACGATTGCGAGAGAGTGCTGGCTTGTCCCGGGGGCAACGCGTGTTTTTGAAGCAAACATTTAGTTGCAACTAAACGTCATAGATGGCGCCGTTGGTTCATTGGAGTATTAAAAAATCACGGATTCACGGGATTTCGATAGTTTTACATCTATCTCCTGATCATTATTTTACCGAAATGGTATATAGAACGCTTCATTTAATAAAATTCACAACATAGAAGGTAACGGCCATCAACATAAATATAATCGACGGTAACGTGACGCGCCAGCTTATGTTATCACTTAAGTAATCAATAAGGCGTTAATACCGAAAAGGATATACAAGGATTTTTTTTGTCGATACCGATTTCATATCTTTGCGCCTTTCATATCGCCTTAAGGCCGATCGTCACTTGTTGCCGAATCGCATTGTTCATCATATGAAGTCAAAGACAATCGGTTCTTAACGAAGCAAATCGTTTTCCTTGACTTCCCAGCAAACAGTTCCTCGCTTGCACCTCGACATCCAGCAGGCAAATGAGGAGACGTTGCAGCCACATTCGTTGAATCGCCGAAAAGCCAAGATGGTAGACCTCCAGGAATATTGATTTGAATAATAAATGGAATAAATAATCTCCGCTGATCTATATCTAACCAAAGACGGTCTACGTCACAAGCCGGATTCCGTCAGAACCCGAGAATTCCGCGATGTCTCTTCGCTAATCAGGCAGGACCGCGACCTAGCTTGAAATTCAAAGCGTAACCAAAACCGCAAACTAGTTCTAACACACCCAGCTGCCTATTTGGAATTTGTGCACGTCAGTCAACCCGACTCTAGGTCACCGAAGTGTCTGTGCACCGCGGCACTTTGATATCAGGCGTAAACACGAGTTCCTTCCTGGCGTCTCGTAGGATAATATGCGGCGAATATAGAGGGACAAATTTAAATATAAGAATAAAGCAATTTAAGGTGAAGTGAAACCCCCTTCAAATCAGTCGATTCGAATATAACATTTTTTTTTAAGGGTATTAGTCCAAACTGTCCGAAACTTTAACACATCGCTCCTGATCATCTAAGAATTGTCCTGACACATTCAAAATTTCGATTTTTTAACAACATTTTTTTACTCAGTCCAGACCAGAACCAAAATGGCGTCGAGCTCAGGCGAGGTAGGCTCAGGTAGGAGAACGTCAAGTTTTCCGAGTTTTCAATTTGACAGGTTGGTCCCTTAGCGATAGCGCTGCCATCTACAGAGAAAATTTCAAACAATGTTCTGTATCCTTTTTTTTTTTTTGCGAACACGAGCTCCCATAAGGGACCCTATGCAGTTCGTCCCCCTGGTCTCTAGTCTCCATGGTTTAAGAGATCAATTTGTATGTCACGCCCAACTCGTACCATATGGTAGCTTACATGTCCCAGCAATCGATCCATGATCGGAACCGCATACCCAGATGTGACCATCATTGGGTTTCCTCCGAAATTGCCCGAAACGCGTCCGTTTTGGTTTCGAAACAGATTTGCAAATTACGGGAAGAATTCAAATGCGCTCAGATGGTACTTGATTCATGAAAGTGTAAAGATTAGCGAAAAATAGTTCTTTAAATAATAAGCTACGCGCGATAAATTATTTTTACTTATTCAATTGAATCGAGGACGTTAATTCAGAAGTGTAACGTTCACTGTGTCAGAAACTTCTTGAAAGTTCAGGGGC